TGATTGTCTACATGCACAACTGACCTACTCCAACAATCAATAAATCTTCTGTAGAATCAAAAAAGTAAGACGAATTTTCATCTTATTTTAAAACGGAATTCAATAAAAATTTGATTGTCTTTAATTGAGAGGTTTTTTCTTGTTCCAGAACTTCTTTAAATCAAGTCTAGCAAGAACCAGATGAAATTATAACGGCTTTATAGGAATCATTGATCATTGTCAGAAGTTAATTTTGCAATCTTGAATCGATTTCAATTTAAAGTTAATAAAAAAAGCAATTTTGCAGTTCTAATTCATTTGATATCAATTTGCAAATAATGCGCAGTTAAATTTTTTCGTCATAACTTTAATGGAAATAAATTTGAATGAAGATTTTTTTGACAGTAAAATTAATTAAACCTCGATCAAATTTCTGAATGCTGAATGGAAATTTTTACCTTTAATTTTCTGGTCATTGCAGCTTTTTTGTTCCGTTGAAAATCCTACAAACCATTTTTGTGGTTAAAAAATGCAAAATAGCAACTATTAATCAACTTCAGGGGGTAATTTTGATGAGCTGCTGAAAAATAATGAATTTTTTACTTATTCAGTCATAAAAACAAAGTACTTAAATTTTTAATTGCCATATTATTTATATATTTTGTAGTGTGTAGTACATCTCTTATCTGTTTATGACCCTCCATATAACTACTTAAATATTTGAGCATATGATTATTGACGTAGCATGTGATATGATATTGATAAGTGAGCTTTTGCACAGTTTTCTCCTTTGGAAAATTTGAAGCCTTGCAGTCAATCGAAGTTTTCATGATTTTAGAATCAACTGTTTAAGAATCAAAACAAATTTACCCAAAGTCATCTAAAAAACAGCGAGAAACTCTTAAATAAATGGTACGAAACTGTTCCAAATCATTGCAATACAGCAAACATTCCAAAAAACTTTAAAATATTCCAGCCATGTAATGCAGAACTCATAATTGACAGAAAATAGAGAGACTTTTGCCTTTAAAATATATTTGCGTGCGTGCTTTGAGATCTCACAATCAAAACATTGTGGCAGGTCAAAATCATTTGAAGATACAATCTTTTAAGGTCTTGGTTGTATTAATCATATGCAAAATTATTCATTTTGGCTCTAATGTCAATTATTTACATTTCGGGTTTACATCAGTTTACACGTTTTGCTCTCATGAGAAGTTTGTTTTGAAAGAAATGAGAATCTCTGAAAATGATTTTCATATCGGGAAGTTCCCATTTGCCATTTCTTAGAATTCTAATCATTGAAATGTTAACTGGATCATTAGTTTTTATTACATAAGGTTTTTTTGATTTAAAATCTTGGTTTAACATGAATATATGTCATTACTATTAATTGTAAATCAACTTATCATCAGATTAAACATCAGAAATATAGAATATAAACAAATATTTTGTTAATTCCAGAATGCCAAACAGATGTTAATTGAATGTTCATATTGTTCAATTAGCAAAATATTTATTATCAAATTATCTGCAAAAACAAAGAATTTTGGGCATTCCCGTATGATTTTGAAGGGATCTGATCAATGTACTTAAAAATTAATATCTTAAGACGTAACACACGCCGTCTAGAGTCTTAATTGTAAACCTTTATTGACAGCAGAATGACAAATTGTTTCTGTCAACAATGTTTTGATTTATTCTACATTTTGATAAAAACTTATTTAGAGATTAATTGATTTAAGTTCGATAATGATCAAAAAATGTAGCTAGGTAGGAATTCTAAGGAGTTTCAGATTCTTGATCTTATTGAAGACATTTTTGCATTATTCTGAAATAGAAGATTTTGTTTTTTTCCAAGACAGCAAATGACCTGTTATTGCAAGAATGTTTTATAAAAACTTAAATATTTGCAGACATATTTCTGAAAACTTCTAGTGATTCCCATTCAATCATCCCGATGGGAAAAATTCGATGCTAATTGACACTAATCACTTACTGAAAAACAGAAGTTTTAATAAAACTATTTTATTTTCAATGACATTTTACAGCACCAGCCAAAGAATCTTCGTACTTTTCCATCGAATCTATGATATGCCAAGAGACGATGTCAACGTTGATTCGAAATAAGTTTAAACTTGTTTCGAATGTATTTCGAACAAAATTTCGCAATTTCGAAAATAATATTTTTTATGAAAATTTTAACTTTTCGCAATTTTTGACTCAATTCGCTTATTATTTAAGAATTGAATCCTTCAACTATGTCTTTTAACACTCATATAATCGTTTAATCGATGATAAATGCAGCAAACATTAGTTTAATATGATTGTTTTCAAAAATATTCTAAATTTTTTGTTGTTGTTTACATTGAAAATTAAAATGTCATTAATTCACTTGCATTAGTTATTTAATAAATAAGTAATGATTCATTACAGTTGATTGGATTTATTTAGCATTTTGATGATGAAAAACAAATATTTAAACCATTAATTAAAGAGATTAGACATTATTAATTTAACGTGTAAAAAAAATTTGAACTAATGCTCGAAAATAAGGTACCAAAAAAAATTCAATATCGAAAATAAGGACTCGTTGGCGTACCATAGCATCGAATGTTTCGACAAGTTTTCACGAACTTACAAAATTGTCACGTACATGATGCAGGTGTGAAAAATTAGAAAATTAAAGTTATGAGCTGTTCAGTCATTAATGTTATATCTGATAACTAAAACGATCCAGCATCATTTAATTAGAACTAAAATAAGCAGTGTCTATGCCTTAATAACAATGAACTATATCGAATTAATAGTTCAAAATATTCTCACAATTTACATAACAATTAGATTAGAATATTACATCATTTAAATCAAATAGAATTATTCAATGCCAATAATACAATCCATTGAATTATTGCTTCCTATTTTCAGCAAATTTTCTTCTTATTTTCTCGCATTTTTTTGAATTTCAATTCGAATTGTCGATTGGATATTTTTAAAATCATTGAAAGTTTGAATTTCGACCTATTTTGATAGAGATTTGATATCTAATGACATTTTAGAGATTAAAGTTTTTTTGCGGCACTCGACTTTGACTTTTTAAAATATTTAACATCATCCACTTGCTGTAATTATTGCTCATCGGAATGTTGTAAAATGTGGGATTTTCATGCGAGAATTTAGATCTTTGGAAAGGATTTTCTTGTTTTGTGAAGTATATTAGTCTTGGATCTTTTTATTAACAAACTTTTACTTGAAAATCTGAGTTTAAGATACAGTTTTGAGGCAAATATCTCAAAGTAAAGCTTACAAACATGTAAAAAGTCATGATGGCAAAAAAATTCAAATCCAGTGAGATAATTTCAATCAATAACCTCAAAAAAACTACATCCAATCACAGCCAATCACCAAATAAGAAGCAACTAAACATAAATTTAAGCATTCAAGTTTAAAATTGATTTCGAATAACACGAATAAAAGTTTCAGTTGACAAGAAAATCAACAATGAGTATACGCGGCAATTTGATATGAAGCAAAAAGAAGTCAAGAACACGACAATAGCAAGTAACGTAGAATGAACAACTGTAAAGGAAAATAAATTCGTGAGTGAAACTAAGAAGAAGGAAAAATTAGAGGAAGAAACGACATGAAAACATAATTGTTGACCCAATTCATCCCAAAACAAGGCCCTTGAAAAAATGTTAAGACGCATTTATGCAAAAATTACTCAAGAGAAAGACAAAATAAGACGCAATAAAACCGACAAGAAAGTCACGATAGGTCGTAAGTAGATGAATGAATGAATGTGTGGTGAAAAGAGAAAGAAAAATCACTGCTGCGTGTGCTGTCAACTCAATTAATTCAGCATCATTTTATCTTAGTGTCGTGTATGAATGAGGGTTGACTTTTGTTGATAACAGGTGGGGAAGGGACGCTCAATTTGAAGCATACGTCATTTTTAAACAACCCCACACCTAGTTTTAATCATAAATATTCATCACATGTCTAGCAAGATATTTTCCTTCTATTTATAAACATTTGCATAATATTTATGGTCTATGAACTGTTATTCTTTAATAATCAATGATATTAGCATCGTCTCTAATTGCTTATTATGTAGGCTTTACTGTAATGTAATATGCTTAAGGTTTATTAAATCATTTATTTGTTATTTTTAACTAATTGCTGTCTTTAAGGTGTTCGTTTGGAGTTATCTTTGGAATGTCAATCAGGGGACTCATTTTTGTCAAGCATTCTTGATCTAAATTTCATTGTCTAGAAAGTCAAATATTTGCAGAACTATTTTTAAAAATTCACTGCTTATTTACTTAACTCCAACCTTAGAATACATAAGCAGGTTGTGTTTTGAATTTTTTGTAAGCTGTAAAAGCATTCTTTTGTTTCTCTCGTTGCGGTCTTCTTAACATGGAATTAAGGAAATTGTTTTGTATTTGACGCAAAATTAACAATAGTAAATGTCATTTTGTGCTTTGTTCTTTTTAGTTGCTATGAATTTGAAGGGTCTGGGAATACGTGAGAGTAATATTCTTAAATTGCATGATCTTTAATATTTTTGTGGATTTGTGAAAACGTGACTGATTCAACAGTTGGAACTTAAATTATAACGGATTTCGAATTTTCAAATTTTTTCGCGAAAATATTATTGAAAGAAATTTTAAATTTCAACAAGCCGTTAAATTTTCAAAACAACTTAAAAGTTTGAAGTCGAGAAATGTGTTTTATGAGTGTAAAAGCAGTTAATAAACAGTAAAACTTAATAAATTGTGTAATTCGAGATAATATTAGATTGATACAATAAATTAAAAGCCGAAGTTCTCTCAAAATAAGTGCATTGAAAATATATTCTTGATTGTTTCTCATTTTTCTCCACATAAAAATAACAATATACTAAGCTATCGGCAGTTCAGTTTCTCCTATATTCGCGACTTATTAATTCATTCAGTTGTTCATTTACTGTTCGTGTGTCAAGTTGTTAAGTCGTGTTTTCTTTCTGAAGAAAAAAAAGTTAAAATCGGACAAATTTTAATGTTAATTGTTTTATAATATAAATAATTGCAAATAACAAGACATAACTTGTATGCTTAAGTGTAATTTATGTGTATAAGAATCAAGGTGAATTGCTTGTCTATTTACGCATAATTAAATTGAAAAATTTCATCGATGTTGAATGAAATTGCATAAAAATCACTATAATTAAGTTTTCTAGTTGCGATATTTCGTTCAATTGAATGTTTTCATTAAGAAAGCAAAGTAAATTGTGAATATTTTCTGTCTAATTCCAGTGTAAGATAAGTTTTGTGTAAGGATTCAAAGATCCAGTAGAAGTAAAATTAATTTATGATTGACTTTAAAAATGTCTAAAAGTGAAAAGAATCCGCAAAATGCGCCTGCTGTCATCCTCCCGATTGGATTAAATCCAGAAAAATCTGGATCCGCAACTGAGTTTAATTCCACGTAAGCTTATTCACTTCAATTAATTTATTGGTGCATAAGATCTAGTAGCATATCAATCACATGATTTATTACTCAATTAATTGCCAAACGGCTCTTATCATTAAGCCTTTCATTTTGATTTCTCAATTGTGTCTTTCCAAAAAAAAGTTTTTTTTTCTTATCGGAAATTCAAGCACAGCAATAAATTTAATTCTATTTCAATTACTTTACAGCTCAAAGTTAGCTTACGATTACGATGATTCCTATAATCCTTTCGAGAACCGAGAAACGGAAAAGGCAAACACGTAAGCTTGTTAAATAATCACATCCGATGACAGTTTTTTGGACTAATTGATTCTTAATTATGTTTTGTATAGAACAACCGGCGCACTCATTCACCTGCTTAAAAGTTCTCTTGGAACGGGAATTTTGGGTAAGTGTCATCAAGACTAATTAAATTTACTTTCTAATTGCTGACAATTTCCTCTCACTTTCTATCCAGCTATGCCAAATGCATTCAACAATGCTGGTCTAGTATTCGCATCAATTATGACAGTCATCGTTGGTCTCGTTTGTACGCATTGTGTTTGGATTTTGGTAAGTTTTACATAATGTGCATAGAATATTTCTTTTACTGTCCACAATGAAGCTATAAAAGTTAAGCAAACAAATCGTTTTCGTTTAGCACGTGACGTGTAATGTGCTCAATTGTGTTTATGCAAAAATCTACTTAACAATAAATCTAAATTAATAAGAGTCACGACGAAAACAAGCTTGTACCCAAAACTAGCCACTGTTTACTTTTTCACGCAAGCTATCATCGCGTAAAGTGTTAATTTAAATTACAAAATGTCAATAACTTTAGCCATCGATCGAAATCGAAGTGAAAGATGCACGGGCATGATAATTTTGAAATCTATGCGAATATTTTCTTGTCTTCTTCATCCACGCTGCTTGATCATTCAAAGAAAATCACAGTTCATTGAATTTCATCAAGTCCCGGGCGACACATGCAAGAGACATGTGACAGTCGTGTTAGAATGTGGTATGGTTGTAAGTGAATTTCAACGCAACACATCACAATGTCGCTTGCAACATTTTAACAGTCATTTTCATGTTGTTCAGTTCGGGATGCTCTTGCTCAATTATTGACAAGTTTGCCGCGACAAAAAGATATAATTTAGCTAAACGAATTTCAGTCAAAGTCACTAAGATATTCGATATGTCTTTGATGGATGGCTGCATTTAGTGTTGCTTCAAGGTTGCAGTTTTCTTTTCTTTTATCTTTCAAACTACAAACTTTTTTTTGTGACTTATGCTGGTGCTTTTAGACTCCCTCCTTCCGTGTTTATACAGTATTTGAACTAAAATTGCGCCTTATTTTCATCACAAAGTCTCTTCACTTGTCAATCTACGTAGCAGAATCAAATTAATGGGTGAAAGAGTAGAAAAGAGAAGAAAGAAGCTATAAAGAAGGAATCGATTGTAGGCATCCAACATTCCGAAAAGCTTCATAATTATATGACAAAAAGGAATTTACTGATAATTTTTCTTAAATATTCCCTATGCATTGGGGTTGATTCGTGAGTTTCGTGTCGTACTTATCTGTAGCTTGCACGCTTTGTTCTAGTTCCGTGATTAAAAGTTTTAATTTAATTCATTGCATCATCGCTGCCTTATGCCTTGAAATGTTCGTGTAGATGTTTTATCGCAAAATTCTTAAATTTAAATTAAATTCATGAATATGATTTGCAAAATTGTTATTTGATATCAGTTGTGAAACATTTTAAGCGAAGGTTAGCAGTGTAAAAGTTATCAAAAATTCGACATCAATCTCAGATCAATCCATAATTAATAATTCCATTCGTTCGATTACATTTACAACTTCCCTACATGCGATCAACATTGATGCGTCGCTCATGTGTACGAATTATGTTTCAATTATGCCATTTTACTGCGCAATTTCTTCTTTTCATCTCTCTTATGTGCCCATCTACTTTATCATACAATTTAATGCTGTGCCGAGTGATGTTAAATGAGAAAAGTAAATTATATTCTCATACACTTTAAAAACGTGTTGAAAAAAGTCTCGTTTAAGTCATGTGCAGACGTAATAGCGTACTGATATGCATATTCAATGAGTTTTTTCGTTGTACTTTATAGTGTGCTGTTATTTCTTGTGAAATTACTTACTTTTTGCGCAGAATTTGTCATGATACGAGTTTTTTTCGTTCTTGTAGCTCAACATGATCAGTTGTAGTTTCATAATTAATAATATGCTGTAAATAATCGGGTCGTTCACTTATTACGGTGCTGGAAACAAGATTTAAGCGATTGAAATTCTAAGAATCAAAATGAACAGTCTACAAACTTCCTAAGACAATTTATAAAATTTCCTTTCCATTTCTGCAGAACTAAAAAATCATCTTCAAACCAATTTTAGTCAAAAACTTCATTCCAATTCCATTCTTGGAACATAATTATGTTCAGCATATCTCTTCCTTTTACGTTCATCATTCCCTTTCGTTCTCAAATGATGGACAAGCCTCCAAAGTTTTTTTTTTACTTTTTTTGTTTCTTTAAATTACAATCAGATGATGTTGATGTGAATGAACAACGAAAAGAGAGCCTTGATGGTCCTTCAGAAATTATTGACTCTTGCCTTCTTGTGTGCATTTTAATGAACTTTGGAAATGCGGTTGTTGAATAAATGTGGAACATAAAAATGCATATAATTGCAGTCAATGATTCTGCCTTTTTTTGAAAGGAGCTCAATATTTTTTTCATTTTATTTTATGTAAAATTTCTTGTTCATTAAGACGACATTGTTGTGGTTATTGAATATTAAGGCGCATATAAGTTTATGGCTGTTTGTAATTTGATAGTTTCTGAGGAATTGATAAGGGGCTGTTCACTTATTACGTAACGCGAAAAAATGACTTCTTAGACCCCCCCCCCCCCCTCGTAACAAAATTTGTATGAAAAAAAAATTTCCTTGTTTGAACCGTAACAAAATCTTAGACCCCCCTCCCCCTAAAAGCGGTACGTAATAAGTGATTGGCCCCTAAGCGATTGATTGAATCTGGAAAAGGTTATTTGGCAGTGTACTGCTCGGGTTTTAATCCGCACGAAGACCTTATTATCTAGAAGTAAGCATTAAGACTCTAATTGACAATAAACCACTCGCATAGCCAATCAACAGCAACCTTAATTATGAATGAATATTTTGACACTTTTTCTGATGCAATTGCTTGTAGCTTGTTCAAGTAAGGTTAACTGAGTACGAAAAATAATAACATCTAGTTCAAGATCTTTAACAAGCTGAAATTCTTTGCGCTAACTGAAAAGTAATCTCAAGGACAAACATATTATCAGCCGGTAGCTAAACCACTTCATTTAATGTTAAGTCATTTTGAGAGATTAAAGGATTTTCCTTAAGAGCCCAATTAGGGAATTTATTGAATCAGCAATCAATCAAAATATGAAGCATTGAAAAGTAAAATATTAAATTCCTTGCGAACTATTTCGTGCATGATTACAGCGACAGCAAGAAAAATGACCTGAATACCATTGCAATGCACACTTCACTCATATTGCGTTACAGCTCATGTTCAAAATGATGTACGAAATGAGGAAAATGAAAATGTAACTAGCGTCAAGTAGTTCTTATCAAATAACAAGCTAACATAGTTGTTAATCATAAAATTTATCAGTCCTTCCACCTTGCCTCTTCAAATTCTAATCGATAATTGCTAAATTTGTACGTATTTTATCGATCCGCAAGTAAATAACGCTGAATTGCTGCATCTTTTGTTATTTTCATATAATTTCATCAACATGTGAGCGAGCATGTGAATGAAAACGAGTGGAATGAAGAAAAGAGTCAAGTTCAAGATTATCGAACTGAAATGTTTGAGAACCTGTGTGATTGCCATCAACATACAATAGTTTGAGAACCACAACTCAGGAAATGAAATTGTCAATTCAAAATCATGTTAACGATTTATTGTTATACCATTTTCAATGTTAATCGAGCATCTGCCGTAGATAATAGCTTGTCTAGGAAGTGATTTAAATTTAATTCCGATTCTGGTTAGGTAAATGAACGTCCTTAAGTCATCGTCATAAATAATTTTATACAAGACACGGCTCGTGTACGGCAATCGGAAATAATCGTAATCAAGTTGTTCTCATCAAAATTCAAGCGACAGCAATTTGCATAGAACCGTGAATGACTGTTTTGGTTTCTTTTAAAGCTACGAAGAAATATTTCTTTTACGACTGAACACATTAATGTCTCAATTTATTTAACTAGATAGATATTGGAAGTGAACGACTTATCTTATAAATTTTATTACTTTCATTGATGCTTGTCTCTTCCTTGTGACATTTGAAAAGTATTGGAAGGATTTAAATTTGTCAGAATTTATTGATGCGACTAATGTAAAGCATGGCTTAAAAATCATGCTTGGCATCCAGTTGCAGCTATAGAATGATATTGTATTCACAATTACTGTACAAAATCAGTTGATTCCATCGCTCTGTCTTTAATGTACATTGAAAGACAGTTAAAGTGCATTTATAATTGAGTTGTCTATATATTCGTACTTACTGATTAAGCAATAATGGAGATTAAACTTAGCAATATTGAGCAAAGCATTAAACAGCTGATTATCAAAAAATTGACACCTTCAGAATCTTAAACGAAAATCTCAACAAACATAAATGGTCTTGTAAGCAACGCTGAACAGAGCTTTAAATATATTATGTTAATATTCCATTCTTTAAATTGAATTTCTCGGAAGCATCAAGAAGCTATTTACTTTGTCACATCACCATGACGCTCTCTAATTTAGTTGTAATTGAAATTTTCGAGAAATGTTGTCTAAAGATCAAACAACCGTGCCTGAACGCTTCTAAAAATAAATATAAAATTTATTAAAAAGTTCTCCAAACTATATGGACATAGATTTCTTTAGTGCTAGCCATGCTATTATTCATTTCCAACAAAAGAATTGTCAACTTTTCAATTTTTTCTTTACTCTCTGAACACAAAAGCATGACTTTATGAGAAAGTTTATAACAAAACTAATTTATATCCTATCCTTTCTTCCATTTCAGGTTCGATGTTCGCACAAAATATGCAAAATATCAAAAACGCCAGTGCTTGGATTTGCCGAGACAGCAGAGAAAGTTTTCGAGTATGGACCAAATTGGGCGAAAAAGTATTCAAGAGCAGCACGTCAGGGTGTAGATTACGCTCTTATGGCTACATATTACTCAACCGGATGCGTTTATATCGTTTTTATTGCCAACACATTCCATAACATTTGCAACGATTTATTGGGATGGGAATTTAGCGTCCGAATTTATATCCTTTTTGTAATCATTCCATGCCTTTTCATCGGTCAGATACGTAATTTAAAATTACTTGTACCGTTCTCGGGAAGTGCCAATGTTTTTATCCTCGTCACATTCGGTATCGTTCTTTATTACATTTTCAAAGAGCCATTGGATATCAGCGATAAGCCTGCAATTGTATCATGGACAAAATGGCCAGTATTCTTTAGGTATGTAATGTTGACATTTTATTGCCTTTCAGTCCATTAAACATCAAATTTCCTTCTACAGTACTGTTATTTTCGCAATGGAAGGTATTGGCGCGGTTATGCCTGTTGAAAACAGCATGAAAAAACCACAACAGTTCCTCGGATTTCCAAGTGTTTTGATGATTGCTATGATTACTGTTACTGTTATGTATACAGTTCTTGGATTCCTCGGATATATTAGATTTGGATCAGAAATTCAAGGGAGTATTACATTGAATCTACCCACTGATGAATGGCCTGCAATCACTGGACAAGTTCTTATTGGAATTGCCATTTTGTTTACTTTCGGTCTTCAATTCTAGTAAGTAAACTGCTTTTAAAGCCATACATATTTACTAACAGCTTTATTCTATATCTTCAGCATTCCAATGGAAATCTTGTTGAAGAAAATCGAAAGTAAAATTGCAAAGGGCAGAAATATTAAGGAAATCACTCTCAGAACAGGAATTATCATCCTTACTGGTGCTGTTGGTATTGCAGTTCCTGATTTAGAGCCCGTTATCAGGTAAGTCATCCTTGCAAATCTCTCAAGTTCCTTGAAAATGTATCTTTCTTCTCTCGTGCAATTTAGTCTTGTCGGTGCTGTTTTCTTCAGCGGTCTCGGACTTTTCGTAAGTTTTCCCACAAGTTTTATGGATTGTCAATAAAGATAAAATTTCCACTTCGTATGTTTTCTTAGGTTCCCGCATTCATTGAATGTGTTTACTTATCAGCTTATGAAGGATTTGGAAAATTCAACTGGAAACTTTGGAAGAACATCTTACTTATGATTTTCTCAGTTATTGCCTTAGTTTCCGGAGCATTTGTCTCAATACTTGACATTATTGAGACATACATGGGCGGTGACGAAGGAAGTGGTCATCTTACAAAAACACATTTTTAAGTCTAATTATAGTTTAACTAGGTTAATGTCTAATTTAAATCATATTGATGCATAAAGGAATGATAATGTAATAAATTTATTACGAACTTAATTTTTGATAGTTTCGTGAATTGATATTTGGTCTGTTGGCTGACAATAAGTCAGTTTGAGGATTCGTTCATAAATAACATTCAGTCCTACGTCATTGAGGAACACCTAAACAATACTTGTTGTTGCTATACATTTATTAAAAATATTTTTAAGGCATTAAGCATGTAATTGTAACGAAACTTGATAAAGTATTGCTATTGATTAAATAATTAAGTGATTTTAAACATATGTTAAGATTGAGACTGAGACAGTTTGAAGATATACTGAAAGATTTGATCGTCTTAATCAGCATTTTTGTATCTGATTGACATTAAAATCTTTTGGAGACTTACAATAGATAAAGATTGTTCTAAAACCACAACAGACACCTGAAATAGTACCTCATAGATGTTCCTAATACTTGCCATATAATTTTTGTATCCTAATTCAATCTTCAACCTTCCTTAACAAACCCAATTCATTTAAATACTTTCTTAATGTGAGAAAAAGCCTTTAATCCCCAAGCTGTCTCAGTCCAAAGACCCTAGAATTAATTATTAGGTTAAGTTGTCAGCATTTCTCTATAAGTTGGATATTCCACACGAACTAATTTACCCCAAAACTATAAGATTGATGATTGTCGTCCAAATTTTTAATCAAATAAAAAATTTATAATGCAGAAGAAAAGGAAGACTTTCAGTCATGATCCGTTACAGCATACACATTATTGTTTCAAAACAAAAGTCCATTAAATGACAAAAAGGGAGAAAAGTATCCATTAAGCAATAAAATGATGACATTTAATTTTATAGACAAGAAGAGAGCTTTATTTAAAGCTGAACATTCCAAGATATGTTTATTACTGTTTCCTTTTTACTTATCATTGCTATTGAAAATGAGAAGGCTTAATAAGGATTAGATAATTAATTAAGTTTTAAAATATGAACAGGAAATTAGCCTCATGATATCTAGAATGCAGAGTTGTTTTATTGTGTTTTATTAAGAATTGGAACCAACTGAAAGCTTGTTATTGACTGACTGGAACTTTAGCTCAGACAACTTATATCTCGAGAAACCAGTCTCTTAGCTATGATCAGTTTTAGACTAAGTCAAAAGCTCCATAAAATCAGTAAATTCAAAACCAGCAATAAAACAACCCTGCACAAATGAGCTTTAACCCAGTAAATTTCCAAAGAAGAAGTTTACTGGAAGCACATAGAACTTAATTCAAGACGATGTAATTAAATTTTTAATAGAAATTTTGCTATAACATGACGTTTTATAAGAAGCAGCACTAAGTGCTGAGACGATACTTTTTTAAATAAATCAAAAAACTTTTTTGCTTACTTAAAATGAGATTTTTTTTAATATTTTTATTATGCATGGAATTGTATGTTATTTCCATAAAGCAGCTTGTCGACTTTGTGTCTGCTGAAGAGCATCATGTATTTGCATACACATGTCAACTCGTTGTTTGTAAAACTTGTCAGCCATAAAAATTGAAATATTGATGTTCCCTTGAGAAAGGTTTACAACACGAAAAGCATTTCCTTGTGTTTAACGGTTTTATGGAAGTTCTGTAATTCTAAGGATTCACAAACTGTTGTCCTTTTTAACGGATTTTTTGTTCCATTTTCCAACGTTTCATTTCCAGTGATGGAACATTGAAAGCTTTTTAAAATCTTTTGGAAATGAAGCTTTATTCCAATGGATTTTCCAATCTTCGAATTTCCATTGGAACTGTACATCGCGTCGTAACGTATTTCAAGCATTCTATGAAATAGAAATCTATATATTCAGTATAAGAAATGAATTGTATCAAACAATACTGATGGAAAATTTATTTAAGGAGACATGTATTCTGTACGTAGGAATCGATAAGGAGCTGTAAAGATTTGTGGGCTGTGTAATGTAACTGAATAATAAGATATGGAAAGGAATACAACAAAAGAAGTGTAAAATTTATTAAAAATGAAATGTGATATGAAATTCGATTAATGTTTTCGATTCTCGCACGTAGTCGCTCGGCTTTGTAGTTCCATAGATGAGAAATGAGATAGAATGGATTATAAATTTATGATTGTGGCTGCTATTGCCATAAACTAGAGCGGAGATATCATATTGGGTGCCATAATACAAAACCTTGAATCATAATTTAACCATAGGACAGTCTACAGATTTAAAAACAATTCTTGGAGCTCACATGAACAATTGAATCCAAATTCCTAAAACCGTTATTTTAGCTTGCCAACTAATGGTTCCTCATCGCGTCTTACTGCTCAACTGTAACATTAAACTTAATTCTCAAAATAAAACTTAAAGACCCAAATTATTGACAATTTGCCAAGATTTGAGGAAAATTTATTCAAAATAAGATTGAGGAAATTCAGCTAAATCCACAAAGCACATCAAATTCCAACAAAAAAATCTCAAGGATCAACAAAAATGAAATTCAAGTGAAAAACAAATAAACAACTGTGGATTAACATTTTCAATCGTTTCAAAACTATATAGTCTGCCTTAATGCTCGTTTATAGAAAATTGTAATCCATGCAGCTTGGATAAAATGAAACTTATGTTCGGTGAGTATAACAATTGCTAATTATTTAAAATTCAATTATTCACTTTGTGGATTGTTTTCGACCTTACAAGCTTGTACCGCGAAACTATTTGAACATTTAAATTTATTTTATATGCGAGATTTGCATAAAATAATTGATGCAGTTTCTGTGTGCATCCATAAGCACCTGCACGTCGATTTTCTTTTCAAAATGTGCAGAGTCAAAAGAGTGGAAGTAATTGTGCTACTTTTAAGCATATTCACATTTAAAGCTATGAAACTGTAAATTTCCATATGAATCGGATATCTTTAAAGTTCAGGCTGTAAATTTTCAGTACTTATCCCTTTAAAGATGCTGCAATCATGTCCTCAGAAACTTCAAAGTCTTCCTCACTCATTCATCATGCAGACAAAACGTAAACAATCGAGGCATATTCCATAGATAATCCACTTAAAATTCAGAATGTGCTGATGATTTGCTGAAATCTTTATTTTTCACTGGAAAATGCATAAAAGCATACATAAATATAAACACAAGATGTTCAGCATTTTACGGCAGCTTTTATTATCTTTTATATATTCTGTGTTCAGTATGTTATGCTGTATAAGATGAGATAATGAATTCAAATGGATCAACATGAAATATTCTTTCATCCACAGAAACGGATGAACTTTCTGTGGATTTCTAGAAGGTCCAAAAATAAGATTTCACTTTGTTTACACGCACATATGAAGCCTCGAGGCTGAATCTTTGTTTATTCAATGGTCGAGATATCTAAAAATGAGCTGAACACATGACATTCCAGACCTTAAACCCTCGTCATATTGCGGATTCTGAAAATATTTACATGGTTGATGAACTAGCTTGATGATCCTAAAAATGTACAAACACAAATCCATCAGTTTTAAAAAGTTTTTGGATATGATTTCACGTTCTTCTTCCTTCACATCACATTCTCTCGTGTGTATGAGCACATAAAACTGAAAACCGTGGGAATTTTATGATTCAAATCATAAAAATTTACGCATTTCGAGATTTTTTTTCATTTGAAAAATTTCATCAACATTTTACTGATGGCTGAATATTCTATGCTTTTGACAAATTTTAAGGGATGGAAGTCAATCCACATCATTGTTCATGAAATCATTTAATCTACCTTATGCTCTAATTGGTTCATTTGTATGCAACCTCTTTGATATTCAGTCTGAAAAGTTAATTCCCATGAATTCAATGATCTGTAGAATGTAAGGTAGTGGAAGTCAAAGGTTAAAGTCTTATCATTTATGAAAACTTAAGAAAGTTTCAATTGGTTCCAATCAAAGTTAACTTTTTTATGAGAATTAACTTCTTTCATTTGCCAAGAGCATACCTGGACTATTGAAGAACTCTGAAAGACATAAACGACTACTTCCTTTAAAGAAATGACATAAAGAGCATCAATCAACATCATAATTTTATTCAAGTGCAATAAACATTGTATGTGGGAATCTTCAGCATTCAGACTTGCCTTTGAAATCTACGACTTCAATTCATAACTTCAGGCATTTCAAATGACAAGTGCTCGTCCAAAAATATGTAAATTTCCATGCAGTTATTCACTTAAGTGGAGCAAATAAAGATTCATGCTTCAATGTTTGCATATCATTTCATCGTACCTTGATGACTTACTGAATGACTGCTTTATTCCATAAAAATACTTTCATTCGTCATTTCAACTTTTGTTCATAAGAACCACAAAAGCTTCTCTCTGTGGATGAACACGATGCATGAAAAGATATGCAAATGTTTCGATCTATAGAATTGAAGCTTGAATCAGTGGTGTAACAAGGGGTTTGGCGCCTCTTTATGGTTTCTACCGGATTTTATATCCGCATCATCTGTTTATTGCTACGGGAAGTACTTTACATTTTTTTTTCGCTATTGTAGTTAAAATATTGAATGAGCAACTTGAGTATTCATGAAAAACAAGCTTAATTGCTTTCTTTTTCCTGTAGTTTTTTTGCATACTTATGAAGGTGTGCATGAACATGCATGTACGGAAAGAATTTCAACGAAAACTTTTATCAGTTTTGCCCAGAGTTGGCAGTCGACTGTTTTTGGCTACAAACAATGTGTAGTCATTGGTCAATGGTGTTTTTAGATCAGGACTTTGAGATTTGTTCCTCAAAAATTAAGTTCGCTATCAAGAGTGACGCAGACAACTTCCGATAGCAGATAGCATTCAGTGAACTTCCTGTCCCCAGCCTTCCATCTCTACTATTATTTCCAGACAGTTGTTAATGTTTGCGGAGCTCTGAAAGAGGAAGTTTATAGAAAATAAAAATTAAAAGTTCTCTTGTGTACTGTTCATACTTTATAGTCTTCATTTATTTCCCATTTTAATTTCAAATGTGTGTTAATTTTTGTTCTGTTCCTTAAAAAATAATTACATAAAAGTACAGTCAGAGTTATACAGCTAATATTATTCTATGTGTTGCATAAATAACATTCTTAAGTATTCCAAGTGAGTAGATTTCATTACGCTTTATAAAGCACCCTCAAATGTCGTTTCTTATTCTATTGTTTTTCCTCTAATTATGCTGCATTTTTTCAAGTACACTCGAACAGCTTTACTGCCAACTAACATCAAGATAATTTTTCTCTTTGTTGGATATTCCATAAACTCAATGGATATTAAATAAGGAAGGAAAAATATTGGAACTTCAATATTAAGGTTAATAATTTTGCTTCCTTGATTGACAAAAAGAACGTCGAGATTGCTTTCTTTTCTATCTGATTCCTTTATTATCGTTCCTTCTTTTATTGAACCTTTGACAAGGAGCTTTGTGACAAAGATCTATGTCTATTGTGTTGTGCTGTTATTGCCAGTCTAAATGCGTAAATTGATTCTGAATAAAATTGTCGGATGTAAACAATTCCGAACACGTAAAATTTTATGTAAATTTACTTCCATTACTCTGTAATCTGGTGAGAATTAATGAATGGTTTGAGAAAATGGTATGAAGCAATAAAAAATTAATTAAAGTAATGGAAATCCTTATCAAATGCATAAAAAATTGGAAATGGAAATTGCCTCAAGCTCAAGAATCTTCAAGTACAAAAATAATGAAAATTCTTCTATAATCAAAAATATCTTCGTCATTTCTCTTCCATCTGATTAAACTGTCGACATTGATTGTTCATCGATGTCAATTTCCAAGCATAGTGATTTATGTATGTCAGGTCGTGAATAGATTGCGCCATTATCAGATGATTTGGAGATGTGCACAGCAATTTTTAAGGTTGAATATCAATTTTTGATCTTTTGTGTTGAGAGTTTTCTTCAGAAACTCAAGCTTAGTTCTTAATATCATAGATATCCACCCAAAAATACAGCTAAAATTGTTCGAATATTTATTAAGAGACATTGAACTGTAAGTCAATTTTTTCGTTCAATTTATGTGCCAAGTTTATGGATAGAATGCTTACGTAAGTCTTTCACAGGATTTCTATCAAGTTTTACATCACGAAGAAGTAAAAATTTTAGGAAAATTGAATCACGACAAAATGACTTTTACAGATAAGAAAAATTGACCGCAATTCTTTTGAACTGCGAAGTTCCATTAAATCATGGCAAAGCATTTCCTATTAAAGCTTCATTATCGTTCCACGTGTCAATCAATACCAAATACAAGAAAAAGTTCCAAAATAATCATATTAATTTTCAGTACAAAACAGAAAAGTTGACTGTGTATTTTAGAGATTTCTTGTTCATCGGTGACTAAGCACATCAGCATCATAATGCTGGAGGCTGGAAAATTTATGCTTGTTAATTAATTCTTACGTTGTTTTGCTTGTTTTGTGCTGGTTATTTACACAAAATAAAAACTTTTCTTAATTGAAGTCTTGGAAGTTTTTTTTTTGACTTGGAGGAAGTGATGGAACTTGAATCATGTATTTAATTAAATTACGTGATTTTCTTAAGCTTAAAAAAGTTTACAGCATTTTAATTAACTTGGCAAAAACACATAGACAGCTTTAAATCACCACAAAGTGGATGCTTGATTCCTCTTGTGTATTTGTGGCAACAGTCACAGGGTTGAAGTTTCTGACTTTTATTTTTAATTATGCCATAAATTCTAATCTAAAATCAACACTCACAATACAATCTAAATTTACTTTCTCTAACCGTTGACATTAACAGAACCTTAAACTCGACCCTTACAAAAATACAATAACAGACTTTTTTCATGTAAACAATCTTTATTATTTTAGTAACAATAACATTAATTAATAATAAGAAGATTAACAGAAATGTCAAAACCAGATTTAATTCTAATTTATTTCCTATAAAGAAATCATAAATTTTAATTATTTCCGATGCTTTTATTTAATTTCCTCGTTTTAATAATTAAAAATCACAATCGTACTTAAAATGCTACACGAAAACAAACAATTTGAAGTTCCTCCAATCTTCTTATTCAGTTTTGATCATAAAAATGTCGTTTGACTTTAGATAAATTTTGTCGGGATTCATTAAATTAACCTCGATGATCAATTTCTTAGTACTATCTGGTTTGTGATTTCCTGCAAAACTTTTGAGGCAAGAAAGGCAGTTGAATAAGCAAACATTTACTATTTGCAGTTTTGTTATTCCACTGTCTCGATTTCAATACTAATTAGATGCATACTGCAAACTAATGGCCAACAAATTAAACTTGTCGTCGAACAATGAATTGCTGATTATCAAATAGTTTAATAATCCTTGAGCGACAACGAGAATGTTAACAATTCAAAAGGATATAAACATGTTTACACAACCTGAATCAGTAATGTGAATATTATTTGTCTAACTTGGCTGAATGCCAAGAATGCATTAGGGAAACTCAACTATTCTCAACTTCCAATGTCCTGACAAAATCCATCAAAAGATTCAAAAACTTTTTAAATTCTTCTTTTTTTCTTTAATATCAATTCTATAAATATTTGTTACTTTATGCAGAGTTAACCATCGATTAATTACTTCCCAAAATATAATTTGAGATTGGAAAAAAATTGATTAAAAATTGATGTGGATGAAGTAAAAGTTTTGTGATTCAAAAAAATTGTTCCACAAGTTCTCTTTTTACTTAAAATTGTTATTCCAAAAATTTTCAATGGATATTCTATAAAGTTAAATACATGTACAGATAGATAGATAGATAGACAGATATTGTATGAACGTTATAACGATATGAACGTGCTATTGGTAAAAGACACATGCTGTTTACAGCTAGACAAATTTTTTTCTTCTTGTTTTGTTATTTTTCGTTGCCTTAAAATGAGATATTAAACCACATTAACAATGGGCATGTGTTGCTCTTTCATATGTCTCTGCCTTAATATTACAGAAGTTCCTGATGCATACTTTTCATCATAAATAAAGTTTCTCATGAATTATTTCCAAGATGATATATGGTCTGCATATTGTGCTGTGTCTCTGTATACATGTCATTGGTCAATTTTTTTATTATTGTGAAAAATGTTTTTGCAGAATGGGAAGAAAAAAAGTTCAAAGCAACTCAATTTGACATGTTTGCCGCAGAAGTTTATCGCGTTGAAAAATGCGAGCGCCAAAAAAAAAGCTCGCAAGTTCCAATATAAATTTTTTTTGCACGATAAATTTAATTTTGCTCTCGAAACTTGCATCCATAAATTGTCTTTCTCATTTTTCATATCGTTTTTTTTTTCTGTGCATGCAAATGCGATCCTGTTAACAGAAATAAATTCTCAACTAACTGCAACTTGATTACATTATCTTTCAACTGCTATTCTGTATCATCCCAGCTGACATAACTGATTGCAAGACGAGTTTAAATGCATTTTTTTATGACACAATTGTTACTAGCTGAGCATGGAAATTTGAATGCGAATTGCTTGAAGATTTAATGGTGATCAGGGACTTGTCGCTAGAAATTTAGGAAGTGCTTTAATGATTTGATATATCAATGAAATGAGATTTGATCGGAATCACCACTTTTATAGCTTTTCAATCTGGAGTCTAGAAGGAAGGTCGTTGGCTTCATGGCAGTAATGATTGAGCATCGAATAATGGAACTGTGGTTCAAACTCTAATCTCTCGAGAGGCCAGGACCTCCTTGAAAGCCCTGGCTACATACATAGACTTCAACTGAAAACTTCCTTTATGTCTGTCAGGCTTGTAATCTGCAAAAGTAATTGGAGTCTGTCCAGTTTTATGCCAGAATTTTACAACATCACTTCCATTAAATTTCAACATTCCTGCCTTCACATTTCTGTGTCTTTTTTCAATCATAAAAGGATGTTATTTGCCTTTATTCGCAATTTATTTATGCAGTGCCTGATTTACAATGAGAAAATGTTATTTATGACTTCCTGCTTAATATCAAAAAAGTATTAAATTGTCCCTTGAAGGCATTGGAAACGAGAAGTCTCGAACCACATTGAAACTGATTCTTTGTTAGATAACAAAACCATTCATTATGCTGCTGCTCAGTTCTTGCTACAAGAAAATAAATCAATCGTGTCACTTATATTGTATGCTTTCAGTATGTTTTGGTTTTGTAAGACAAGAGAAATTTGCATAAAAAATTAATAACTTTAAAATTATTAAGCACGTGAGTGCTTTTGTTCATAATTAAATTAAGTAATAAGTTATATAAAAGCTCTTAGGAGAAACTGTAGAGCTAGCTAAATGTGTGTATCCTCTTGTTAAGTATCGTTATGAAGAATACATGCAAAAATGTTCATTTTATGTGAAAAACCTCAAAAGCTTATTCCTTCCAAAGAAGAAAGCTAGCGAGAAAAAGCCCATAACATAAAAGTAAGAGTAACAGATGTAATGCATTAAAATCCGACGAGTCTCAATAAAACAAGCAATTTGTATCATGGTCTTCATTGTGCTAACTGCACATGTATAAAATTCGAAAAAATAATAAGAAGAGCATTAAAATTATAAATACTCAGGAAACGCCGGACGAACTCATTATGCTGTCACATAGTATGCCCTTTTCTCGCGACGTTTCTGACATTTTTCACGCAGAATATACAATAATGCAATAATTATGAGGATGGCGATGATAATAGCCATTCTGAAAAGAGAACGAGAGAATAAAGTTTAAATTAGTTTGGAATTTTAGATGACGATGAATTGGATGTGATTAATTAAAGCGCAATTTGCAGCTTAAAAAATACTAGAAGAGTCAAGGGTCTTGACTACTAAAGCTAGAAGAGTTGACTTCAAGATGCAGCTATTCAGAAGTAAACATCTGCCAAAATTAAGCAACAGCACTTCAACAATCTTTTTATTTCAAATCGAGATAAAGCACATAAAAGCAGATTCACAAACCGACCATATTCCCGAGCGGCACAAGGTGGAGGGTGGTCTCCATATGGAATCCACATGAAAGCCACCTCCACTATGTGGGAAGTAAATGGAGGGTTATTTTTTCATCCTTCATATTGATTCCATTTGGATTCCATATGAACTCCGCTTTTTCTTAAATCAAATACCGAAAAACTCGTGCTTTTGAATTTTTAAAAGACAGAGGTCAGATCTTACTCTAATGGATTGAAATATTGTCGAAAAGCTTTACTGAATCATATTGCTTCATTTCAAGCTTTAAAAAAGCAAAAAAGGATAATTTTTTGTGATTTTGTATGAAATTACATACTTCACAAGCGCATGCAGAAATCACTATTATATCCGGTCGTTTAATTTGTATGAAAATTTTTAATAATTTCTTATGTTTCTCACGCGTGTGATCGAGACTTAGAAATTGCTGTGGTTGCGACTTAATTAAATTAAGTTGTAAATTTTTCAATAGTGATAGTGTACTTTTATTAAGTCCACTAATACACAAATCTTGATATAAAAATTGCGAAACATAGAAAAACACGTGGAAAATCGTACCAAAAATCCTTTGAAAAATACTTCCATTAAACCTCCGTTTGACTACCACAAATGGATCCTCCATCCTCCATCAAAACCTCTCAAATGACTTCCATTTAGTGTTAATAAATGCACGTCCCACGGAGGATTTTCGGAGCTTTGGCTCCGTCAAAGTTCCATGATAGTAAGGTTTTCGGAAGATTTTCAAATGGAGGGTGGAACATGGAGGCTCCGTATAGCTTCCATATGGAAGGCAAATGGAGCCTTTGTGCCGCTCGGGATTGTCAGGTATGTAATGATGAAAACTGCTATCCATTATGAATAAGCTTCTATTTAAACATTTATGGGAAAAGTTATTATGTTCCTTATTATTTCCACTTCTTTCATATTTTTAATAAAGCACTTTTTACGGTCACTAAAGTTTCCATTCTTTTTTATTGCCACTTCCATTCATTTCCTTTCAATTACCATTAAATGTGTACTTAAAGTGCTTTTCACGTAAGGAGCTTTTTCATCCTTTACATCCATACATGAGCGTAAACATAATTTTTAATGACACGATTTATGAGCATACAGAGTTCATAAGAAATGATTGAGTTCTTTCACAGTACTTACCCGATGCTAATGTACATGATATTCTCATTGATACCCGTATAGGAATGACCTGCTCAATAAATAATTAATTTTGTAATCTTGAGTATGTAGAGATTATCGTATGTCAAGGGCATGTCTAGAGCGAATCGTATGGAAAATGGATTTTGCTCTTTCTGGATACGCATTTGCCACATCTAATTTTAAGCTTTTTACCTGTATTCGTAAGATGTCCTCCATATCCATAATTTCCAGCAACACGACCAACCTGAAATTAATAATTCAAGACGGAAATGAATGCTGTTGAATTCTGATAAAATAATAATGATAGCTTACCGGCATTTTTGCAAATAAACTTGCTTTTAAGACTTTAGGGAAGTAATTAGTGCTGCTTCAGAAAGTAAAGTAACCGTCTGAGAGTATACAAAAAAATGAACGATGTTTATAAGGGTATATGCATTCAATTCCTCAAAGATGATATTTAATGTAAAGATTGAAAGCTTCCTGTGCACCGAACAATTTGTCTCCAATGCAATACAATTACTTCTTTGATGAGCAAACAGCAGAAACAACCTTTTTGAATCAATTTCCTTTTACTACTTCTTCTTTCTCTGTGAAATTACAATAAAAAAGGAAAAATTATTTTATGCTCATTAAAACTTGCTTCTTTTAAGTCCTGATGATTCTAGGAATGTTTGTTTCTGTAATTATTGCAGCAATTGATGTTTTTGTGGTTTCTTATTGGCTCGTTTTGAAAAACTAATTAAATAATAAATGCAAATGTTTATTAATAAACATTGTAGGTGCCTTGACAGCTCCCTTGAAAGACTTTTAGACACATTTACTTACTGAAGAATTTCTTTAATTTAGACATTGTTTGAATAGCTTTAATGAACAAACAATTCCATTTCCTTTTAACTGGTTAACTGACATTTTTGATAAATTTGACTTAAAGATCAGTTATATCAACGCATTAATCATTTGCCGACTGATAGAAACACATCATTCATGCATTGTCTATTAAATTATTTCATTAGATCCAATTCTATTAAAAAGATATGAAAACAAATTGATAAAATCAGAGATTTTTGTGCGGATTAATATTTCAACTTAGATATGCCTAAAGCAAAAGGTACATATTGTTATTAATCCAGCTAGACATTTACTATGATCAAGCTCCAAAAACATTGGATTATGTAGCAAATTTCAGTTGTTATATTTAAGTTCCCATTAACAGAAGTAGATTTTAATTCATATAAATAAGTTTTAAAAATCTCAACTCTACAAAACTGTGAAAATTTGTGCTGGAAAAATGCCAATTTTTAAGCACTTAGCTTGTGACTATTGAAACATTGAAAATGAGATATGAATTTTCATGAGATGATAATTGAAATATCAACTATCCGGAACTTTTCTAGAAACTTCGTTGAGCAGAAAAAAAAGTTTTACGACTTTCAATTTTCAACATAAACTTGGATTAGAAAGTTTTTATGACTTTTTATGAGAATAAACTGGCTATGCTAGCTTACTGGTTTACTAAAATTCTTAAAAACTCAATCAATATTCTTCGTCAACGAGTAGCTTAAATTCAATCATTAAAAGAGTTTCAAGTTAGTTGCACTTCAGTTTTATCAACTTTAATAAATAAATTTCGATAAACATAGCATCAGGATAAAGCTTTATTGATAAAACTTTTAATTTTGAATTTTTAATGACATTTTGTGTCCAATTATGTTTTGGAGCAGGATAGAGGATCTAACCTATCTAGTACCATACAAATTTCAATCTAATGAGAGTTCAGTCCCCTTTTACACCTCCTGGAATCTTTTAAGCCCGAATCTCATTCCATCCTAAAAAACCTTTTTACTCTTTTGCTGTTAGATTCGAGCTTTTTGGATCAAGATTTCTGCAAAAGTATTTTTTTTTTTTTGTAAGCTTTGGCAGATTTGTGAACTTTTATGCTTGTCTTCTTCCTTTTTCCTTTCTACTTCCTGCCTACTTACTTGAAATCTTTTTATTATGCTGACTGAATTATTATTCTTGATTTTTTTGAAAATTATATCGACAATATGTCTGTAGTTTTTATTGGGGCTATAGAATTAATGATAAAGGGCTGAATTTGAAGAAAAATCTCGACCTTTTAAATGATAAGGATCAAAATTTATTGTGCTCAATTTAAATGGTATTATGGGGATTTTTTCCCTTCTTAATTTTGATTATTTGGGCTGATTTTGTGGTTTGAAAACTTTTGAGGAAAATATTGGAAAAGATATAAATTTTTGGCTATCTCACTTCTCATATTTTCAAATTCAACTTTTCTTTTAACAAAACCGAAAATAGTTCCAAACTCAAATCATAAAAACCAAATTATTCCTGAATCAAAATTTTCATAAAGAAGTTTATAGCTGTTAATTATTTATGTTAAATTACTTTAGTATAAATAGTTTGTTGCTGTTCATGATTTTATGAAACTATTCAAAAGTTTTTAACATCAATATTTAATTTCCATAAAAAAACTCATCATTTTAAATATGCAGCTATGATTCATATTCTAAGAAATCATTGAAATATGTTGTAGCATAAATCTATGTTCATTTAAATTTTTAAAGACTACAACCATAGCAAGGTCATGATATATATTCCATGCATAATAGCGGTAAACCATTCAAAGGATCAAAACTGAATCAAAGGATTATTGGAAAATGTAAAGTATTATATTTAATTGGCAGATCATTGCCATTTTTTGAAAACATGCATAAATAATCCTTTTGCATGTAACCAATTCATATTGCTCAATTATTAACATCAATATTTTATTTGCGGTTCTGAGCTTCTACATTTTATGTAACATTAGAATCAAATTGGCTTTACACAAATAAATATAACCACCTGAGGTTGCATATGAACTTGAACTAAAAAGAGATAACAGAGACATCAAAATTAGCACAAATGTCATGGACATCGTAGAAAGGACGATGGTTTGCCAGATTCGCCACAAGTGATTCTACATTTTTAGCGTTAATCCTAACCTGTGAATCAATCGAAAACCATTTAACATCATCATATTCTCATTCACAACATGCTAAACAAAATCGAAAGTTTTACACACAAAAAAAAAAGACATAAATTTTTTCATTCGTTTTTAAAATTGCAAAACGATGTTAAGCTGTAATATATATCCAGATGTTGAATCTTTTCAATTGAATTTTCTGATTCTATTTTGCTGTACATCTGTGACTCGATATCGATCTGTTAGTCGATTATGAAATTTCCTGGCATGTTATGAAAGATGCAGAATCAGTTGCTTGATTCAGAATATTGAAAGGAAATTGATCAAATTATAACATTTGCACAAAACCGTAACTGAATTTTCATGGAACCACAAAATGTGCAGACGTTACTGCTCAATTTAGTTATGTACATATGGATGTGGTGCTCAATTACATTTATGAGCTTTTATAAGTGAAAGCCATTCCATAAAATAAAAGCAAATATTTACTTTTCATCCAGATGTGCTTTAGACATTAAAATTCTGCATACAAATTTTCATTTACTCAATTAATGCCTTTAAAAAGTTTCCACTTAAATTATTCCAAAAATAAATTCTCATTTTAAGGGAGCATAAAGTTTATTCATAAATTCTGAGAAAATTTTATTTTCATGCAAATGAAAATTTCTTAAAAAAAGTTTCTCTAAGATCAAGCCACAGAGATTTCTTATGCTTAGTCTTGAATATAATTTTCTAAAGGGAGTTCTTTCACTTTTAATAAAGTTAATCAGATCAAGTTTCGAGAAATAAAAAAACTTGTGTAAGATAGAGCTAGACAATAAAGTTTGCATGCTTATGTTCATGATGTTAAGTTAGAGCTTTATGTTTTAATAGTTGAAAGAAAATTTTGGGCATCCGAGATTTTTGAGATTGGCAGGATGAAGTTCTTATTCCATTGTATGAATTCATGCAAAATTCTTGTCGACTTTAAGTTCTGGTTGTAAGTTTCTATTGTTTAAAGAAACTTTAGACTTTAAAGCAACTTGCTTACAATTATTGCATGAATTATATTTTATTAATGATGTATCTAGTCAGAATTTGAAAAGCACAGAGGAAGATGGTTGACTAGCATCCTAAATAATTTAAGGCTTCCATAGATTCGCATCATTAAACACAATTATCTATGTAGATTTTAACAGAAAACTCATCATCCTTCATTTGTAGAAAAATAAAGAACAAAAATTCATGCCTAATTGGATTTCTCTTTCTTGGATGTACTTGTGCTGAAACTCGAGTAATTGAATTAGATTTTAATTGAAAAGTGTCAAAAAAAATGGTCTCAAACGAAAATTTAATTAAAGCTTGAATTGGAAAAGAAAAAGAATCTACAAAGAACACGAAAAAATTCAATTTTTAATAAAAAATTATTTTTGTTGAGCTTTTTTCCATTTTTGCAAAATAAAAAGTGCTGAACTGCATTTATGGATGTAAAAAAAGTAAGCAATAATAAACGGCAAGGGAGAAAAAACTTCGAAACGTGCTTTATATTTTAAAAGTTTCTGATCTTCTTCCTGCCCCAATTTTCTTTTGAGATGAGAAATTAAGCAGCACGTAATCACAAGTGAAATGAGAAGTAAAATCGTAATAAAAAGTTATGTTTCCTTAGGATTTATTTCTAAATTGTTCATCATCTAGACTTTTTTGTGCAGATTGACTCAATTGAGTTCTAATTTTAAATTGCTATCCAGTCTGCTTTTATATCGACAATAAAAATGGACCAATTGCCTAAGAGGTAATTAGTAAGAAAGTCTAGAGTAATCTTTATTCTGGTCACATATTGGACATGATTTTTTAGTATCTTAAAGTTTTTGGGAAATGAATTTCTATCGTTTTAAGCATCCTAGAATTCCTCAATCTGTTAATTTCATAAAATCTTTCGTCTAATTAAAATATCAATTCGAAAAATTGTAGAATCATGTCAATTAGGGATTGAAGCCTAAAGTTCCAAGCAGATATTTTTTTTTCAGAAGCCAGACATTTTTTGCCGTCAGAATCGTTCTAAGGCTTAAGTTTTTTGCTACCGCAGAAAATGTCTTTTCAACTGAAATTTAAATTTGAAGTTCAAAGAAATTCAAAGAGAAAATATGAAAATTAATTAAATTTCTCTCAATTCCTACGCAACTGAAATTAATTGGAGTTTATAAACTTCAAAAATCATTGGGTATTGAAGTGCTTCTATGAAGGCTATCAAACTTTTTTTTTCGCTGTCTGCTTCAAATTGATCTAATTTAGAACTTGAAATTGATGGAATTTTTTTATTAAAAATATATTTATTTCCGTTTCATGGTTGAGTTTTGAGGATTCATTGTCGAGAAATTGTGAATGTAGGAGTTCAACTATTGATGAATTTAATGATTTTGTGTAGCGCTGAATCTCTTCCTACCTTCAAAAACAGATTTTATTTCAATTTACTATTCAAAAGACTCAAAAGAGCTCTTTCGTCAAATTCCGCAATTTTCCTCAATTATAATTTTATTTTAACTGTTTCAAAAGCCATTTTTAATATCTATTCATAGAATAATTCCTCAACCATTATACTCTACAACACCTCACTTCCTCATTATAACAATTTTAATAAATTGCTATCAATTATTAAACCTTTTCATTCCAAAAGCATTTACTGTTTGAGATGAAGTTTCATTTGACTTTTCATATTAATTATCTTAATGAATTTCTGCAACATCATGCACAGATTCGTTGATAGAATATAAATATTCTGATGGTTAATTAAATTCATTGATTAATTGATAGACTAATTTGATCAATCAGACGTTATTGATTTAGATTGTTCTGAACTTAATTTGTAGGTAGCTAAAGATAATCTACAGCAAAAATGAATCATTTTTAATAAATTGATGATTTTCACATTGTTAAACTAAAACATATGCTTAATCCACAAATTAAATTTTGAGTAAGTCTAACTCTAATCATCTCCATATGCTTTGACGTGCGTTTGTCAGCTGTTCACACCTTCAAAATGCTAATTACATAAGCATTCGAGATAACGTCTGAGTGACTTTTCAAGCTATTTTTGACATCATTAGCACTTAAAAAGCTTTCCATCTGCTGCTGATTGCAAACACATCATAAAATCTTGTTTGTGCATCCTTCAAGTCACACATGCTCTTGTGGTTTCAATAATCAAATCAGATTGAATTTACATTGGTGAAATTATTGAAACAAAGTTGGTGATTTGATGTCGGTTTGAGTTTTTTTCGTATTTTAGTCACATAAATTTTTTTTGTACATGCTGTGCAAGTTTTTATATGCAAAAACTTAAAGAGATTTATTTTACGGTTTTTCAAGAAGTGGATTTTTTGGAAATAAAGTAATAATCACCATTTTAAGGCACTCCCTATGCTTAATTACAATGAATTTAATGCCGAATTGATTACACACAAAACACAAAAATTCATCGAAATGACAAAGATTTCTTCAGCTTATAATTACTTACTCAATGTCTTAATAATTTATTGCTTTTACAGTAAATCTTGAAAATCCTTATCTGTGCTATAAGTACATTAATGTGAACTGTATGTGTCTCTCTAGATAATCAATATTTTTGCAGTCTATGTAAACACATATGGGTTTTGATGCTTATGCTGTACTTATCTGTCATTTTACTGATATAAATCTTCAATAATTACTGTCTTATCTTTTAAAGGCGTGCTCAAATGAATCAAAGAACCACATTAAGAACTTAAACAGTAATTCATTCAAATTCTTTGGGATCAGGGCAGTTCACAAGCATATTTAATACCTTATTACGCAACTATTAAATGACATAAGTCTTGAATTGTCCTCAACAATTGTTTAACAAAAGGTTTGTAAAAACATGTAGGATTATTATTTACAATTCGATCATGGCAGAACAGCTTTAGGCACGGTTCATTCTGATGAAAAAAAAATAATGTTAAAGCCTTAATGTTGTGTTAAAGCTTTTTAGTGACATTGCATAATTCCGTTTGATTAATGAAGATATTTTGCTGATGTTTAGATGCTCTATGAGGAGTTGCTTGTGATTCTTACAAAACTATGAATGCTTAAAGCAAAACTTTTTGAGACATGTCTGAAATCACGCTGCGAAATCACCAACCAGTCAATGCTTTGATAATGAATATGATTCATATATTCAAACATGTTGTTGTGAATATTTCACATAATTCCTGTATGATGTGGTAAACAAAGTCATGTAAATAATAAAATTAGAGTAAACCACGTCAGGATTTGATTTTGTTTGAACGATACATGCACAGACTTTCTGATGACCTGCCATTGCAAGATCTTGTTGATCAAATTCAATGCTTCTAAAATTCCTCACGTGAAAAGTGCTTGATTGATTTTAAAAACCGACATTAAATTATTATTGTGGAAAATTGAAATTTCTGAATAATTTATTTGCCATGAAAGGGTCATGCTGGTAATTTATGCAAACATATTTTAGAGTCAATAATGGTTTTAAGGTGAAATATTTATAAAATTCCCTCATTCAATTATTGTTCTGGATAATAATTCATATAATGCAAAATTAAAATGGTTTATCCAGCTATTGTATATTTGATAGTGTCTGTAATGCATCACAAACGCAGCTGGTTCACAATCAATCGCAAATTTAATTTATGATTCTTGTTAACGCTGTTAATTTCCATTTTCACAATACCCATTAATTAATTCAAATATGCATTAAAGTGACCAAAATTTTAATCATTTTATTCCATTATTATATCCTTTCGTAAGCTCGCTTCATCAGTATTTAATGATGTCCAATTTATTTGCATATTTGAAGCATTAAAATATCTGACATACATATTTGGGCCAATGATTAATTAACGGAGCATTTTTATTGATAAATATATTGCCTCATTGATATTCACATTTTCTTCAATAAATATAACTTCTGTTTAAGGCATAAATCATTTAAATTTTTTGACGAGCATGAAATCGATGAATTCAATCATTGAATCTCGCGATTATTATCGAAGTGCTGATAATGCGTTGGATTTTATTTTATTTATTTCACAAATTCACACAGTGCCAAAGAGTCGCAAGTTCTCTCAAATCAACAATAATAATGATGAATTAAAAATAATGTTAATGTCATCAGAGCTTTATATTTACAAGAAAATTCCAGAGCAATAAAATAAAATACTTGCGTCAGGAATGCAAATTAAAATGACTTTAGGTGAAGTCATATGAAATGAAATGGTACATGATTAATATGTGCATGCATACGGAATGATTCCACTTCTTTCAAGTGAAGCATTTTAAATATTAAACTTTTAGCACTTCCATGTGAATCTCTCAACGTCTGTTACTAAAAGCAATACATAATCAAAATCTTTGTTGATGCTCAATTTCCAGCGCAATTTATTTTTAACAATATCTAAATCAAGATAGAATTTTGTCGACTGGTTCAATGAACGACAGCAGTTTTCTCAGTCTGAATCATAAATATTGATGTCCTCATGTCTTTCCAAAAGCTATTGCAGTGATAATTTGTTCTTTATTGTATTATTTAATTCAATTAAATTGTAATCAATTGGACAGAAAGTTTTGGAGATGAATGAAGAACAAGTTATGAAATTTTAAAGTTTAAACATGCTGGGATTATTTGCAGACATTGAAAAAATTCGAGACGTCAATAAACTTTTTTGATTTCTAATGTCGCAAGCGTAACGTCGAGAGCTTTAAAGAATCGACACCTTTAAAGAATCTAATAAATTGTCTGCAAATGAAAGGTAAACAGCTAAAAGCATCTTACTTTGCATTCTTAATCCACAAGTATCTCTATGTTCTTACATTTAAGGTATTGAATTCACTGTCGAGTAAACAGTCAATTTACTGTATTAAGACTAGATTTTCTTTCCTTTTCCCATTTTTCTATTGTCAAGGACTCGTTTTTTGCATTTACTTCGTGCACTCTAAGAAATTGGAAACAGTTTAGGAAGGTCAAATTGCCAACATCCGTAAAGGATTCCTATTGTAGGAATGAACTAATCAAATTGATTTAAAATTGATGAATTTAAAAATTACACAAAATTCGGACTTCCTAGTTCACAGTATAAACTATCAAGGATGTTGTTTTTAAAAGAATATCTTTTAGGTCATAAATTGGATATTTTTATCACACAAATGAAAAAATAACAACAATGTTTATTTTGTTTGCAGCACATCCTCATTATTAAAAAAGTTCCTGTCTCCTTAAAGCTAAAACAGCACAATGTGAATAAAACACTTGAGGACGAAAAATTAAAGATGGATGAAATGTTTTTCTCTTCACTTTTTCTGCCCTGCTGATTGTTCTTGATTTACTTCAATTTTATTTTTCTTATAATGATTTTTTTCTCTCTTTCTTTTTAGGAAAATGGATTTATGACTCAATTGTTGATACATTCCACTAAACTTTTACACATCTGGATGTCAAAATGTAGTTTTAAACTTACAATTATGGCTGAAAATGCCTCAAAAACTTTTGCAGCGTACAAAAATATTCGAGAACAAAAACATTTTCTTGCGCGATATAAAGCAGAACTAAATGTAGAAATTCCTATGGAAAAGGAAAAATTTTGCAAGGATGCTGTGAGAGGAACTGAGAGGAAAATTCTCGCAGGAAATTTTGAGAGTCAGGGTTTGGTAGGAGTTTGTTTTGTTATGTTGTAAGCTTTTGATCATTTATGAGTGGAAATTTCAATGCTCGAAGGCTAATTTTACGATAGCTTCGGTTTAGAAAATGAGAGAATTTTCCTCTCAAATTTCCTCTCTCATTCCTATCTGTTTAAGATTCAAAAAGCACATGTTGACACACCTCATACCAAAGTTTGTCTATTCGGGGAAAAATAAACCAGCTCAATACAATCAAAAGTATTTTTAGATCTACATTTAAATTTACTCTAATAACAAACGTGATGCTGTAAATTTCTAATGTCTGATTGGTTATCGAAAGATTAGAATTTTCTACATGATTATAATTATTTGTGTGCCTATGTTTGACAACAATTTTAATGATTTGTAATATAAATAAATAAGGTCTTATACACTTGTGTACATTTGGAGTGAACAATAAATTTTTTTATGCAATACGTGTGCAAAGTTATTTTATGACAACAAAACCTTTTTGGACAATTATTTTGAATATTAAGTCACAGAGCTTCCAAAAAACCTTAGGAACAGATGCAAAACATTTGTATGACGTAATCGAATAGCTTCATCTTTTAACTATTTCTTGAATTTTTTTCAGGTTGAATTCACTTTCATATTTAAATATTTAATTGTTCTGGAAGCAATGACTAGTTAAGTCTTGACAAAAGATATGTATAATTCTTTTGTTTTAAATTTTCTTTAAAACAAAGAAGTTTTTTTTGGAAAATTCATGCATGCCTGGAAGGTAAGTTGTTAATCTGTTGATTTGCATACAAAATGCTGAAATATCAAAATTGGTTTCAAATCAGAAGCAAGTTTTCCAATATAAAGGAACTTATTGGATTTTTGGTAAACTAATCTCAAGATTACGCCATCAAAGTCATCAAAATGAGTCCATAAGCTCGAAACTTTTTAAGGAGGAATGGAAGCAAAAATTGTTATCTTCGGTCATATGTAGAATTGTTGCTCAAACTTTTTGGGATTTTGAAGCTCATTTAGTAAGTAATTGCTTCTTTGTTCAATCAAAACTTAAATTCTTGAGTATTTTTGCTTGATTAACAATAAATGTCAAAAGGATTCCTTTCTTTCAAAATGAAACCTAAGATCTTTCATTTTCAGAAAACAATATGTTGAAACTATTCAGATTCAAAAGGTAGAAGAACATCCACACAAATTTTTTATTATTCCCATCACAATCATTTTCCAATTTTTTATTTCCGTTTTTTCAAGTTTTAGACACAAAATGTTCTCCAAATGATCAAAATCTATCACTTTATTATTCGATGAGTCATCGCACATCACCTATAAAAATTGAATGATAAGCAGATTCAATATGCAACGACTCATTTAGTATACAAATTTCATATTTTGTTCCTACAATAAAGCACATATAAAAAATAACGATCCTAAAACTTATTGTTGATTTTTTGAAGATTTTTCAGTAAACTACGTTGACAGCAATCGTTTCGTCCATCAATAACACCAGATTATACATTGAAGTTCAGTTCTATCCAATTTCATCAGACTAAACATCACCAAATTGAGCACAAATTGTCTAAATTTAACAATCAGATGATTTCGTTAACTTTAAAATTCTTAAATTTAACTCAGTTCAAATCATTTGCAAAAACTCTGGTTCGTATGCAGCTGTTGAGAGAATATCATCGATATCAAGCGGTGATAAACTTCCTAATGATTGCATATTCTCATGACCAAGTAGCCAAAATGTTTCCATATCTCCTTTACCCTGTTTGTGAATAAACAAGTATGAAGGATTTAAAATTTAAATGGAATTTTATTTTCATTTGTATAACAAAAACACAAAAGAAAATGCTTTAAATAATTGAATGGGGTAGCAAAATGAAATCATTGATTGCAGGTAATTTTAACAGTATAAAATAAGGAAGAGATTGATAAAGAATTTCATAAAATGACATAAATTTTCAGTAATTTTTTAATATTTTATAAATGTTGTTTCTCTTGCTTGATCATCTAGTTTAGTTGATGTCGACAACCTGAAACCATGTTATATTAAGCCTCGCAGATTCAATGCAGCAAATTTTCAAATTTTATTAAAATTTTCATAAAAAATTAATTTCTTTTGAAGTTTAAGAAATCTTCAAAAATCTTTTATGTAATGAAATAATGTTACAGCATAACTTTCATCCCTTAGCTCCAATCGTAAAGATTTTTGATCTCTCTTTTATGCAACGATTGTTCTCAGATTAATGGGAGTACAAAAATAACTGCTGTTAAAGCATTTTATTTCTGTTGAGAGATTTATTTTTAAGCATAAAATTGAAAATATTCTCGGAAGTCTTATTCTTCAGACTTGTAATAAAATCGTTAGCAACAACGTGAAATCATGCGACACAATTATTTGATTATAAGTTCATTTTATTCTTAATGCCATTTTCATAACCTCCACAAAGTACAAAAACATTGTATACAATGCCTTTGTCTTGATTTGATAATTTCTAGACGAAATATATGGACATGCTTTTGGTATTTTGTGGCCTTCAAAAGACTCAATAAATAAGCTTAACACGATGCGCTGCTTTAAAGGCCTCTTGAGAGAAAAAAAAATGTGTTTATGGCTGTTTTAATTGAAATGTCCAGTAAAAATTGCTTCTGGCAATTTCCAATGACTGTCAAAGAATTTTAAAATAAAAATCACTTGCCATTTAAAATTAGCTTTACCTTTATTTCAATAGATCCTCTTTTCTCTAACATAAATCCACCATGATGATCCAATAGCTCCTTTGTTGTTGCTGACACGTGAATCTTCATTGCTACAAAAGAGGATATAAAAAGTTGTCGTCTAAAATTTCCGATAATTCAATAAAACAATTGTTTTGTGCTTGTTCTAGTCAATTTATTTTCATCATCCTACCTTCCCCACGATTCTCCATTCTGGATGCAACATTTATTGTATCGCCTAGATGAGAAAATAAAAATCAGAATTAATTTTCATGAGTTCACTTTTTTTTGTGCTCTAACTGTTTTGTAGTGAAAATGGATTAAATACACTCGACACTCCAAAATGGTCATTCGGATGTTTTGTAACGTTAAAGAGGACTTAGGACCGAAATCCATTGCTTCGTTACTTTTAGTGCGACACATAACCGACATCTAAATTGAACACTGTAAACATATTTATTATTATTCCTGGCATTCCGCTTCACCATGACATATTCAACATCTTGCACGTCATTTACAATGCATTGTATTGAATTTACATAGTGCATGAAATGAACTCACACCAAATTGGCATATTATTATTTATAACTTTGTAGCGCAGATATTTCAAAACCAAAAGTAAGTCATACTGTGCTCATTGATGTGTAAACAATCTTTACAATCTACCTCCGTAAAGGATTCACGTAGAAGAAGTCTTATTTCATAAATGCTTAAGAACGTGTTCTTATTTTTATTTTCTCGGTGAATTTTCTTTTGTTTTTCAAGTTGAAGAGCATTATAATATCCAGTAAAGAGCTTACGGAGAATACTCCTAAGTGTGGCTAAAAATTCTCGGAAAGGTTCAAAGACTAATGAGCTAGAGACTTTTATCAAACCAATTAATTTCAATGTGATGTATAATATTTAAGAGAGAAGAGAAAGAATTGGGTGACAACGAAAATATTGTAAGAGCAGCTAGGTGAGAGGGGTTTTTTTGTGACATCACATGCGAATGACCCCACATCAAAATATTGATTTCCTGTGATTTATTTTTATAGATTGGATTCTCTTCAATTGATCAATAACAGATTTAATTCTCATAGTTACAGACAAACACAAGGTCGTGGTCACGAAGAATTAAACATTATCATTTAGTCGTTGCTCTAATGTTCTCTGTGTGCAAATATTGTTTTGTCGACACTTTGGAGCCACTTAAGATTTGTAAGTGAAATTTAGTGCCAGATTTATAGTGTCTAGAATGTTTGTCTATTCGATGGTTAATCTTGTTTCTCTAAATTTTCATTTATGCAGCTTCTTTGAGACATTTTATTACCAACTATCGATTTTCAATTAGGCTATAAATAATATCAATGATGTCATCAGTTGATTGTCCGCAAATTATTATTTGTGAAATTAAATTCCAATTTTCTCCAGTTTTTGAGTGAAAACCTCAAAAGGATTCAAACATTTTTGCAACAGTCCACAATCAATAATGTAAATGATGAAAGGAAAATATTTTAATTTAATAGTAAATGAACCATAGCAAAATAACCTCAACCATCATGTACGTTCCAATAATTAAAAATTGTTTTATATGATTTTACGTCAGCATTTTAAAAATAGGGTAATTTAATACTTAATTATACGTACCGAATAGGCAATAACGTGGCATACTTGTTCCCACAACACCCGCAACACATGGACCCGAATTAACTCCAACTCTTATTTGTAGCTTCTCAAATGGACGATGTGGTATGTAAAAGCTCGAAACACTTGTTATTAAATCTAGAGACATAAATGCAATCTCAGAGGCATGTTTGTGACCTATTTAAATTTACCCCAACGAAAAATTAAAACATTTATAAGGATTGGCAAAATTGATCAACATATTTATATGCATACCAGGTGCTTTCTTTGGTAAGCCACTAACAACCTGTTGGAAAATTGGCAATTTTTAATGAAGGCTTTTAACCGCAACATCCAATTTTCATTCGCTTACCATATATGCATCACCAATTGTTTCAACCTTATAAACATCATATTTTTGTATCCGAATGTCAAACAGTCGATACAGTTGATTCAGTAATGAAACAACTTCCTATAAATATCAAAGGATACAGTCATTGATGTTGTGGAGGAAACAGAAAATTTTTATAATCGTTACCATTGGTGATGAATTTGATGAAATGAAAGTAAAACCAACGATATCACTGAAAAATATTGTTACGCTCTCAAAGCTTTCAGCAATCACCTACATTGCAGTATGATAATGAATACAAAAATATTACTAAATTAAGAAAAAAAAATTCGTGAAATTTATATTCAATTTATTTATGAATGTAATCAAAAATATTTTTTAATACTTTGTAAAGCGTTTCATGCTATTCATTAAATTTTGAGGGTGGGAAGTGCTTTTAAACTGTATATGAGAAAGATATTAATAATTCATATGCAAGGGTTTTTGGCACATTGATACTTTATTACAAAAGACTAAGCCACAATATTTTAGACTCTGCCTTAAAAATGAATTAAAAATGCAACCACTTCCTTCAAACTTTTAAACAATTATTTTTCATTCAAGATCACTTCTCTCATAAGAAAGATAAGAATAGCCAAAACATCCGACGAGTCATATTTAATTTCAAAAATTGCACTCATTGTAGCAAATTACAGTCAAAATCAATTTTGGTTTTATTGGCAAACAGGCATCCGGTTAAACAAAATGAAGCAAAAATGTAATGTGTATCGACGAAAATATTCAGAAAGTTTTTTGACCTTTTGACTCAGCATCTAATGAAATGTTTTACTGAACTTATTTATGACTTCCTTATTCTTCATTTCTTTACTTGACACCCGTTATTGGCTCTGATGTAGCCACAGGTTAATGAAAATACAACTCTATTGAATTGTATGTAAATAAGATGCTTTAAAGTACTTATTGGAATTTGGGTTTCTTATCGAGTTCAGATCACAATTCTCAAATAAATTCTGGCTACGAACAGATCAATGACCCAAATTTCTCACTCTAGTTATGGAATATTGTTGAATGGATTCTTGACAGGACCTCACAAAATAATAAGAGCATAAATATATTGAAATCTGAGCATCATTTCTTGGAAGTATTTTTTATATAAAAAGTATTGAAGAATAACATAATAATTGAATTCAGCTTAGGTTTAGAAAAGAAGAAAACTTTAACAAAACGATAAATTTTTTCAATAACTTAAATCAAAGAATTTGCATTGACAACAAGAGTCACAGAAAATCTGCAACGTGAAAATGGGTTTCCACAGTGGTATTTTCACACAAATCTTTAAGTTTCTAACATGATTAACAATTTGTAATCTTTTCAAGGTTAAAAAAGCTCGATAAAATTTCAGGATCAATTTGAATTTTTAAAGATTAGAAAAAGGATTAAACATTTTAAATCACTATAGATACCCATCATTATTTTTAAATGGCATTGATATGCCTAGAAACTTACTAGATTTCAAATTTAAATGTCTTCAAATTTTTTGGATAAACAATTGAACAATTTTGAAAACATGTTAAGCATGTCATAGCAACATATAATATTTTTTTAACTTTAACTTCACCTTAATTAATGTAGTAAAGTTGTTTACATAATTTCTTATTTTTCTAGGTTTCGAGGTAAATAATTCAAAAATAAGATTTTTAATTTATTTGATTTTTTTACAAAAACTTTTCAAACAACTATGAATTTTGAAACTAAAATTAGTCGATTATTTCGATTATTTCGGAGTTTCAGCACGACTGACTTTGAATTAAGTGTTTGAATTAACCTAAATAGCACAAGTCGATTAATTGCACAGAAATTCGGCACCAATGCCAGATTCATGCTGGCTTTGTGCCGGATTTCTATTCGATTAACCGACTCGTGCTATTGACTCAGATTTTGTAATGATGAATTAAATTTTTTGTAGTTTGCATCAACATTAACTTAATATAAATTTGCTTTTATAACTCAAAAGTGAACATGAATGGGCAGTTTAAATTATAATTGAAGTAATTGTTATGTGAGAAAAATCCCTTTAATGTTTACCTTCCAAAATAAAACAGACCTTCCTAGAAAAATACTCAAAATAAGTTTTCTTTTTTAAAAAAAGCTATTTTGAACTGATTGCAGTTATTAAAGCAAATCACCTATTTAAATTTAGGAGCCACTCTTTTGGAATTGCTTGATTTTTGATTGCATGTTTATATCATTAAACCTTTAGATTTTAAATAAATAAATGACTTTATACCAAGAATGTTTTAATGATTTTCCATTCTACATGCCTTTAATGTAAAAATTATTTTTGATACATTCTGTTTTTGAGTTCATTTTAAAAGAATCATATTTCCATTATTTTGAAATTCCAAACGCCAAAATAATAAAGTGAGTTGTTCATCGAATAAAAACTGAGGAAAATTATCATAATGAGTATTGCATTACCTGTCGTTGTTGCTTTAATTGTCGTATAACAGTCGATGGCAACATCTGCCTTAGCAATCTATCTGACTTATTCTTTTCATTTTTTAACTGATGTGTTCTTTCAACTAAAACATTCGCAAAATTCTATGTAAATCAATAAAATGATACAAAATGCAATTAGAAAAGGAATCAAATAGCTGCGCATCAAATACATACTTGAATTGTCGTCGTTGCATTTTTAACTAATATGATTATAATAGGACTTAAAAATATTACTAATAGAAGTAGAACTAAAGATGTAGTTTTCACAAATTTGGCATCACCCATATCCATATCCAGTGTTATACTTTTGGAATATAATATAAGAAAATTCATTTAAACAATTACTAATTGTAAGCCTGAATTGTTTTAAATTTATCTATGAATGAAATGTCTAATACCTTCGGCATAAGGTCAGAAAATTTAAGTTTGAAATATCTAGTGGAAATTAGAACGGAACTAACTTTACATAAACTTTCCTTTGCATAGAACTTGATTTCATAGCTGCGTTTAAACGCGTATCATAGCAAATCAGAGATTGCATATGTGGATTTTCCAAACTTCAGCCCTAAAACCTAGATCTCTATTCAATTAGACAACTGAGGTTTTAAACTGCAACTCCTACAAGTTACCCTTCCAAGTCTTGATCCTATGATTGCTGTGTGAGTAAAATAATATTCAGGAACCGAAAAACTAAACAACAACAAAATCACCGAGTAACTTTAAATCATAATAATTAATAAGTAACTTAACATTGCAGCTTCTAAAATATTTTTCAAATCAATCGTCAAAAACTTTAATAGAACTGACCAGTTGCTTAAACATTTTAATCAATAGTTGAACAAAAAAATTATTTTTATGAATATTTTAGGTTAAAAGGTTTTAAATGAACAATGGACATCTACAGCTATGGATGGCAGATTAATAAATAATAAATCCTTACCTAATTTCATTTCTAATTTCTTGTTGCGAAGCTCTAATTTGAGGCAATACAATTTCATCCATAAAATGTAGATAAACCAATCCATATTCCTTGTCTGTTGTCATTTTCTCACTAATAATGCCCTGCCTGACATCAGTCGAAAGATCAACATATTTTGTCGCATTCGATATTGTAGATAAATGTATATGAAAAATTTTATTATACCATTTGATCAGATCAGCTTCAATTTGAGGATCGAAAATTGTGTCACGTTGGAGGAAATGCTTTGCTGATATTAAATGCTCATATGACAATGAATGAGTTCGTATGAATTCACGATAGTCATATGGATGAAAATATCCTGTTAAAAGAAAGCTACCGCCGAGTATGGCTGATATGCTGATATGCTCTAATGCTTCTATTAAATTCTTATAGGCGATAATTTGTCTGCAATTATGAAATTCATGGATAACAATTATGTTGGAATTAAATAAACATTTACCTCCATACAGGCTTCGCAACAGAGAGCCCAATTCTTTGCGATAAACGCTTGATTAAATGCTCATTTAGGAGATTGTACCAATAAATGTACTCAGTTATCTGATGTCTCTCCATATTCGTATAATTTCCTCTATTGTCATAAAGTGGAATTTGAGTGGTGTTGCTAGTTTTATGGTAAATGCTATTGACGTTAGTTAAAAATCTACAAACCATTTATACTTACTGTAATATATTATTTCTGGATACGCTTTATTAAAGAAATTATTAAGGTAAAAAAAATCTGTAATTTCATTCCTATTTTAACATAATCTTTAAAGGGTTTGCTCTACTAATGGGATAGTGATGGATATGCTTTAAAACTTAAAAGTATTAATTTTGAAATTTTGCGGCATTAAAAGAATAATCATAATTTTAGATTCTTATAAGTTTTTGATTTTTACTACTTATCTGGATCAAACAAACTATTTGAAGATTCATATTGCATATGCAAATTAAATACAAATTAATGCAGTCTTAATAAAATATGTTTGAATATAAATGCAGACTTTTAACCATGAAAAAGGCACTAAAGCCTGCAACTAGGAACCTTTCCTGCATAAATTTAAAATGGTAATATACAAATAGTCAAATAAGACTTAAATTACCTTAAATTTGATAAAATTGATTCTTTGATATTTTCTCCATACTCAGCTATCCATGAACTGTTTGACATTTCCTCTAATGTATATTCTGTCGTAACGAATGCTTTCTCCATCTCCGTCCTGATTGTAAGCAAAGTAAAATAAAATGAAATTTTTTTCCAGATAATCATCAAACATTTCAAGGGGGCTGCAAAGATTGCAATGAAAGATGCTTTGTTCAAAATAGTCTGGAACTATAAAGCATAGTGAACTCAAGGAGACTCTTTTAGAATTGTTACAAAATTTTTGATTTTTTTCAAAGCAACTTTAATCGTAAATCATTTCTCAAAATTGAGTATATTGTTTTGGGGCCATTCACTTATTACGTAACGCTTTTGGGGGGGGGGGGGGGAGGGGGGTCTAAGATTTTGTTTCGGTTCAAACAAGGAAATTTTTTTTTTCATACAAATTTTGTTACGAGGGGTTTGTTGATTGCTGAATCTCTTTTCTTCAATGAGACATAGTCTTTAGAATAAGTAAATGATAAATTGTAGAAATCTCAAATTGTAAAGTCAGAAAAAATGTGTCACATATTTGAAAAGCTGTTCGGTAAATGTCTTAAATATGCTTGCATATAAAAATATAATACAGATGAATTAATCTAACAGCAAATGAGGATTTTCATCAAGCAAAGCGAGAAAGACGAGAAAAAATATTTAAAAGATCTTCTTGTATTTCAACAAAGAAATTTAATAAAACTCGTTCAAATACTTGATATAAAAATATTATGGAAATAAAACTCATGAGAACTTATAATGGATCGTTCATAAATGACGTATGTTATTTAATGAAGAAGGTTCTGGAGCTTTGTGCTGGTTGAATCAGAAAAGTTTAAAAATCTCATATTTTAATGGACAAAATTTATGAACAGCCCTTAAAGTATCGTTCATTTATGCATCCGAGCAGCAAAGGGTTCTATTATTCAACAAAAAAAAACTATCTTTCGCGTAACAATCCTAGATATTATCACTGTCAGCTTTAAATAGAAATACAAAAAAAAATATCGAACATAAATATGAGTCACAAAAATCTTCTGAATCTCGAATGGCACGAAAACATTCAGCCAACAAATAGTTTTATGAGAACATTTCGGAGCCAAAAAGTCATCAAAAATATTTTTCGGAGCTATTGTTTTAGTGTTACTTAAAAATTTAATATTTTACAGGAGTTTTTAGGCTTTATGTCTAAGGTCCGATGTTTGAGGACCCTGCTTAATTCAAAGTAGGTAAAAAGCCTTAGAAACCAGCATTATTTCCCTTTCACATATTTGCTGCCCTCTTTTTCTAAAATGGCATTTCTAGAACATTGACGTAAAATCATTTCTGATGCTGATTTATTTGTGTACTACCTAAGAAACTTTTTGACTTCCATTTAACTTTAGAACTCATAAAATATATCGTAACATTTTGATACAAATGGAATTTAATAGAAGCATTTTTTCAATATTCATGTACATCTATAAATGTTATAGGAGCTTTATCATGTCAAAAGAAAAAAAAAAATTATAAAAGCTAATTTTTCGAGTAGGTATTCCTTCAAGTATGAAATAATTTCAGAATGTAAGCATTAGAGCAAGAAGGTTGATTTTTTCTTCTCTTTTTTTAGTCTCGAGACAATCGACGTGACCCCAACTTTGCAGACGTTATTGATATCCTTAAAGAAATAAAAAGAACCTCAAAAATATTGAAATATTTAAGCCTAAAGACGATTTTATTCACGTACAGCTATGAATGAAACCTGAAGCTATTATCAATGTTTGACTCAAGAATAGAAGAAGCTGGTTACCACGAGTTCAACTCACAAATATCGACTTTTATGCCAATATGACGTAAGTTGGAAAATGACATACTAAACAATTCATAATCATATTCTCAGTTTAAAGGTTGTATAGGCAAAAAAAAAGCTTGTCAATTTCCAGACTGAAGTCTGTCAATAAAATAAGATAAAGCCGAATTTTTATTCAGCATTTAGTGGTCATTTACCTTTGATGTCCAGCATTTAAGATGGAGAGATAATTTTGGTTGAATTGAAAAGGCTTTGGGGGTCAGTTTGACAGCTCAAGGCAACTGCTGGATATTAAGTTGCCGCTGGTCGCAGCTTAATAAAGCAGAAAGAAAATGCAAGCAGTCTCTGTATCAAATAATAGAAAGACTTGGCTAACTTTCCATAGCTAATATCAATCTTATTTTTTGATGGACATCATTTCCAAACCATTCCTTAAACTTTTAATCAAAAACTAATAATTGAGAAATAATCGATTGCATATTTTCTACACGAAAACTGATTCCAATAGTTTTTAATTGAGTTTTAATATTAAATCATAAATGAAAATGCAAAGTTCATTTCATAGATTTTTATAAGACGAATAATATGGTATCAGTCTACGACATTTCAGGGTTCTTGTCATGATTTTTTTGAAATTTTACGTTCATATCCTTGCCATTGAAATTACACTCCATGAATACTTATTCAAATAAAATGATTATAATAATTATTTCATGGACAAAAAAAAATTATTTTTGAGGAATGTTTATATCCAACCGCCAGTACCTTAACAGACTACAGTAATTCAGAAACGGAATAAAAAATGTATTTATGCTCTTGTCCAAACATTCCCCTTTTAAATTTATTTCTTTTGTATTTTTTGGGATTTATTTTAATAAAAATAAAATAAAGGAAGCATGAATAAGGAAACAATGTGTGCCAACAGCAAATTGTTTGCTCGTTTTCTAATTTCTCTGCATGAAGCCTTTAGAGATTTGTTCTTTCTCAAACTTCGAAATCAGACTTTGTTGTTTTTTTAAACTTTTTAAGAAACTTAGTTTTCTGAGTAATGAACTTACAGGGCTGAACATGTTTTAAAAAAATGTTGGGTATGGTAAAAACTGATTTTCCTCTTAATTTTTCAATGTTATTTTCAGTGGTCTGATGCTTTAGATTATGTCTATGTCTTTTAACTACTTTAATCAATCGTTAAACTCCCACCAGTCTTCATTTTTACGAAATTCCTTACTAAGTTAAAAATATGTGCGACAATAAACGCCATGACATGTGACATTAACAGAATTTTACCACATTTTACAAAAAAGGGATCGTTTGTAAATGACGTCTGATTTTTTGAAAGAATGTTTTAAAGCTTTGCAGCACTTTATCTAAATATATCTTTTGAGCATTGTAATTTAAAGACGTCATTTGTCAATTTTACTTTTTATAGTGATTCACAAAGTCTTTCCCATTACAACATTTTAGACTTATTCGCCCACTAATTTCAATGACTTTTAAGTAAACAGATTATATCATATAATATATCTATATACTTTAAAAGAAAAGAGTTTTAAGGGATGCTATGGGTCCTCGATTTGAGTAGATTCTTTTTGAGTAACGAAAATTAAAGAATAGAAAATTTGAGTAGATTCGATTTGAATAGGATTTTTCTGGAACAAAACACCTACTCAAATCGAGGACCCCAGTACTTGCCTGTTTTCATTTGTTAAAAGATAAAATATTGAAGCTGAACGCTCTTGTTGAATTGCTGTAAGCAACTTGGATACGTTTACCGTTAAGGAAATCTAAAAGGATGAAAATAATGCAAAAAAAAAAAAGAAAATGATGTAAAATTAAAATTCATGTCAGTGAATATTTTGGGTAAATTTCGACGCTTACCTGTTGATATATGTGACGTGATTCTTCAAACATATGAATTTGTTGGATAAAAATTGAAAGATTTTGTATGAACAAAGCCAAGATTGGAATGAATGGAAAGCAAATCATTTGTAATAGATAAATCCGCCTATACAGCACAGATCTTGCATTAATTGATAGGCAAAAAAATAAATTTGATGACACCTTTTCAGTCTCTGTATCAGATTCGTTCGATGGTTTTGAAATCGATATCGACGGCGAAGCCCTTTTGAATGTTGACATTTTCATAATTGTTGTGCTTGTTTTATATTTCGAATTATATCACAAAAAATATTTTTTCTCTCAATTAATTTATTTATTTTTTTCATTAAATTATACAAATCATGTTCACACGATTCACTCATTGAATTTTTCAGTATCTGCCGATAATATTAAATTCCGATATGTTTTGAATAAATTTATAATTTTTCTTCATTGTCTGCAGCATCTGTTTTCCAGGAAGAGATAACTTATTGATCATTATCATATGCTATGAATAATTCAAGGATAAATGCTTGAACATTTTACAAGTGTCACAAATTCTTCTTAAAATATGAGACAGAATACTTTAACCGTAATATATTGTCTATTAATTCCTTAATGGTTTTTTATGTCTTAAAAAGAAATTTCATTTCTTAAATTCTACTAGATAAAAGCTTTCAAGTTAGTTATATCCTCGTGCTACTCAAAAAAATCTCGATTTCCTTGCCAAATATAGCATTTTACGCTATAGCACAAATGTTTTTTGTTTACTTTAGAATTTTTTTCCATACAGATGGAAAGCGGCACACTTGAATATAATGAAGAAATGCTAAACAAGTCACGAATTTTTGAAATCGACTATAATTTGATTTACACTACATCTACATCTGAAATTGAATCTCTAATTAATCTCGAATGTCCTGGAGATAAAATTTCGATGAAAAAGTGTGATAAGAATCAAAAAGTTTGGAAGTGCTATTCTAGCCATGTCTATAGTCTTTGAGAAAGCTAACATGTACTCTCTTGTGTACACTACTACTAATTAATCGAGAATGTGCTGCTTTGTATGCTAAAAATGTTTTAGATTATGGTGGGAAGAACTCTCATACGTAAAGTTAGAATAAGCTTTTATCCTAGCATCAATTTAGAGCAAATTGGACAATTTTAGAGCTTTTTGCTTGAGTTTGAGTTTGAGACAAAAATTTAGCTTTTCTGAACCAAAAATTCTACTTTCTGTTTTAATAAAATCATTATTTCTATGTTTCGTCTGAACCTAAACGTTGGCATTGTCTATGCTAGATTTTGATACATGCACTTAATCAAAAATACCTATACATCAGGTTTAATTGCCAAAAAGACTTATTTTTATCAATGTTTAACATTTTTGTATGCAATTTAGATACTTTTCTCCTCCCAACGCGTGCAATTTTCTTCCAAAATTCAGTCTGAATATTTGTAAGGACTTAGAGATGAAAAATTTCAAGATTAAAGCTCCTTTTGATGAGAATTCATTTTAAACAACAAGAGATTTATGATAAAATCTGACTTATTCTTTTTCTTATATTAATTCAAAAATATATTTTTGAGAAGACATAATTCATCCAAATGTACATGCTAAGATTATCTGGGTTTCTTAAATTCAATCTTCTCATGGGATTAATCGTAAATGACTTCCAATTTTTTTTTTTACTTTTTTTGGATGATCGCTGTTGCAGTGTGCGATTTAGATCTAAGATAATAATGCCTCTGATACTAGATAATTTAACAACAAATGAAAAATTTCTAAGTTCACCTTTTTGCAAAGACGTGAGTTCTGATTAAAACTAGAATCTCGAAAAAAATACGATGAAATTACTACTCAGGAGTATGTTGCTGAGCAAAGTTTAAGTTGAATTAATTTTAAATCATAGTTGCAGACTCCTTGTTTAATAAAACTTGTAAACGATCCCAAACCAATAATTCATAGGTCGCAAAATGAGAGATTTCTCATCTCAGCTTCCATTCAACTAATATTCCATGATACTAAAGAGTTGAGACAGATTATGAATGAAAATAAAATAATGAGATTGTTGACCCTAGTAATATCCAGCATTTTAATTAATGATCTTAGCATGAAAAACTCATTGCTTCGAAATTGAGTGTTAACAAGTTATGCAAAAAAATGGTTTCCTTCCTATTCATAATTCCTTGTGTCTACAAATTCCTACCATGCTGTGCTTAATCAAAACTGCATTGTTTTTTTTTTATAAAATAAAAATTTGGATCCGTAGAGGAAGAAAACAATTGAAATTTAAATTAAAAACTTTGTATCAAAAAAAATCTGCTGACGCCAGTTCTCAAACTACTATTTTTATCACATCCACTGATTCATCTCACCTTGAAAATAGTTCATCTATTTAAAATGCTTTTCACATAGCTTCAATTAATTTCGACAATCAAATCTCCTAGATTAAAATATTCTGTCAATATTCAAGTGATGTGAATATAATTGAGGCATACACTTGCATGAAGCTGTTTGTGTCATTGTCACAAGAACATTTTCGCATGAAAACATTTTCCGATTTAATATTTGATACTTTTTCACTATTCTAAAATGCTTTTCTGATTAAAATTGATTTAATTCAAAATATTTTTTTTTCAGGTCCAAAACAGTTTTTGCCACGCTCAATAATAATAAAATATTCAAAGCAGTTAACAACAACTGCTTCACTCAGATCGACGTTCTCCAATTTTTCAAGTAATATTTTTTTCTCGCTCTCTTCAACAGCTTACAAATAAAGACAGCTTGATAGTTTAATGGTTGTCACATGTAGCGTGATGTGAGTCTATTAAAATGCAGCGCGATGTGCTGTGTTGGAAAAAAATTGCACACTATTTGAAGAAAAAGTTTGTTCGATAAAATGAAAAGTTTTTTTCTTTTTTATGCAATTCTGATTTATGCAAGTCTTTTGAAAAATATTTAAAGCTTTTGTGCCTTCGTTATGAATACCTTGCTTGGCAGAAATTCTTTGAATTGAAAATTTATTCTTTGACAGTTACTTGCCGTCATTAAAATGTTTATTGTAATCTATAGAATACTTTACAGTTTCCTAGTTTGAATACCGTAGCTCTACTTAGGAATCCTTTAATGGGAATAAATTTGTTTCAATTTATTAGAGTTTTTGAGAATAAAATTTAAAAGCTTCTCATATTTTCCGATCACTTGTGAAAAGATTCGACTTTCCTCTAGCTCCTCGTGTGCTTAGTAATGAGCAGGACCTTTTACAATCCTTTCTGCTCTTACAAACAAGAATTCAATAGAACATTATTGTAAGGATGAAATTTTCTTTTTCTTTAATTTTCATGAAAATAAAAATAATTAAATTATCCTTTAAGGATCTTAAATTTGTTGACATCATTACTTGAGTAATGAACCATCATTTCATGATCTTTGTTCTCGTATGAAAAGAAATATTTAAGTTGAATAATTAATTTTTTAATTTTTATTTTTCATTGCCAAAAACTTTTCAAATAGTTTTATTTTTACTCAAAAAAGTACCCTGCATTGAGTTTGATATTGAAATTCGTGCTTTTGTTTTCTTTTGTATTTTCTTTTTCTTCATTTCTTCTTTTTATCTGTACAAGCATTTATCCACAAGCGCTTCGCAAATATTCCATGAAATTTTCGCATTTTTTGTTATCAAAATTACATTTTTTTTATTCTTTAATCATTTAAATTCACAACACTTTTAACTGTTAATCCATTGAAATTGTTTTGAACAACACTTTCTTCATTGCACTTGTTCGTTTTCATTCGAACTTTTCAATGTGACACTTTGATGTGAACTAAGCATCCTTTTCAATTCTCTGTCCTTTATATACTCATATCACCCATCCATTACAAAGTAGAACTTGAACTTTTATGCAATAATATTTTTTGTTATTAAATAAAAAGGCGCAACTATCCTATGAACACATCAACGTCGGTAGACGGTAAGTTACAAAATGATTAATAAACAAGTAAAAATGAAATGTATTTTTTCCTGCTGTGTGTCTCAACAACGAAACATTTCCTCTATTTTCTCTCATCAACAACATCTCCGAGATGCAACGAGAGAGTGGAAAATGAGAGCGGGAAACGTTGTTTCTGTAAAAAGGAATAAGACAGCATGTGAGTGGCAAAATAAATGTTCGCAATGAAAATGAAAATTTTGTCTAGTGGTTGTACATAAACAACATTTATTGTGAATGAAAATTAAAGCACTCAGCTTTTGTTTACAATTTTTTTTTCTCTTCTTAAATACTAGACAGCACGTGCTCGTATATATATATAGTACATGTAGTTTTACAACAAGTGATTAAAGTTACATCTTGATTGGGATAAAAATATATAAATTTTCATTACATTTTTAATTCTATAAATGCAATAAATCTTGTAATTTAAGATACATACAGTACATTTTACACTTTAATGTCATAAACATAACCAATACATTTAACAGGGATGGGAATCAAGTAAAATTTTAACATTCCTTATCTACCGATTTATTTGTAATAACGTGTCTTTCGTAATTAGCATAAATGCAAATAATCCAGCATAGCGTAAGCTTACAATAACGCATACCCAAAACTTGACAAATACCATCGTCAATCTATTTCCTTAAGACTCCAATGCTTCAGGTCATAATCGGAATGAACAAAAAATCAGAACTCAGATCACCAACTCTGATCGTATAAAGGCAAGAAAGAAACTCGAATGCAATAAATTTTCCAAGATTACTTCCCGTTTAAGGAAATCCAGAAGCCTTTTCAAAGAAAATGCTACGATGAACGAAAAAAAATAAAGTCACGTTATATGCAAGACGAGAAATAAAAATCTGACATGATGACTATGTACGTAACGCAAAAAATTTCCTTAAAATTATGGGATTTGAGTATAAAGGAAGAGTAACATTAAGCACTGAAAGTTTTCAACATGGACCAAATTAAGTTTTGTGCACGAAGAACGAACAAGTTGTTATAAGGACACGTTCCATTTAATGATATCGATGAATTCATCTAAAAATATAAAATTGGAAACTTTATGAATGTTCCTGAATTTCTTTTTCTATATTCATAAGCCTGACTGGGTGGTTTTTCTACTGCACATGTTCATGAATTTAAATTAAATTTTATTTAAAAACACTGGCTGCATATCTGCAAACCATGCAATTTCTTCCTTGTAGTTTATAATTGGAGCATCTCGGCACGTTAGCCAATAAGTTTTCATTAGTCCTTTTCCCTTAAAAAATACACAAAAAATATATTCATCAGGCGCAACAATTTTTGAAAGATAAAATTGACTCACTTTAACATCGATTAGACCACGTAATTCCGTTTTGAAGCCGCCAATTATGGCCAATTCATCATTCACTTCTGATGTGATGTGAATTTTTGATGCTGTAAAATAGACATTTATTATGTAAATTTTCGATAATGCTTTGTAGATTAAATTAATTTTCATATGGTTCAAACAGAGATATTGACGAGTTTGGATATGAATTATTACTAGCTCATGGAATATTGACTCATCTAAAGATTAAAAATTTTAATAGCTATCACATACAACATTGATAAGTAATTGGTTTCAAACAGTCATAAGAACTTCTGATTTTTAAGCTTATTGTAGCTGTAAAAGTTGTTATTATTGTAACACGCTTTTTATTGAGTTGCTCTGTCTGTTTCTTTGTATGTCACGTTCAAATCTTGCAATCGATTTTTCGACCACTTCTATTGCTCCAATCGAGCTCAAATTTTGTATACACACGTATTCCCGGTGACAATACAATATTTTAACACTTTAGAACCACACAAATGCTTAATTATAGTACAATTTTAATAAAACTTTTTTTGTTATATCCACAATTCGTTTTACTTTTAGGAGGAGAGGATATCATGATTATACCATAATGAAATTAAGTCTTTTGCAGACTTAAGATAAAAGAAGATACTTTTTTGCCACTGAACAAGTTTAATGATATATTTTAAGAATGTTCGCTTAACTTAAGCTTGTAAAAAACATTAGCTCAAAGTTCTTGGAATGTATGGACTGATTTTATGACTATTTCAGTCAACAATTAACTGAATCTTAAAAATGTATTATACTTGACTGGATTTAATAAAACTTTAAAGCCAACTGCGATGAAATTTCACCACTTGTATTTTCAATTCCTTTTTAATTTTAGACATAAGATGCCTTAATATTTCAAATCAAAAAATATATTCTAATAAATGTTTTACTTTCATTCGATGAAAAGTCAATCTGGCTATGTCATTATGTGGTCCATGACAAATCAAATCTAAGCTTAGCAAACAATAGTATGAAGCACATAAATTTAATTAATTACGCAATAGAGGAGATTCCATCAACATTAATTAGTAGCAATTCTATATGTAGGCACGAATTGTACGTGAATCATCATGACCAACACATTTTAACTTTCTCTGACCAAACTTTACCGGCTTGTGCTAATGAAATTATAAAAGTTTTTCCTATGAAAGCACCACAAATATCTTAGTAAAGGCACATTTTGTGTTATCTTGTTTGGCTCATTCTAATTTTAGAATAACCTTCAATTACATTTGAAGCTATGATATTTGCATTACTAACCTTCCCCAGTCGACTCCATTCTTGATGCCACATTCACAGTGTCACCTTAAAAAATGGAATCAAAAGATTTCTTCCATCAATCATCTATCATATTTTGACACGTGCTAATGCTTACCAAATAAACAGTATCTAGGCATTTTGGTACCAACAATTCCAGCACCACATGGACCTGTGTGAATTCCAATACGAATTTCCAATTTTTCATGTGTTGAATGAGGTATTTTAAAGTAAGTTGACGCATGCAGCAGATCTAATGCCATTGTTGCAATCTCACTGACATGTTTGTTATCGACGCATCTTTCCGGCAAACCACTAGCAACCTAAAATTTTAAATAACATTAATAAGTGACATGAGTAAATTTGTTGACCAAACATTTACTTACCATATATGCATCACCAATGGTCTCGACTTTATATACTTGATAGTTGGCAATTCTCTCGTCGAAGACTTTATAAATTGAATTAAGGAAAGAACATACTTCAAGTGGTGAACAAATGCTTGCTATTTCCGTAAATCCCACAATATCAGAAAAATATATAGTAACAGAATCGAAATATTCTGCTGGGACCTGATATAAGATTGAAATATAAAAAGGTGAAAATGTCAAATGGAGTAAATTGAATGGAAACGAAAAAGTCATATCATCATATTCCTTCTTCCTTACCTGTCGTGTCTGTTTGAGTTTGATAGCTACACTTGTCGGTAGCATTTGAAACAAAATCGCATCACTCTTCTTCTGCTCCAGCCTTAGCTCTTTTGCCTTTTCAGCTAGATTTATTGAGTACAGCTATGTATATAGGAATAGACACCATTCGTATCATATTTACTAGGAAAATAATCATTAATCATTAATCATGATAGTTTTACGCCTACCTGAATAGTCGCAACTGCATTCCTCACAAGAATGATAATTATGGGAGAAACTATTATAACAGTCACTAGAATTGCAATGCCAATAGCTTCATCATCGCTTGCTTCTTTCAATAATTGCTTTACCTCATCCCTGCAACATGAATATCCACATGCGATAAATGAAACGAGATTAAAATGCAAATAAAAAGTAATAGAATGAAGAAATTTTCATGGAATGTACGTTGTAATCCAAGTGCTCTGGATGTGCTTTTTGGATGTTTCAATGAAACTTTATCTAATTAGTATCTCTGAGAACTAGGGGACTAGTCGAGGAGTTTGATATCAGTGAAATAGTGAACAGTCTTAGCAATTTTGAGTTAATGTTAATAATCACATCTAGAGCACCTGCATCACAAACCCCTTCATACTTTATTTTCCGTCTTAAGCTTGAATGAAGAGTCCTTAGCTGTTCAATATATTCAGTCATTGAACGATAATAATTCACAGCTGCATTGTTATCTGGTGAAATTTTATTGTTGTGGGTTATTCTCTTGCTCCTTAAAATATTTTGAAAATTTAAGAAATGAATGGAATTGAATGGATGTGAATGCTCACATATTTTTGATGCTTCCATATTCTTTGAAATTGGTCAAATTTTTGTACTGACTTTTTAAGTACGGAACATAATTCAATGATGAATTCAACAAATCTTTTCCAAGAGCATCATACTTGATGTAATTGACATAATTTTCACCTACAAGCTGTCCACGACTAAAAAAATTAATTCCATACACTGCTGATATTCCAATATTTTCGATGCTTCGTATCAGATTTTTAAATCCGATTAGGTATCTGTGAAAATACAATTTTTGGATTAAAACTCAATGGATGTAGAAAAAAATTATTGTCAATTTACCGCCATATTCCAGACTTGTCACTTTCCTTTATCTGCTTTGTCAGATGATCTAGCATTGCATTGTTTACAGCCATATACCACAGAATCGCCTAATTGAATGTCAAAATGATTCATAACTCATCAATCATTATTTTCCCTTCCATTACCATAAATATATTTTGAAGGATGTATGTTGTGTCCATATGAATTGTTAATCAACTTACATGAGATATATTATTTTCGCGATTTTGCTCTGATGTGACTTGAGTTCGAAAATCGTTGAGTCGCGCAATAAAACTCGTCCTGTTCAACATTACTTGACTTTCGTCTTCATCCGTGTCATTATCAAAACTTGGTGATGCTGGAATAATAATTTCCGTCCACGTTGTCATGTTATTTATAGCTTCATTTGTTACTTCAAATCGATTTGTCAAGTTTGTTATTGTACTCATCACACTATTATTTGTCCATATATAATATGCAACTTCTCCCCGCTCTAATTGCAGGCGACTTACTACTTTTCCTAGATCTGTTGCATGTGTTACCTTTTAATCATGCAATAATTTTGTTTATGGATAATTGAGGCATGTTCAATTGAGTGGGATAATAATACTCATTAGTTCTAGTCTTATGCAATATCATGTGTAGTTTTGATTAAATTAAGCTCTTGCTAATTGATTCCAAAAGATTGATGAACGAATCAATAATCGAAACAATTGAATTTAAGGATAGATCTGATATTTCTGGGTAATTTCAAAAGTTCACAGTGCACAATAGTGCACAGAGAGAAAGATTGACAGAATCAACAAGACAGTTTAAAAGCTGCTCGAAATAATGTTTATTATCTGTTGCATGACACTAAAGATTCTGTAAAGATATTCAAATAGCTCTCATAAAATTCCAGATATTCACAGAAAATGAAAATTGAGATGATAAATAATATACTTCAAGTTAAAGGATATCAATATTAATATTTTGCACGTTTCGAGAAGATTCTCAAAGTGTATAAAAGGTTTTCAATATCTTCAGTTACTTTCATATTGCTCTTTATTCTTTCGCTCGAAAAGTTTCCTGTAAGAAGCAAAACAAGTAAAATTATCATATTTCAACATCTAAATTTTAAAACTGTGATGCCTAAGGTATGGATCTAAATTAATTTACGAGCTTAATATTGCTTTTTTCTAGGCTTTTTCTTGCGTTGGGCACACGAATTTTGATTTTAAAATGATAAAACTAAAAACAAGATCTATATAATTCAGAATCTGTTTCGGATCTGTTCATGTGTTCCAAATTTTGTAGGTAATTCATTTTTCCTCGTACAAAAATATTAAGTGACCAACAGAAAGCGAAAGAAAGAGTAAATATCAAGCAGCAGCAAAATGTTCATCTTCTTTGAAAAAAGTCAACAAATGTTCATTGTTGTTGAAACATTCTGTGTACCAATAACAAGATTAATCAATATTGAGGAAAATAACAGATAATCTTTCCTCAAATAATCAACAACCTATCGTTTCCTATACACAACCATCCTTCTAGCCTTCATTAATCAACGAATGTCTTCAAAATCTTTTGGAATCAATTTTCTTTTACGATTTATCATTAATACCTGAACTTCTATTTCATTCACTTCATTTCGAGACTGTAATATATCATAGAGGGAATATGACGTTTGTATGAGCAGGGCGAGTATTGGAATGAATGGTAAAATTATCATCTGCAAGTTATATGAGATGTATAAAACAAAAAAGTATCGAATATAAATTCAAATCTTGCTTATTTAAAAGTTCGCATAGGGAATAATTTGAAAATGACGTCAATTGATAAGATGTGTATGCATGCGAAGCAGAGCCGTGTCCAGGATTTAAAAAAATGGTAGAGAGCTGCTGTGCAACCCAATTAATCCCCCTGGATACATTACTGATGCAAACACACAAAAGTATCCTAACGTCTCATTCAAATTCATTCCTTTATGCTTGCAATTAGATATTCACTTTAAATAACTGCAATTGTCGGTCACGTTTTATAGTTGGATTAATATTACGTGAATCGATTCCACAGCAACAGATGGACTTCTCACTGATCTTTAAATCCTCAAGACTCATCGAATGAATCGATTCTGATTCGTCTGCAATAATAATTTAGTATTCAGCATCTAATGGCAATGTACACACAATTCATCAACAAAAAAAAAAGCTTTTAAAGCAACAGAATTAATTGTTTTTAAACTTTGTTGAACTTTTCTACTTCTTTTTTCTCAATGTACAGCTTACCGTTAAGATTTAAGGTCATTTTTATCAACATTTGAGTAGAACTCAATCTAATTGTTTGCTATGCAGTATCCGTACATAAAAATAAATTTTAATTTATAGGAAAGAACTTATTGGATTCCTCCTCCAGACGTGCACTTCAAGTTTCTATTCTATTCTTATATTTTCCTTCAATCACATTAAAAATTAAAATACAACAATCATAAAAAAATTGTAATTTTAAATTTTATGTCTTCACTTATGATAACATCTACTCATATGGTAATGTATGTAGTTCCCATAGTCCTTAATATTATTTTTATATTATTTCTATTTTATTCAACTTCACAATACTGTTTCACGCTCTATACACTTTTAGTGAATTGACAGCAACGATCGCAGAACATCGACTGAAGGAGCTTTATTAATATTTATTGAACTTATATCCTTTTGTGTTCGTACCATTCGTGTATCAGTAGAGAAAGTGAGCTTTTTACGAATTGATAAGAAACTCGATTTGCGCAATCGACACTCGCCGATGATTACCAGAATGAATGATGAATGGCACAGATACATATATTGAAGGTAAATGAGTGATGAAATAGCATTGATGATAATGATTGTTTTGATGACTACGGCAATGATGATTTGTACATATGAATGAATGGGAAATTGAGTTGTATTAATGACACATAAACACATCATACAGCGTGGCGGCAACGAGAAAATAAAAAATGATATTACAACATTTAGACAGATGGATTCTCATATTCATTGATGTTTACTGCATCGTCATAGGGTGGAAAAAATTTACTGAATAGCTCTTTAATACCTTTACTGTTTATGGATTTTAAAGGTTTATCAATTTGAGGCAATAGCATTTCTAGGCTTGCTTTCCAAAGGAATGAATATATATTCTTTGGATGAGCCAATTGAAAATTCTAGGAAATCGTAATGAAATTTACTTTGTTGGCTTGCTGAATTTACTACTAAATACATCCCTGCTAACATCTCTCTGATTAAAGACATTCAATTTGATTACTGTGCTACTAAACAACTGAACTTTATTGGTTCTCGAAACACTGCTGAAGTTCAATCATTACTTATATATTTGGCTCTTATTATCTAAATATCAGATGATCTTGATTATTTTTCCTCAATAAATTATGCAAATTATGGTCGTGTTATTGACAAAGTGTGTGTTGTGATGGATATGAGCATTTATTGTGTACATACAGAAAACGAGGTCACTGAATCATCATAATTATTAACAATTGTATCCTGCTAAGTTAGTCCTGAACCAAAGAAGTATATAAAACACACAAAACAAAAATCCCAAGATTATGTACAAAATTGGTCTCGATACTGACAATTTAAGGACTAATAATGTTGAATCTTTAAAAAAAATAAATCTCGGAAACAAGAATACTTCAAAAATACCTAAAACTTTCTCTAGAAAAATATGGGACAGCAAACAAAAAATAACGGAAGCATTCGAAAGATTGTTGAAAGTTATAAACTATACTTCAATGGATGCTGGATGCAATAACAAATAAAATAAATGAGATCGAAAATAATAATGCTCTTGTGTACGGTTAAGTATGCTGTTCAATAAAATCAAACACATAAGTCCAAAATCAATGAAGCATTAGAATATGAGAGCAGTCATCAATAAAAAAAAGTACATACTTTTGTCACATTAGAGCTACTCCTTCTGTCTTCATTTGCCAAATGTCACTTTTGTAGTCAAACAAACATTTGTTGGTCGCCTGTAAATTTATGGTCTTCAACGCAGCTATAATCAATCATCTCAATAACTCTCCTTTTAACGTTCCTAATTCGAAATTTGCAGTGAGAGAAAGCAAGAAAAAAGCTGTCAATGAAGGATGTTGTGAATTGTGTAATAAATTTTATTAGGCTTCATTCTGTAAGGTTTCCAATTATGTAAGGACATCGACAAAAAAAACATTTTCTCCTTCAAATGAATGAATGGTTTGACAGTTCTATGAAAATTCAAGTGATGATTTGATCAGCATTGACAACTTTAAGTCCGAAATATTTTGTTTCTTTAAAATGTCCATGATTTTGATATTTGTCCATAAAATTTGTTGTTGTAAGCCTTACACAAATGGTTTGTGGTCTAAACGAAAAGATTTTAAAATGCAAAGACACAACATGAATCTAGATTTTGTAGATGAACATAAATTCAACTCTAGAATCGCACTAATGCATGGATTTTATTGTCACAGAGATTATTAAGCTACCTTTTAGAAAACAAATGTATTGAAAATAAGAGACTGTTGCGTAAAACATCTACAAACAAGGATTGATGTCGTAAATTGTGTACCAAATATTTAAAATTTTATTTTCTGAGAAGAGCTCGCAAATCCTTTGATACATGTTTTAATCACAAAATATATCAAACATCAAGGCACGAAATTTTTCATCTAAATATTCTCATTTAAAATTTTACAGTGTCAATAATGAAAATCTGCTCTTTACACAGCATGTAATTTTGATGCTCATCAGTACGTAGTCAGGAAGAGTGATTGTATGACTACTCATGTGTAATCGGACGGAATCTAAACAATAATTCCAACTTCATTCCTTATGTTTTCACAGATTGTAAGTTTACATCCTTATATTCTATAAATCTCCACTTCCTCATTTATTGCGACATATCAATAAACAAAATGAAACAAAATAAACAATTTTTAATCAATGCTCATGCACTGTAGATATGATTATCATAGCAGCAACTGAATCATTTTTGTGGCTTCTTATTTTCCTGATTCCAAATAGTCATGCAAAGCATAAAATTACAAAATCTATATAAAGTGAGATGCTATCTGCAACACGAATCAATTTTCTTAGTTGTCGTTCAGCAGTGCTGACTTTGTTGCTTTTTCTAAAGGAACTTTATTTGAAATTAAAAGCTATTAATCAATAACATCAAGGAGTCAAGGAAGCCAAAAAGTAATTTCAATTTTATGTTCTATTGACTGTTAATTTGTTGTGGATTTAATCGTTATTGCTTGAATATCGGGTGCTAGTGCTAATTGCACCCTGTTGTTTGTGAAGCAATTTTTTCGGACTTAATTTTTTTTACTTCCTTTGTAAACTGAATGTTTGTAGACTGGATGTAATTAATGTCATTTTGATAAAGTATGGCTAGGCGTGCCTGATATTAATCATTGCTAGACTTTATATTCAATACTTTTCATTGCTTTTGAGCTTCTATAAATTCATAATAAAATTTTGTGAACGATATAACTTCAATAAGTGGATTTGCTCTTTTATTAAAAACTATAGCAACATGCTGCAAAGTCATACACCCCCAAAATGATGCCACACAAAAGCATATTTACGAAATTGAACATTCATGTGGGCTTTAAAATGAGCAATTTCTTTATTTTGTGGTGAACTGTTGCCAAAAAAGCAACAAGTTGTATCCATTCAACAGATTATTTTGACGACGAAAAATATGAATTATGCGGAAAATTCGTATAAATTTTATTTATAGAGCAAATAAAGCTTCATTATTATTTATTAATGGACTTATTTTTCAACGCCAAAGGCTTCCTTAAAATATGAATTTTTGATGAATGAATTTTCATCATAATTGCATTATTTTTGTTGGTAACAAATAGCATGTGCGCGATGAATCTCTCAAGTTGATGTAAACAGAACATTACATTCACGTAGTAAACATCCATACAGTTACATAGTTCACTTACTTCATACTTATTGCACATGTGAATCGATGAATGAAACTATGAAAACTTAAGTATGGGTTTGGAAGCAGTTGCTTTATGTATAGTTAAGTCTAAGGAAGTCTTTAAATGAAATATTTTCAAAAATTCTGATCAAAAGTACCAAAAATAATTAGAAAACAGTAGATCGGTTCCTCTTTTTGCTTCCATTCAGACAAATTGCTATCAATCTTACTCTTTGCTTCTAATTTCATAGACACATCAAGCATATTGTCAAGTAGTACATATCAGAGATTTATCTAATCATTCGTGATGGGATTTACATCATTACTACTTGTGCAGCATTGTAAAACAATGAAACGTTTAAGTCTGTCTATGAAATCCATTCAGTTAATGCCTTACAACGTAAACAGTCATATTGTGAAATTAATTCGCGCATATTAATTTATAAATTGTCATTTCAATTTTAGATTTCAAAGTTGTCATACCAAATATTATATAGAACAATGAGCTGTGACAGAAGTGTACATTCTGCAAATATCAATGAGATCCATGTGATGCCAATTAAAGAAATTATTAGACCAATTCCAAGTGTCCTTGACGAGAAAAAAGTTGATTCATTAATGGAAACATTGAAGGTGAGTTACAGCAACTGACATCCAATAAAATTCATTTTAATTCCAAATACAAAATTTTAGGCAAATCCAGATGATGTAACGCCTATTGATGTTCTTTGGGTAAAAGGAAGTGAAGGAGGGAATTATTTCTACAGTTTCGGTGGATGTCATCGATATGCAGCACATAAAAAGTTAAAAAGAAGCGAAATTCGTGTTAAACTTGTCGAATCGAACTTGCATGACCTGAAAATTTATTTGGGTTCAAGCTGTCCAAAGGAATTAAAATAAATTCATTTCTTATTGACAAAATAACTTTATTTCTATTAGACTTCATTCTTTATTAACTTAATTAAATCATCTGGCTCTTTTGGACTTGTTGTAAGAATTTCCAGCTTCATATTTTTATTAATCATCACGTCGTCTTCAATGCGAAGTCCAATGCCTCGAAATTCTTCAGGAACATCTGCACGATCATGAGGGATGTAAATTCCTATAAAACAGAAAGCAATGCATTGGATATAGACATAACATAGTAAGATAATCTTACCTGGCTCAACTGTGAAAACATTTCCAGGCACTAATTTGTTACTTCTCGAGACTAACGGTGTATCATGAACATCCATTCCTAAGTAGTGTGATACGTGATGTGGACAAAATTTAAAAGCTGCTCTCGCAAGTTCATGTCCAGTTTTATCTTTTGGTATCAGACTTGCTTCTTGCAGATATTTTCCCAATCTTGTACACATAGTGTCAAATAATTCATCAAGAGTATATCCACCTTCATTCAATACACAATTTATCAAGTCTTTTTGAACATTCAGTACGACTTCATAGAGAATCCTTTGAGGATCTGTAAATTGACCATTTAATGGCCAAGTACGTGTTATATCAGATGAATATCCCCCATATTCACAGCCTGCATCAAGCAACACCATATCTCCATCTTGTGTTATTTGAGAATTATTAATGTAGTGAATTGTTGTAGCATTTCGTCCTGAAGCCACAACTGGGGGATAGGCTAAAATATATGCCCCATTTATCCGACTTTGGTAATCAACTTCTGCAAAAATTTGATGCTCATTTATTCCTGGATATGACTTTCTTATAGTTTCATTCACAGCATTTGAACCAATTTCACAGGTTTTACGCATCAACTCAATCTCAGCTTCTGACTTTATCCATCTCAATGTGTGAATGAATTTTGTAGGATTCTCAAATTTATCAAGAGTTTTAAGTAGAGGAGTTATTGTACTTTGCTCGCTGTTCTTTTCATCGTACCAAATAAGTAGATTCTTTAGATTTTTAACTTTTTGTAGGAACGGATTTAGATGAAAAGTTGAGTATGATTCTTCAACGCCGAACAATTCAACTCCATTTTCAGAACCAGTCCTGATTCCGTCCCACAGTTCCTGATTCTTATCCTTTGGCCTTAAAAACAGTATAGATTTATGAGATTTCTCATTTATTTCCATCATCAAGACTGAATCTTGCTCCAAACATCCAGAGAAATAGATGAAATCAGAATTCTGTCTGAAGACATAAGGTATTGATGATGATATATGCTTTTTAACAGCGGATGGAATAACAATCAAGTGAGTTTTGACAGACGGGAAGTTTGTAAGTGAATAAGCTCTGATTGTCTCAATAAGTTGAAGTCTCCGATATGAAATTTCTTCTGATGTTATTCCTTGAACTAATTCTCCTTGTTTCAATAAATGAGGATGTGTCTGATGCGTTGGTTGGCCATAGATTTTCACCTGATCAAGGTATTTAATTCTATCCTTTAAGGAAAATTGTGTAGTTTTATGACGAATCGAAACATTTTGGATATAGCTTATAAAACCTGAAAATAGAGCATATTCAGCATGATCACTTGATTTTTTAAAAAAAATTGAGTTGATTTTACCCCTTTGCAGCCTTCCGATAATCATTTTCCTGCTTGATCTAATTAATTTCACAAATTTGTGATCTATATTTACATATTATCCCGGCTTGAATCAGCAGCACTTTCGTGAATGTATTTTTGGTGCTGATTCTACATTATTCTAATTTTTCAAAACATTGCACAGTGAACGAAATAATCAGCTGTGACTGCATACTGCCAGTCTAATGTATGCAATGAGAGAATAGACCACAGAATGAGCTAATTAACATAGAAGACTCTCATCATTATATCAAGTGGAGATTTCTTATCAGTTGCGTTTATTCAGCATTTTTAAGCTACAAAGAGCACGTTTCTAATTAATAATTCATATTGGAAAGAATGGAAGGTGAAAAATATTAATCATACTTAATAGTTTCTCCTGTTTTAATTCATTTGTGCTTGATATTTTGGATCTGAAGGAAGCGGAAAATCTGTCTTGAATCCGAAGAAGCTTATGTGTGAAATGTACAACGACTTAAGCGAGGTAAATAAGGTATAATGGTAAAATTCTATGTCTTTACTGGATCATCAATTTTTAATTTTAAGGAACATCCTCGTCGCCTTATTCCTGAACTATGTAAACAGTTTTATGATTTAGGATGGGTTACTGGTGAGAAATGACTAATTCCTTATATTTTAATTATGTTTATTGAACTGCTGTATATTAGGAACGGGAGGTGGCATTTCCATTAAACTAGACGACGAAATCTATATAGCACCGTCGGGTAAGGAGAAATACAGCGATACGAAAGAACATAATGATACCAATTAATTACATTTCAGGAGTTCAAAAAGAAAGAATTCAAATTGATGATTTATTCATTCAAAATATTGAGGGCGATGATTTAGGTAACTTTATGTTTTCCTGAAAGTTTGTTTTATGTCTTAACATGTTTATTATTTTTCTAGTCATTCCACCCGAATACAAGAAGCTCAAGAAAAGTCAATGTACACCATTATTCATGGTTGCTTACAAAGAAAGAAATGCTGGGTCTGTTATTCATACACATTCTCCCAATGCTGTTATGGCCACACTTCTTTGGCCTGGAAAGGTGTTTAGAATAACTTACCAGGAAATGATTAAGGTAATTAATTCATGTACAGGTCTCACAAAATCTTAATTAATCATTGTGATGAATTTAGGGAATATTCGACTACGAGTTGGGCCGTTACTTGCGTTATGACGAAGAGCTTGTCGTTCCAATAATCGACAATACTCCCTTTGAGAAGGATCTTGAGGAAAGTTTAAAGAAAGCAATTGAAGAATATCCAGGTACGTCTGCTGTTCTCGTTCGCCGTCATGGGCTTTATGTTTGGGGAAAGTCTTGGCAGGCTGCAAAAACTCAATGTGAATGTTATGATTATTTATTCAATATTGCTGTTGAAATGAAAAAGTGCGGCTTGAATCCAGAATCAGTTCCACAAAGTAACAAAAATACCAAAAAGTAGAATGTATAAAAAAGAAATTTATTTAAAACCAAAAAATAATGTTACAGTCTATGAATGTTTATAAAGATTGATTCGAAAGCATGCTCATGGCAATAAAAGATGATATGAAATCCTTAATTTTTAAGCTTGTTTAACTCCACGCAATTCTTGATCAGCCTTTTTCAAGGAAATCAAGTTACTGACCATTTTCACTCGTAGACGCGACCAGATCATGTAATTAGAGAGACCCAAAATTTGAGCAGCATTAAGAGCTGCTGCTTCCGGATAAATTACTGTGGCACATCCTAAGCCTGATGGCAAATTAATTGATGACCACAAGTCGATATTCATTGTGCTTGTATTAATTGGTGGACAGTTGATGACTGGGAATGATGTATTTCCAGAAAGAACTGGACCTAAACCATTTGAACGTCCAGCAACTGTGACAAATACTAAATTCTTAATAACTCCTTCATATTCTGACATAATTTGTAATGTGCCTTTTGTGACTTTATGAGCTGATGAAACTCTCATTTCAACATTAAGTCCAAGATCCTTGCAGTACTTAGCAATCTTCTCACAATGATCTTTATCAGATGGTGATCCCATAATAATCACAACAAGATGATCATTTATAGGTACAATACCTTCAAGCTGATCATTAACCCATTGGAAATTTCTCTTAACAGTTTCCAAGTCACTTGCTGTAACATTAGTCAAGTTCCTGTAAACTTGCTTGTCAACCATCAATCTTTTGTCACCTGATGGCCATAATCTCCACGAATCAGAATCAATGACATCAGCAACAAGAATCTCTCCTGTCTCATCGACACCAAATTCAATTTTCATATCGATTAAGGCACAATCTCTTGTCATCCAGGCACGTTCTAGAATCTCAAAGACGAGAATTGTTGTTTGTCTCATTATGTCAACCTCATCTTGACCTACAAAAAAATATCAAAGGAATTAGATGATAATAAGGAATTAATTATTTACTGTAATAATTACCAATCAATAAATTATTGACTTTGAATCCTTTAGCAATAATTTGCTCTTCACTCCATTGTGGATCATCATTGGCATCGTCCTTGAAGAAAGTTTCCTGCTTGGGTGGACAGAATCGGAAACCTTCATGAATGCCTGGATTTCTCTTTAAATATGATCCAGTTGCCAATCGTCTTGTAACCCATTCAATTGGAACCATATCACATTTCTTGGCAATAAATGCCTTGTCAGATGCAAGCTTAACAAAAGCTGTTCTAACGCCTGCCTTATTCAAGAGCTCAAAGACCTTTGCATTTGTTTTATTCGAAATTTCAGCTTTGCCATCCAAATCATGCATTCGAACTCCATTATGTGCTGATATACGGTCCTTGTTTAATAGCAAGACATACCCGGAATTGTTAGGAAGGTCAAAAATCTGTTTTGTTTTTCCTTCATTCAAAACTTTTCCGAGTTTATATTCTCCAACTTAAAGGAAATAAGATAATGATGAGAATGTTTTGATGTAGACGAAGGTTAGAAGTATGGGGTTGTTTATGAGTTGATGATAATCAGTTTAAGAGGGACTTTGATCTTTTGATGACGAAAATGACAACTTTTTAAAACGGTTTTGAATTTTAAGGATTGAAAGTTAATTAACTGTAGGGATCAATTCAATGGTACTTAAACTTGGGCTGGTTGAGTGCTACTTGATGCTCATCAACAAACCTAATTCCAAAGTTCTAAAATTAGCTGACACATCAGAAATTTAGAATCATTAAATGGAATTAAACATTAAGAATCTTCTCGAACAACATTGCAAGTTCTTTAAACAATTCCTGGATGTTCAATAGATAATCAAGTCAATAAACAGCCGTCACTTCAATAATAAACCTTAAGATTTCATGAACCTCACAAACGATTGCTCATAAACACATTTTATCTCACAGAACCGGCAAAAAACAAGATTAATTGATGGAAATTAAAATAACTTACTTGCTTGAACTGTTGCCATCTTCGCGTGACTTTTTACTTGCAACTTTACAAAATAAAATTCAGATAATTTAAATTGGAACGACTGTCAATGATTTGATAGCGTGTAAAGTAATATAATAAAGTAAGAAGTTTCTACGACTATTTATATATGCAGACAGAGCATGTATCTCCTTATCATGTGTTTATTGTTGTTTACGAGAGAGAACTAAGAGCGTAAATATTATTTGTATGAGTAACTGACGAAAAATGCGCGGAACAAAAACATGTTTTTCTTCATCTCATTTCCATTGATGTCATGAGATGTGCATTATGCTGAAAACTTTAATGAAAGGTTGTGATGAAACCCGCGATAATCAGCTAAAAAATTAATTGGAACAAACAGAAATCTCAGTTGGAAACAGGACCACGTGGTTAGTTGATTTGCACATTTAATTGTAGTAGTAATTACAGCATAAAAATATGAGCAGAAACTACTGATCAGGTACAGACAATTTTGAGAATGAAGTGAGATCGTTCCGAAACTTTTTTATTTATGTATGAGTATATCTTTATTTATGCTCAGAGTTGTAGTATTTTGGAAGTAAACGTCGTAGACAGTACACAAATAATAAAGTTTACGGCCTATACAGTAAAGAAAGTTAATTAATTCAGCCCCCTGGATTCCAATCTGTGAATAGTTAAATACATTCACACATTACATTGTCAGTCAGTTCACTGCAGTTTTCTCATTAGAACCAGTACTTCTTGGTCTATAAATAAAGTTCTATCGCTGGCATCATTTTATAAAGTTTATTAATCAAGTGAGTGAGTCAGTATTGATGAAACTGCTTAAGTGATAGGACATAAATCATTCTTAAACTCGACAGTAATTTTTAAACGTCTGCAATAAGACACCAAAAGGTAAGAAGATCTTGAATACAATTTAGTTCTATAAATTTGTGTGACAAAATTGAAACCTCCAAAAATTCAGTGCCAAAAATATTTCATTATCTGCAAATTGAAACATGTGAGATCGAAAACACGTGAGTTGTCTGTACACTAATCAAATTTTCTATTCGTTATCGGCTGACAACATGTGTCCTTGACTAAAGTTCCGGATTGCCCAAAAAAAACGCTTTATGTGTGACTGTACATAGTATTGACTTGAATCTCTTTCGATTCTGTTAAGATATTTTCAATATGGCTGTTAGACATCTGAAGATTGGTAAAATGAAAGAACTGCTTGGTTATTAGTCTTTGAAAAATATTCAGGTATACTCATATCTAAAAATTGACTCGAATTTAACATCAAGATTTGATTCCCTTCAAAATATCAAAAGAATCTTGTAGATCTTTGTTAATAATCCTATATCTAAAGTCATTCCTTAATGTTATATTGTAAGGATCATTTTGTTTCGTCTATTCCTCCAAAAACTTTAAAGTCCTTCATAGATTAATCACTCAAAAAAGGTAATCAGCTATAATCTTCAACCCATAAATTTCATTTCACTAAACTATTGGCCCAAAAAAAATAGAATCAAATAATAAATGAAAGAATTATGTCAAGTAATCAAAAATGATGCTCGTCGATGACATTAATAATTCCAGACTGTTGTCAAGTCAGCAAATGTGTAGAAAGTTCATTGTGTACTCGCCTGATTCGCCTCACATGAAGATTTCATTCAAAATATTATTAAAAGCAATCTATTATCGTCTATAACTGTTGATTATTATTTTAAGGCAGGACTGATTAATAAAGCAATAACAAAAACAACTCAGTCATAATGTTATTGTAATCAGGAAAAATGATGAAAATCTCAATAGAATTTCTCAGAAGGATTCTCATATATATATATTCAATCTATTTCAAGGAACAGTCATTATTCAATCTGATTAGAAAACATACAGACATGGAAGAGAAAACAACAAAAACTAATAACGTTAAGAAATATCAGCTGACTGGAAAGAGATTTGGTCGTGGTGCTGTTGATAGTGGCTTGACACATGAATGTGGAGTATTTGGAGCAATAGCTACAGAATGGCCAACACAAATCGATATAGCACAAACTGTGTGTCTCGGACTGGTAGCTTTGCAACATCGTGGACAAGAATCAGCTGGAATTGTGACGAGTGAAGGGAATTGCAATAAGAATTTCCACATTCATAAAGGAATGGGAATGATTAATAATATTTTTACGGACGAGACAATCAAGAAGCTTAAAGGAAATTTAGGAATTGGACACACAAGATATTCAACATCTGCGGCATCAGAAGAAGTAAATTGCCAGCCATTTGTCGTCCATACAATTCATGGTGCCATAGCTTTAGCACATAATGGAGAGCTTGTAAATTGCGACAGTCTTAGAAATGATGTATTAGGCAGAGGTGTTGGATTATCCACATACAGTGACTCAGAACTGATTACACAGAGTTTATGTGTAAATCCACCAGTTAATGAAGTAAATGGACCTGATTGGCCAGCAAGAATTCGACATTTAATGAAATTAACTCCATTAAGCTATTCACTTGTCATTATGATGAAGGATAAAATTTATGGAGTAAGAGATCCTTTTGGAAATCGTCCGTTATGTTTGGGTCGAATTGTCCCATTAGAATCATCAACTAGAAAAGCTAATGGATGTAAGTTGTATCTAAAATAATATGATGATCAGTTTATTAATAAATTAATTTATTTTCAGTGACTAATGGTAATGCAAATTCACAAGAGGCTGATGGATATGTCATTTCAAGTGAATCGTGTGGTTTCTTGTCTATTGGTGCGCGTTATGTTCGTGAAGTTTTGCCTGGTGAAATTGTAGAAATATCTAGAGATGGTATAAGAACAGTCGATATTGTTGAGAGACCCAATGGAAAGGATCGTCAAGCTTTCTGTATCTTCGAGTACGTCTACTTCGCAAGATCTGACTCAATTTTCGAAGGACAGATGGTCTATTCAGTAAGAATGCAGTGTGGAAAGCAGCTAGCACGAGAAGCTTTTATTGAGGCTGATATTGTATCATCAGTACCTGAATCAGGAACAGCTGCAGCTCATGGATTCTCAAGAGAATCTAACATTGCCTTTGCAGAAGTATTGTGTAAAAATCGATATGTTGGAAGGTAAGCTTTAAAGCTATTAATAATCAAATACTATAGATTAATCATAATTTTCTATTATAGAACCTTCATTCAGCCTTCAACACGCCTTAGACAGTTAGGTGTTGCAAAGAAGTTCGGAGCACTTTCTGAAAATGTAGCTGGAAAGCGACTAATTCTTATTGATGATTCAATTGTTCGAGGCAATACAATTGGACCAATTATTAAGCTTCTTCGAGATGCTGGAGCTAAGGAAGTACACATAAGAATTGCATCCCCTCCACTACTCTATCCATGCTATATGGGAATTAACATTCCGACAAGAGAAGAACTGATTGGAAATAAATTGAATCCAGAGGAGCTTGCTAAGCAAATAAATGCAGACAGTTTGGCATATTTAAGTGTAGATGGTCTTGTTCGTGCTGTAAGAACTAATTTACAAACTGACAATCCCAAAACTATTGGGCATTGTACAGCATGTCTTACTGGCGAATATCCTATTGAATTAGATTGGTAAAATGGAAAGTTTTGCTTTTATTTTAATAATTTTAATTGCCTTAACTATGTTAATCTCATTCCTTTTTAAGTTACACTACATTTTAAGACTAATATCCTAATAGCTAACATGTATTACAAACTTTTATATGCTTAATTTTAACTTTATTACGAATAAATGACTTTAAAATGTCTAGATTTAAAACTGAAATTCATGCCTTTTCGATATTGCTTTATGCTTTAGTTTCTTTAGTATTGAAAAGGTGATAATAATGGAGAATGACTTACAGCAGCCTGTGTTCTGCAACTTGGTGAAGCACTTAATGATCTATTCGCTTGAACTCGATGGGAAATAGATATATGCAAATTTTTCTTCCTAAATGTGACGTTTGTGAATTCGGGACGAGTTTTTCCTTCCGATGCTGGAAGTTTATGGATGAATGTATTGCTGTTGTTTCTAATCGAACTCTTGGGAGTTGAAGATCCAGCACTAAGTGCTAGGATTAAATTTACTTCATCAAGAGTGTCTTCTATTTCTATTATTTCTTGCTGAATAGATATGCTGCCACTATCAGAGGAGTCATTTTCTTCTTCCATTGACAGAGCTCTTGACAAGCTCAAAAATTCCTTTTCATTTTCTTTAAAATATTTTTCCATTGATAAAATATATTCAGTTTCTTCTTGTTCATTCGAGAACTCTGGCAGTTTATCTTTAAGTTCTTCGTTATCCAATAATTGACAAATCTTTTCCATTCTTTCAAAACTAAGATCAGAAACTTGATCCAATGGATCTTCTGATTTGCATGATGAGTTGGGTGATAAACTTATTTGTTCCATTATTAAGCTGTAAAATGTGATGAAACATAACAATTTATTTATATAACAGCTCAATAGCTTCAGATGTCAGATTTAATTATATTATTTGGGTTAGCAAGATGTGACGAATGAAATGTGAGTCAGTAAAGAAGAATTTGACACCTCTATCAATATTGTGCACTACTTTGTCTACTACAGTACAGCATGAATGAATTTATGATTGAAACAAATTAACCAACTTACCCTTTCTTTCCTCACTTGATATGTTACTTTACTGCCTACCAAGTTTTACGTCACATGCTGTTTGAATTAAGCTAATTGTGGTACCTGTGAAATTTCAAAATTAAAAGTACCGTTGAATTTCTTAAAAAAAACATTATTCTTTAACAAAGAGAATTAGAAATCAACCAGGACATCTTTAATTAATTAAATCTCCACAAGTTCAATTTTAATAGTGCAGCTGCTGTAAAAGCTTCTTTAGAACAACGGTAAAAAAAAATTCAAAAATTCAGGGCAAAGTACTAAAACTATGCAAGGGTCTTCAATTTGAATCACTTTAATTTTCCAAACATTTCTCAAATGCATGCAGCTTTATAAGTTGTGGACCCATTCATATCAAAGAATCAAGTCGTTCAAGTGAGATCACTAAAATCTGAAAACTATTTAATTAAAACTATTTTGCGCTAGAAAAGCCATTTTAATTTTTTGTTCAGTGTTTATTTGAATCAGCATCATTGAGAGATACAAGTAGTATGCCTGCCAAAATGATTAATAATTGGTAAGTTGAGAAAATAAATTTTCTAAATACATTTCAAGTGAAATTTCTTTGTTTCGAAAAAAAATCGTAAAATTGCCATATAAATTATGATTGCATAAGTTTACAACAGATTTCCTGAGTCATACATTCATAAAATATAGTTGGATGTTCATTTTTGAACCATTAAGAGCGTGTAAAAGTCATTTTAAAAGATCCAGTTTACGATACTTTCTAGTACAATCGCAATTCCGTGAATCTTTTTTTCCTCATTCATTCTGATAACGATATAGAGCTCATGCGCACTACTGTGACGCATACAAGACAACCGTCAACAATCTTCATGTGTAAAAGCTTTTATTATTGTTCATAATGTAATATTTAGAATGAGAAAATGTGTTGAAATAGAAAGGAACGGAATTCGTGAAGGTCATTCGCAAATTCTTTTAAAATTTACCAAAATTCCCAATGACTTGCTCAATATTTCATCATCAGCTGTAATTTGTACTCTTAAACTCTTCCTTATCTACCACATAGAATCTATAGTATTCTTTTATTACTACCAATATATGAGCAAGCGAGTCATCAAAGATTCTTCCAGAAGAAAAAAATAGTTGGTAACAAGCGAGTAAGCATGTATAATGCATACACACAACTATAAGCAACGGTACTATTTCGTCGTCGCGTGTTTTTATAATTGTCATATATTGAAAATTGCCTTATCTTTCACTTTTCTACGTTTGTATTAGCATACAGACAGTAAATAGCGAAAACAAAATAGTCATCAATAGTTCCTTTTCCGAGGTCAAAAGTTCATTCTTATCAGTACTGAAACAAATGTCTATCTTCTAAATACAATAAACTTCAAGTTCTTGATCCTCATTTATTAATCAGTATAATATGTATATTACAATAAATCGTAAGCATCATGGCTCTTAAGGTTGTGGAAGAAGCAAAAAAAAAATGTCAATTTAAATTAAGAAAGAAATGCACCTGAACCATGTACAATAAAATTTAAATTGGTTCGTTAAATACAAGAATAAAGCACAAAAAGAGAAGAAGAGGAATGGAATGGAAATTTCCATTGACTGAGGCCTTTTATTACTATAAGAGAGAAGGAGATAGAACAACGTAAAAACAGATTATTATTTTAATAAAAATGCACAGAACTTGCCTTTATGCTTTCATTACTATCACGTTTTAGTACCAAAGTGCAGTAAGAAAAACCATGAGAATGATAAGAAATTGGAGTATTTTAAGCTTATCAAATATTCCAGCATTGCAATGATTCTCTAGATTCTCAAGGCGTTTCTCCAAGCTATCTGTAATCCTAGACAACTCCTTTACGGCACCAATACTTTCCATGAATATTCTGTCCTAAAAAATGATAAGAATTTCAATGAGTCATTGTTAATTGTTACTCTAGTAGCAGCACTGACCTTATTGACTTGTAAAAAATTATCAATATTTGTTCCATCAGCAAGTCTCAAATTTCCACCATCATATATAGCGTCCGGTAATATTTTTTGCAATTCTTGCGCAATTATTCCCGTTTGATATGCCTTACTATCCAATTCGTTGTTCTCAGCAAAAGCCTCATCGTACTGATACTTGACTATTCTAATTTGATTAATATTCTCCAACTGTCTATTTGTCTCGAGCTCGCTGATATTGTACTTAATGCGTACATCACTTGGTTGAATAATATGCCCAGATACTTTTAAATTTCCACTCACAACTAAACTTTCATCAGGCATGTCCGTATTTATTCCAATCTTTCCTTGATGAAATATCGAATTTTGTGTAACACCACGTTGCCAACAACATAAATCTACATCTCCTTCAAATTGACCTGGATTTGAAGCTCTAACAATGATTCGCTCACTTGCGTGACTGATGATTGGAAAATATCCTGTATACGTGTGTGCATGAAGTCCCACTACAAGTTGGAAATATCTTTGTTCTGGATTTGGTCGTCCTTTCTTACGCATGTTATTGCATGTTGTTTCTGAGAAATGAAGCCGTCCTACAGTGATTTTTCCTACTTGACTGTTTTGAAGGTCCACACTAAAAGAATTAAAATATTTTATGTCTGTTGCCTTCAACTTTATAGCTTGAGATTCAACAAGCGGTTCATTCACTTCATAGAATACAATTAAAATAACTTACAGAACAGGATAGAATGGCTTTTTCGACCGATCAGATTGTGATTGTTCAATGCGAATTGTCTGTGCCGGTGTCTCAAGTTTAACACCGTAAAAGTGTAAGTGAAATGTCCTCACTTTCTCAATATTATTTTGTGTCTTGACATAAACACCATTTCCATGTAATTGGACGTGGCATGTTATTTGAAAATGATTTTTCTTCTGACACACGAAAGCATCATCGGAATTTGAAAAATTAAATCCCTTATCAGCATCGACACGAAAATGTGGCATTGCACTGAAAATAATGAGCATTTAGAATAGAAAAGCAACGAGTCCGTGACATCTTATAAACTTACAGTTCTTGATGATTGTGATCAAGTAATGTGTGCCATTGATGCTGTTGAAACGGACTGAATCGAATACACTGTATTTGTGAGCCGTCCGAACCGCTCTCATTTCCTTTTGCTATTACATTATCCGTGAAATTACTGCTATTCTTATTTTCATTATTTGTATTGCTTGAATTCTCTTGAAAGTGTTCGAATGATGATTTTGTATCATTGTGTGGCTGTAAGTGCTTCTTTGTATCAACAATAATTTCATTCTGTACCTCTGACGTGCACGTATCTTGTGAAATTTGATGATGTTGTTGCTTCTTCTTACTCTTTGATCCGTGATAGCTTTTAGGGAGTTCTAGAGAATATTAAAATTCATTAATGAGGTTGGAATATACATTTTTGGCACCCTTTTAGTTGTGACTAGATTACTATTTTTAGACTGTATTGGGAATTCATGCATGAAATTTATTAAATGAATTAACTATGAGTGCCAATTGGAAGTTTCTAAAAGTATCTTTGGGATATTTGAAATATTTTATGAATATGCTACAGAAACAGGAATATGCCCACAAATGACGTCATCAGTGTCATAAGTAATACTCACTCGCTTCGCTTTTAACGAATGGCTTCAAATTCCCCTCGCTGTAGCTATTTTGAGCTAAACTTTTTCGCTTCTTCACATTTCCAATTCCATTTGTCATATTATGATTTGACAATTGCTGCTGTTGTTCATGTGCTGCAACCATACTTCTAGGATATGAATTATCTCCATTATTATTACCACCAATTATTATTGGCAGATTGTCATTTATTGTACTTGAATGTAAGGTCTGTTGAATGTCGTGCATTGTTGATAGTGGAGTGGTTGCATCCGTTATGTCCAACATATCACTTTTATATAAACGATTATTGCTATTAGTAGTATTATTATTAAGTGACGGAAGATGATGATGATTCAATTCCATAATTTGTCCATGCTGATTCACTTGATACAATACCATTTGATGATCTTGTGTTGTTGAATGATGTAGAATTGATCCATCATTTTTATGTAAAATATTATTGATTTGAATTAATTGCTGCTGCTGATCATTCGCTAGATATAGCTCTGACGATGGAGTCAGTAAATTATGATGAAGATGATTGTGATGAGGCACATGAAGTTCCGTTAAAGTATTCATAGATAAGGCATTATGGTCAATTTGAATGTTCTGCGTTCCACCTTTTATATTTGGACTATAAGGCGGTTCAGAACCTGAATCAGGTGGACTTTCTGGTAAATTTGCTGGATTGATTTGTGAGTTTTCAATTACTGTTTGTGCAGTTTGTGATGGTGAATGAACAACTGCATTGTTCTGTATAAATGCTTCTAATTGCTCAAAATCTAAAGCCTCATTATCGATATTATCAAAATCAGAACGGCCTGAAAAGATATTTTGTAATTAGCTTCGTCAAGAAAAATGAATCGCAGTTCCTAGATCTCAAAATATGAGCCCAATGTCATTTAATTTTAGGTTAAGTGTTGTTACAAAAAGAAATTGTCAATGAAGCACTTAAGATTAGTTTTCGATAGTCACGTTCGTACTTTCTTGGGGACATTGAATGAGTTTTATTAATAAAATCTGAATAAATAGAATGCTGCTAGGGATCGTGTGTCAAAAAAGTTTAAAAGACTCTGCTTTTGTAAGTAAAAGCTCTTTAAATGACATATTTTATTACAATACTGAACCAAGCACACGACATGAACTTTATTATTTCATTTCCATATCAGAAATTCATACACTTGTCTCTTCAACATTGTTCTGTTTATGGAATAATTATGTATGAATCTCTCGACAGGATTTATTACCCACCCAACCCAACCTACCAAAATGAATCATTCTTGATGATGTTTAAATCTTCTGTCTCGTATAACTCAAGTCAATTAATTATTTCAACTCAATTTAATTGCTTTCGCGTGAACGAAGAAAAAGTTTTTCCTCTGACTTCTTTTGCACTTTATTTGTAAAAGAACCACAAATTTATTTTTCACGATTTTTTTTTTCTTTTGCCTTTTACATTTCACAATAAAAACTTATATCCTGTTGCTATGGATATGCTTTTCTGAATCATTAAAATTATTATTTTGTTATCACTAACATTTTATGACTTGTTTATTGATTAAACAAACTTTGCTTTACCGTGTGAATTTTTTGCTTTACGTTTGACGTCGTTGTTGTAAATCCTTTAATTCTATTGATATTTTAAAGTCTTGTCATGTCCTTTCAATTTTGCACAAAATTATTGATTCATCACATTTTACGTATCACATTTGACATTTGTGTTTTAAACAATTTCCAAAAAGACTTATCACTTCCTCTTTTTTTTTGGCTATATTTAAAGATAATTTTCCACTTATTAAGTCACATTTGCACTTTATCTTATTTCCCAAATCGAAGACACACAAGAGATGTAAGAGAGGCGGAGGAAAATTATGCAAAACAGAGATAAAGGATTTTTTTTTGAAATTGAATACACAACACTTATGTAAAGAAATTGTGCGTTACACGAAATATCAAGAAGATCCTTTTAGCTTCAAGAGAATTCGTTTGCATACTGAGAAGACATAAAAAAGGAAACTCTGAAGGATTATTAGACTCATGTTTATAGCGAGCAACCTGCATTGGAAGTTCTGTTATTTATTTTGCCAAGCAACGATTTTTGTTATTTTTGCTCCTTTTTTTTGTGGTTGTTGATTTCAAACCCGAAAGAATTTATTTAACACAACGATTTTTTTACAAGTGTTAGATCGATGCACAAATCATGTCACAAAATTAGAATTGGAATTCATTCTAAATTACCTGTATTCGCTTCTTTACATTATTAACCGATTTGCCATTCTATAGTGCCTCATACATATCATTTCCTTCAAGCTAGTGTTTGTATTGATATGCAATAAATTTCCAATATTTTTATGGAAAAGAAAACGTCAATATAAATCACAAGAACCTTCTTTCTTAACCAAACATATTCTGTTTCCATTCAGTACGTTTTCGTGAAGGCAACAGTGTAGTTTCTTCTTGTATTTAAAACGTGAAAATTCTCATAAAACATTAATAGTAATTTCTCGTCGTAAAACTTAAAGTGAATAGGAATTAAATACTTCTTGGAGCATTCCATTGAGGAAAATCTAAATCACATTGGATTTCCTCTAGAGATACGCAAAAAGAGAATGATGACGTAAGTTTTAAAATAGGTTCAATGATCGAAGTTCAGAATTCTTAAAACTATGACGAAAGAACTCAAAAAATGTTGTTTTTGACATTTTTCATCATTTACCAATGTGGTTTGCCTTGTCATGATAATACAAAACGTGATTGAAAGATATTACTAGAGCTGATAAAGTATATGTGCAGTAAAAGCCACTTTGTTATTGATTTTGTTTTTACTTCTTATCGCATCCTTCAACTGCCATTGGAACTAAAAATTTTCCATGTTTAAAATTACTTTTTAAAATTTGCTAACAATGAATGAGTCAGTTTGTTTGCGAAGGTTGGGAATAAGAATTCATTAAATAATGATATTTGTTAAAGTACACAAGACCTTGATACTCGAACTGCACAAAGTTCAACATGAGCATATCAAAGAATCAATTTTGAACTTCTCCTCTCTTGTTAGACGCCATCATTGAATAACCTTTTGTGAAAAACTGAGCGTCTGTAGACAAACTAAACAAAAGATGAATAAACTTTATTATTTCGAGATTTTTTTTCCATGATTTTTTCCTTCTCGAAATTTCCATAGTTCAAAACTTTCCATAACATAGACCTTTTGACCATAGCTAAAGGCAAAGTTTCTGATCTATATGTGTAGGTTAATACTCCAAGTAAGAATACTATTCTGAGTCATTTGTTTTTAGAAAACCTGTAATAAGCTTAAAAAATATTCTTACTTCCTGTATTTGGTTTCTTCATTATAAAGTAAAAACAACTGTCGATACTTGACTGTCAATGTTTACTGCTTAGTTACACTTTAGAATAATAATAAGAAGGTTGATGACTTTTTCTCAAAACTCAATTTGTTTCTGATTTAGATCTTCAAGTACTCATGCATTAATATTAGTTTGAGAATGACTTCAAAAAGAGCTATGAAAACATAATCGAAAGTTCTAGATTTGAAAGAGAATATAGCCTTCAAAGTGTGGGTAATTGAGCTTTTAAATCACGTACCAGATATGAATTTCAATTGGAACATTTTCAATATTGCCATTTTATAATCTGCTTTTCTTGAAAAGTTGTAACAATTCCCTCATAAATTTCAGGGATTTACAAAAGGGCAATTTTATAAAAGAAGAATAAATCCTCTTAGAATTGAAGAAATGTACGCCATTAAATTTGAAATACAGAAGCGAAAAGAATGAATTTTAATAATGTGCTTCTATGTACTCAATTATTACGTAAATATAAACTTAATACTTGCTTACCATGAAGAATTCTTGCACAATTATTTATAATCCAGATCGAATTTCTTCGGTTCATAAATGCACGAAGGTTCTATGAAAACCACATGTAAGAAAACAGGAACATTCTTCAAATGACTTTAATTATGCTTAAAAAAATTATTTCAATAAAGTTTATAGCTTAGCAACAAGTCTTCAAGGTTTTTGTGCAATTATGATGCGTCATTTAATGAAATTTAAAGGCAATGAAATTAATTAATACAAAATCTCATCGATTGTAATGACACATTCCATAATGCAGCACATCATTCATACAATTTAATGAAATGGAGGATTGTTATGAAAATAAACAGAAGACGAGAAGAAAGAATTTATTCAGAGCGGAAATAATAAGAGATTTTTATTAAATATTTATTTTACTATTGGGAGTCTAAACGGTTCTTATTTCAAGCATTTCGTTATTATTTTATTTCTACTCAATCGATAACAAACGTTGTCATAAATTTTCATTAATAATATGACCGATACGCTTACAGCTACATAATTTTGCGTATAACAAAAACGAATTGCGTTCAATGTGATTTTAAATGAAAATTAGCTAATTTATTATGTGCTTAATGGGTAAAATTACTTTCTGTGATTCTGAAAAAAATATCACGTTGCATACCATTCAAACAGGCGATTTGCTTACTTAAGATTGTTTTGCAACGATTTCTGCATTTTGTTCTGTGTCGTTTGTTTGGCTTTCTCGAATAATTCTTGTATAAAATTTGAATGTTCTATAAATATGTGAATAAAGCTATTCTTAATGTGTAGGATAATTGGCATAGTTGAGATAATTCAGGGCCAGGTTCCCTCTAGTGTTACTGGATGACTGTAACCTCAGACATACGCAACAACACTGAAATTCAACAATTGAGACAGCACTCCAATTTAAAAACTCCAAATACTTTTTTAACCCATTCATTTCTCATTTGCTATGTGTAAATTTAATTAACAAAGTGATTCTTCTTTACAGAACAGGAAAAAAAGAAATTTCGGTTATTTGTTGTCATAAAAGCTGAAAAAGTTTAACTTTCTGATTGATGGTTGCGTGCCATCAAAAGTTCTTTTTCAGCAAACAGAAGAAACATAAAAAGGGAAATGAAACAAAAAAAAGTTCTTTTCTTCTAATTTCTTTTCTTTTGTGTTGACAAAAATCGATTCATTCTCGAGAGCTTTGATCGCATAAACTTTCAGCTATTGAATTGTAACGACATAAAGCAAATTATAAAGTAATTATGAAGAAGTTACAGTTTATGAATGAGAATGGAAAAATTATTTAAATAAGAATCCTATAAATGACCTTGAATGCTACATTAAATTTGCAACAATAAGAATAACGCCGACGGAGAACGGTGGAATGAGGAATGACATGAAAAATTATTTTTTTCTCGAAAATGGCATGAAAGCACGAAAAAATGTTAAAAAGATTGAATTTCATGCTGTTAAGGCATAAAACTAAAGAGAATCAAATTTTCAATGTCAATTTTGATTACGATGTGAGTCCATCAATGAAGAAGTTCCTGTTTACACTTTCGAAGTTAGAAAATCAACAGAATTTATGTTAGATATGGTCATGGCATGCAAAATAATGAATTTGTCTAAAACTGTTTGGTTTTATCTAATTTCGATCAGCTGTATATAGACACTTGCTGTTTCTACAGCTGCTGTATTGGATATTTAAACAAAAAAAATTTTTGAATGAAATTTGCGTCGCAAGCAAATGGCTTTCTAAACGATTAATTAAAGACAAGAGAGTGAGAGAAGATGTCAAGACGACATGAAAGTCTCTCAGCGTTTAATTAAATTTTTATAAGACTCCTCATGTAATGTAATTTATATGCATGCTTCTTCTTATTCCTATTTTTATACGAAATCACTGTCACAAATAAAATTTAATTTGAAGGTTAATGTGGCATGATTCTTGCTTGTTTTTTCGGGTTATACTTTTTGCAAATGTTCATTGAAGGTGATGACTCTTTTATGTGGAATAGTCTAAATATTTAAAAGGAATTTTCCTAGGAAAGTTTTAAGTGAATTTTTGGTATTAATAGAATACGTAAACATAGACGTTAGTTCATTTAAGTCTAGGAATGATGCACTCACATGATGTTAAGTTTGAAATGGCTCATGACTAGGATAGTTATGTGCGCATATGTTAATGAGTTCTTGGTTTTAGTCATTTAATTTATTTTATTTTTGGGTTTTGAGATTTTTAAAACTATAGTCAGTTCATGTACTGTTAAGTTTATTTAAAATGTCAATTCACTTTCAACATCCCTAGGTTCAAATAAAAGTTCCACAAGCTAAGGAAATTTCAATAAATAAGACTCGAAACCCGAAAGTATTGCTTTAATTTTTGAAAGATCTAGAGCCATCTAGAGCTTTCTATTTCAATTTATCGATTGTATAGAGATGTTAAGCTTTTAAAAAAAAAAGGTCAAATACATTAAGTTCAGGCAGATTTCCAACCCGATTCAAAGCTCTTTTGCATTGACATAAATGGACATCGAGAGAATGCTATTATGAGGATATAAAATTTCGGTTTTGCTTTGATATTGCTGTTAAAAAATTATATTTCAGAGAAGTGAAGGGTTTTGAAATTCTAAGAGCTTCATCATTGCCATTTTATACACTTTTATTCAGTGTTTATCTTAATCTTCAATATCTTCTTTCTCGCAGAGTGTATATGAAATATAAAGAACAATATTTATAGTGGAAAATTTTATTACACTTTTACAAAATTGTATTTTCATCGCTTTATTGCAAATATACTTCTGAAGGGCATAAGCTTGTGTTGTAAACAGATTCTATCGCGAATGAATGCACGACTTATTTGTAAATAAATTTTATTCTTTTTGTTTGGAACAAATTTGTGTAAAATAGTGCCTTAAATGGATGTTTCATAGTTGAACAAGTTAAATGAAAGAAATGAAAAGCAAATTAGCACTTATATTGTTTCAAACTAGACATTTTTCATGCGTAAATGTGAAAAATATCCTCCTTTCATTTTGACCTTATCATAAACATTTCGGTTGAACATGAATATGCTCATTTTTCGTTCAAAGACCTTTTCGAAAATAAATGAAAATTTTCATGCTGGTGCTAGCAATAATGACATCAATTATGAAAATATTCATAATATTCGTATTGAAATAGCTTTCAAGACCATTGGAAACACATGCTTAATGGTTGTGTCCAAAACACTGATTCTACGGACAAAAATTCTAAATTACAAACCCATACTCTGCCAGAGCCATAACCTGCCAGGCATCTATTAGCTTTTTTGGCTTAATTTTGATCATAGAGTTTAGGGAAACCCATTTCATTTAAATCTACAAGTGTATGCAATAAAGAATGCAAAACACACCGTTGACATTCCAATAATCAGCCAATGAACCATTAAAACATTTTAATCATCGTGTTTACAGTCTATTTAAGTCCCCCTCGTGAACATTCTACTTATTTATAATTATCTGCAAATAAATTAGCAAAATGTATCACACAAACATGCGTGCATGACAAAATAATAATGATTCAGTTGTTTTATATATAATATCGAACTATTTTCATTTTTATTTTGCAAAATTGGCATACTTTTAAGAGATATTCTCAGTATAAAAGAGATGCGCAGTGATTCGATCATTTAAATCATTGTGAGAGAAAAGAAAATTTCTCCCTTGGTTAGTAAAATATTTCTATTTTCATTCCTTGTTGTGATTTCTTCTTCTTTTATATTTTATTTAAAAATAAGACGAAAAGAAAATATTTTAAACAAAAATCCTCTTGAAATTGCGTATCAGTTTTTAAAAATTGGCAAAAAAATTCCCTCTCATTTTCATTTTCACCTCAATGACATGAAATTCATTCAGCGACATCGAGACTAGGGTTTCTGAAGCCGTTAACGAAAAACGGAAAACGGCCGTTAACGGCACAAAAATTGAAAACGGAAAACGGCCGTTTTTCATTCCGTTTTTCCGTTTTCTCATAGTTCATACAATGTAATTTTAAAAATTTTTTTTGTTTATTTCTTTTAAAAATTATTCTCAAAAACAGTTAAAAGTTTTTGCAATTGAGATTTATTATTATGGATTGCCTGGAAAGTTTGAAAATCTCATTTCAAGTAGTATATTAGAATCAGAAATGTAATCATAGTTGCGAGTCCAGTTTTGTTTGTTGTTTAAATACAACAAATCAAAATCTGAACTCAAGAATTTACAACGGGTTTTTCATATTTGATTTTTATCAATTTTTATGAAAAATACAGGAAATCGATCGGAAAATCTTCAAAAACTTTATGATGCTTTGTTGTGTATTAAGCCGACTATTACAGATGTGGAGCGAATATTTTCAATCTGCAATAATTTTTGCACAAAGATTCGTTCAAGGCTGGCTGATGCATCACTAAATGCTCTTGTTTTTCTTAAGTTCTATTATAATAAAATGAATAAATAGTTATAATAAATATAAATAGAACTTAAGACTTTCTACATATTATCTATATAGAACAGCAATTCTTTATCTTTTGAGGAATATTTCATTTATATTTGGGTATTTAAAAAACTTAAAACGGCCCGTTAACGGCCGTTTTTGAAAATAAAAAACGGAAAACGGCCGTTTTCGAAAATGCCGTTTTTCAGAAACCCTAATCGAGACAAATGAACTTATCGCTTGTCTGGTCATGTACATACACACAAATGTAAGAATATCAAACAGTTGATTAAGAAGGAAAAACTCGCGATCCATAACTTGTTTACAAACTTTGTTTCGGGTATGAAATATTATATGATTTAAATTTTTTTTTATATTTTTAAAACGCCGCTGCTAATGTTGAAAAGAGAAAGATAGATAGAATGTTGACGCGCTACTGATTGACGTTGGTAGCTAAATTTATATAGTGAGAGAATGGCCTGTGTCAGAACAATGGCAAATGGCAAAAAGCTTCCCCTTTTAGGATAAATTTTCAGTTTAATTTCCTGCCACGTGGACTTATTCTCGTGCAATCATACTTGTCTGTTGTCTCTTTTTCGTTTGCAACAATCACAATTATTCATTTTTAATGAATGTGAAAATTAAAACAAGAAAAATATGCACAAGTTCATTTGTCAGACATTTCCGACTCGTTGAAATTTATATCCCCATATCTCAACCCCTTTTGTGGGTCTGTTTCTTATTTATGAAACTCTTTGGGTCAGCTATTGATATTACTTCTTTTGATATTCATTGAATATGAATGGGTTTACAAGATTTTTTGAGCATAAAATAAACTTTATATACTTTTCTCGTTCAAAAATGATTTATTCAATAGATGTTAGATGTTAGAGAAAAAAAAAAGCACAACAAAAAGTTTTCTTTTTATTCTGTTCCTTCTTACCGGTTTATGAACAAGCAAGTAGAGGAATTGTTGAAGTCGTTATATCCATAAAGCATATGGATTGTTAATTGTTGTGTCTTTTAACTGTTACAAGGTCTGTGAAGTGGTAAGACATCGATAATAAATGTAGCTCCTTATCAACAGACTCATAAGAACTAGACTTTATAAAAATATTAAATTGAATGTTATTTTTTGCAACCCTAAACCTTGAATAATCTTTTGGACATCCTTTGAGGATGATCTTTAGAAATCTTTGAAAGCCATAAAGTTCAAAAAGGATTTTGTAAAATCTGTCCAATAAGTTCTCAATAAACAATTTTTTCCATAAAACAAGGCAATGTCAAACTCATTTTTAGCAGGAAAAAAGCTCTTAAAACAAATTATAACTTCCACTTTTTATTTGTCTTCGCCATCCTCAAAGATTTTCCTCTTTCCTTTGTCCCAAATGTGTTGTCTGTTCTTGTTTAGATGTTTTGTCCATGTTTGTTGTTCATGACTCTTGGAAGGTTAAGATAATATTCTGAATATTATTTACGTGATTTAACATCCTTTTTGCCTTCAGATTACACGTGTGTGTGATTGAATATTTTGCATCAATAGCATGAATAGCAAATAGAGGTAAATTTTAATTTGCATTTTTGAGGGATGGAAAATCCATTTTACACGCGAGGCATTGAAGATACACTTGGCCTTTTCTGAGTGTTTCTATTCCAATTTCTGTTGAGGTTTTCATGTCATAACAGCTTTTTCTTGTCATGTATTAATACTCATTGCTAGCTTATGTAGAATTCATGAGTAGTTGTACCGAAAATAACAAAAAGTCGGAAGGAATGATGCCTGTAAGGAAGTAGAGGACTAGTCAAGGTCATAAGTCTTTGCCAACATATGAGATAAAATTAATCTTATTTATATGCCAGTGTCATCAGAATAATCCACTGAGGTTCACAATATTATGAGAAGCTACGAATTGTACTCCATAAATAACTGTAAATGATGATTAAAAATATGGAAAGGATTTGCTGATGTAAAGGTTTTTGTTATCAAGGGTTGGCTTCTCATTAAGAGCTTGTAGTTGATCAATAATGAATGAGAAGTGGTCAAGGAAGTCATAGAGGGAGGAGATTCAGTCATTAATCACCAGCTCCTCATCAAAGCCTTAACTATATAAATGAACAAGTTCTGCAAGATTAAATCATTTTGAACATAAAGTGTCACAAAATTGATTAAAATTCCGACACAGAAAAATGGCGGCAAAAAAAGAGTGAAAAGACATTGAAAAATCTGCAATAATGCGGCATTTTCCGTTTCAAAAGTTCTTTATTTGACTCTTACATACACATTCTCTACATCTCTCATGATGAAAACAATGTTAAAAGTCAAAGAAGTTGAGAAGAAAATAATTATGGCGTGACGAGAATCGCAAAAATATAAAGTATCGAAGAAGGAAATAATAACACAGAAATGACGAAAATAAAGAAGACAGACAAGCTTGTCTTACTGATTATTGTGTATATGTATTTACTCTCATTGTAGAGAAGAAAAGAAAAACATTGCCTGGCTGACTGCTTGACTTATGTGTGAATTTCGCTCTCATTCAGTTCGTTTTCGATCGCACACAAAACAGGTTGTCTCTGATAACGCTGAATAATACAAAACAAAAAGAAGAAGACAATTTTTATTGTCAAGGAAATTTATTTCGTTTAAATTTTTTTGTTTATTTACACTGAAAAAAAAAGAGTTTTAAGAACGTTCTAGCAAGTTTTTAATTTGTTTTATTTTTCTTAAGTTTCCACAATTATCAAGTGCAAAAAAAAAAAGTTGATCTCGCTTTTGTGAAAGTGCAGATAAATTGCTTAATTGGACTAAATTCCTTTCGTGATATAAACGAGTTTTAAACTCAATTTTTGTGATAAGATTACAAACACTTATTTTTATTTGTGTCTTAAAGACGTCAAAAAAGTAAACAATAATAAGGTTACGAGTACTGAAAAAGACAGTCTCACGTTGTTAATCACAAGACTTTTATCTTGCTAATTACTGGTAAGTCTTGTTATTTTAAGTTTGTTGGCTCTTTTGAGTTTCTTGTTTTCAACTAGAAGAGTAATTATGAAGCGAATGCCGTGTGAAACTGCAAATGAGAGAATGATGAGATAGGAGATTGTACAGACTCAATTCTTGGAACATGTTATATTTAATTGTTCACTGGTTTTGTGAAATCAGAGTGAATAAACTAAATGGTGAATACTTTGTGGGTGCATTTATGACCCGAATAATATGGAATTTTATAGCAAAATATATCTATTCTATTCAAGTCGCAGCTTGTATAAGTTGTTTGAAAAAATTCTTGTACTCTTTAATACCATTTTGTATTATAAATATCGAGCACCATTCAAGAGCAGATTTCGTTTCTTAAAATTTCTCCGTTCTTCTTATCTTTTACTGACTTATCGAAACAATATTTGTGCTTAATGATTCAAGATTCCAAGAAAATGCTCTTCATATTCTTCCAAATAACTCTTGTAAACTCAAAACTTTTCAATCTGATGTAGCTTTATGCAATCAAACGCAATTTAAACATGAAACTTCATATTATGAATTAAATAATTTATTTCCATTTCCTTCCTTTCATCTAATTTCAGTGAACCAAGTAATAGTAGTAGTAGTAATAAAAAGAAACAGGAAATCGAAGAAATGATGATGTCAGGCAGCAATAAGCGTACCTACTCCACTTCCAGTAATTCGTCGGTGTTGTCATCCTCTTACTGTATTACGCTGGGTAAGCACCAAATGTTTAATTTTGATGATTTGAATTTTTACTCATTTTTCTTTGTTTTTGCTTCGTCTGTTTAAAATTTTCCAGGTGTGGGTATAATGTGGTGCTCCTGATGTAATTAACAAAGAAAGATCAGATCACGATAAGGCGTCCCATTTAGTTGGTAAGTACAGGATTCCTTAAAGTTGATCAATAATTGGAATATCTAAATTATTAAAACATTTCTCTTTCCAAAACCAGATTACACCCGTAAAACATCCTTCGACTCAACATCCGAGGATTCTAGCGACGCTGATTACTCTGAACGTCATTCTTTGTCATACATCGACGAGGAAGAAGAAGCTGCATCTGGAATACTTAAAGCGAATGACACTGATAGTGAAAGCGACAGTGAGGATGATTTGATTTCACAAATTGTCTCACAAAAATCACCAACTCGCATCACTATCAAGCTTCATGTTACTGACAAAATTTCATCCAAATGGGATTCGGTAAGATTTATTTTCGACTTTTAACTTTTTTAAGATCATTACTGACGCATGTCTGGATCTTCAATTTCTTTTCTGTTTATTAGGTTTTGGATCATGACACCAACATCTTGTATGTTGCATTACCAAAACAACTTACACATGAGGCTAGCAAGCAATCATTCTTATCACTCCTTGAATTCGCTGAAGAAAAATTGGATTGTGATGGTGTTGTCTTGTGCATTCGTAAAGATCGACCAGATCGTGCTAATTTGGTAAAGACATTCTTATTTTTGGGCTTTTCACCGCTCAATCCTAAATCACCAATGGCACCACCCCAGATGCAAGGTCAAAATGATGATCATCTCTTCCTTATTTACAATATTGAGGACTAATGCTTCAGTAGGACATGTCTACAGATAATAATTCAAAAACATTTTACGCATTTTCCTTTAACTTTTTAATTTTGTCCTTTTATAAATCACGAAAATATGAAAAATATTTTAAACTTTCTTATAATCCAGTAAAGTAACAGTAATAGTATCACACATTTATCAAAGGAAGTCCTCGTATCACGTAGAATGAAAAAAAAAAACATGATCAGAGTATTCAGCATATTATGCTAACCATACATTAATATTTAATATGGAATTATGGGTGTAATTCAATTAGATTAGACGCTTTGTCTCTTAAGTAAACATCTAAAACAAAAAAAAATATATAAAAAATACAAAAAAAGTAAAAAATCTTTAAAAAATTAACAAAAAAACAAAAAAGTTTCTAAAAACGCCAAAAAAAAATGTTGGGATTTTTTTCTGCAATTATCATTTTTATTTTTAATCGAAACAAAATTTTTGTAAAAAAAGGAAATTTCTTACTAATCCACAATATTTTTATATTCGCATCAAAACAGTTTGAGAAAAAGTTTTTCTTATCAAATCAACTTATGATATATAAACATTATATTTGGTTAATACCATTATTTCAATTATCTTGCATCCTTATTAATTGTAATCAGTAATGAAATATTCATTTAATTTTGTAGTTTCTTTAGTTTGTATCTTTTTCAAAACAAATATATCGTTATATGGAGAAAATGGAGAAGAAAATAGTTCATAATCAATATTTACATTCACAATTCTATGAAAACTCATGACCTGCATCCTTCTAGACACGAACATTCTCCTGCTCAAGCAATTTAAAGCTTAGCCAATTTATAAAATCTGAAAGAAACAGTCAAAATTAAGCAACTTTTGGACAAAGCATAAGTTTGACAGTTGAACAAAATCATTCTGACTGACTTTAGCTTGTCCAAATCAATAAACAAATGCACAAAACATGCTTTTCACAATGACTAAGACACCTTTCATCAATGTCTGTCTTAATTTTATCAAGATCATTTGTACCGCAAACAAGTAAAAGTTGTAGCTGTCAAGTAGATTGAGAATTTGACAGTAATGTCAATAAAGGGAATAACATTTGTGTATTGAGAAAGTACCATTCTGATAACATTGAGGGTGGTTTTAACACAGTTGCTTGGTCCTTAATTTCATCAGAGCGAACTTCTAAGGTTCAATTTTGAGTGATGGCAAGAAACAGGCAACAGATCTAGAACATTCAGATAACATCAATAGCATGAAACTTTCCATCCACGAGCAAGCGAGTAAGCAGAATGGTCAAAATTTTCTAGGGATAAACGAATCAGGTCAGGTTTTAAAAATAATTTTTTCACAACACACAAAAATAAAGAATTCAATTTCGCAATTGGCATAAATATCATGAATTATTAGATCTTAATGAAACAAATATTAAAGGCAGAAGGTCGCCAGATTATTTCCTTTTACTATCATTATCAACAATTATTGAGAATACAAATTATAAAAATTTTAAAGCATTAATCATGAAAAATTGAGAAGGAGTTAAAGTAAATGATGAAATATCGTTAAATGTTTAGAGAAATTTCCAAAAACCAACAAAATTTAAATAAGAATTCCTTGCTTATTCTCAAAGAAGTAAAACTATTGCGAAATTTAAAAAAAAAAACATTTTATTGCAAAATTGATGGAAAAATTTATGAATCAAATATGAAAAGATTGACGAAAGTTTTCTTCAAAAAAAGGTTTTTAAGTTTCTTATCAATTTTTTTTTTGGAACGGAACCGAAAGCAAACTTTATATTTTATTTTTGGTTTAATAAACTTTTTTCTTCAGAGAGATGAAAAACTGGGATAAAATATGGAACATATATTCTTTTTTAAAGAAAATACTTTAATGATTAATGCCTATCTACACTTTTCAAAATGATTTATATTATATACTTTAGTTACACACACATTTATATCAATTAATCAAATCTTCTTTATATTGTTTTTATTCTTATTATATTTGTAATTTTAGTTAATGTTTACAACTACAATTATTATATATTCTACAATTGAAAATGATGAAAATAAAGAATTAAATGCTAAAAAAACGAACGCACCTTGTTTTATTATTCTACATGCTCATGTCGTCGTCACTCTTAATTTTCAGCTGTTCTGTGTGGGGCCGTTCGCTTATTACGTTACGCAAAAAACGACTTTTTTCAACCCCCCCCCCCCTTGTTACAATATGTTACAACTCACACCCCCCCCCTGAACGTTCATAATTTATTTTATTTTGATAATTTTTCAAATTTAAAAAAATGTTTTTGGTGCTAAGGGGCCATTCATTTATTACGTAACGCTTTTAGGGGGAGGAGGGGTCTAAGATTTTGTTACGGTTCAAACAAGGAATTTTTTTTTTCATACAAATTTTGTTACGAGGGGGGGGGGTCTAAGAAGTCATTTTTTCGCGTTACGTAATAAGTGAACAGCCCCTAATTTGTAAACAATTTTTTTTAAAGACAGACGACAGAACGTTACATACTTCTTGCCCCCCTCCCCCTATGTTACATTTTGTTACAATTTTTCAAACCCCCCCCCTCGCCCCTAAAATGCGAACGTAATAAGTGAACGGCCCCTGTTCGAATTTTGTGTTTTGGAAACAAAAACTTTTTGACAGACACATTACTCATTCATATATGGAAATGAATTTGTGTCGAATGGAAAACTGCTGCATGACTTTGGAGGATTATTAGAGCTTGTTTACTGCTTTCAGGATATTATGACTTCAGCTAGAATTTGTAACTTACCTACTCATTTGATTAGATCGAACGAAACATAGCAGGAACTCAAAAACCAAAATATAAACACTGTTGAAATAGCAAACAGCAGTCTTGTAAATTATGCAACCAATAATTTCCCACAGAGTAACTTGCACCTGACGTGCATGAAAACAGTCAATAATAACAACCCCTAAAATGCTTTCCAATATCTTCATATTATGTTAAATAAAAATAAATATTAACACAGGAAAGAGCATTCTCTGAAAATAGTAAGGCACGCACATTTAATAAATTATCGACCATCACCAATAGAAGCACGAGGGTAAAATTGTTTTGACGGCTGAAGTACAAATACAGGCAGAATGAAAAATTATCACTACATGCTAAGAATATGATTAATGAACCTTTTGTGTTTGTTCTCCAGGTGCTTTTTGGCAGGCAAGGAATAAGAAAAGGTCAGAGTAGAGATAACAAAGGTTAATGCAAATTGCGGTGTAAATGGCATGCAACAAATGATTTTTCTTGAAGCAAAAATTTCCTTTATTAACGTCTGTTCTTAATGTAATCTACAATAATTTGTTCAAATTCCATCTGATGTATAAAATATAAATTATTTTCACATGACAAAAAAATGTAATAAAAATATTCAACTAATTGTTTTAACATCTTCTCATCCTTCACATGTTAATTGAAAAAGGACATCCCATAGATTCAATTAGGGCAAAAAAAAATACTTTAAGTCGTTGCAATTCTCACATTTTCTTTATAGTCATTAATTTTAAAATACGAAATGAAAAGTTATCTAATAATCATTGATGGATGGTCAGTGTCTTTACATAACAAATGCTTACCTTGCTGTCTGTACAGTTGATTTCAATCTTTAGATAAACCCCAGAATTAAGGATCTCTTCAATATCCTCAAATTCTTGACAATCTGTACTGGAAGCAACAAAGTCTCTAAAACAAAGAGTTCTGACCATCTTACAAACTTTATCCTAGTTTCTTCTTTAAAAAGATTCTTATATTATTTTAATTAGTTTACACAACGTTTTTATCTTAATCATCTTGTCATTATTATTTAAGCATCATTGTTTCGCTTATTGTTTGATGCCAATGCCAGTCATAATGAAAACAAGAAAGATTTTAAAAAATTATTAATAAGTCAAGTCAAGTCAATTCAAAACAATCCGATTCCGATGCACGCTAATCTTTACTGTGGAGGTCCATAATAGTTGCCATAGTTTTGTCCTGGAGCTGGAGGTCTTTGATAATTGGGATAATTTGGATTATAAGGTTGTGCTGGCATTGGTGGGGGATATCCTTGTGCTGGATAGTGCTGAGGAGGGGGATAAGTGTTTGGTGGATATGGACCTTGATGTGGGGGATATTGCGGACCGGCTTGAGGAGAATATGGAACTGGAGGGAAGTTTTGAGGCTGTCCACTGACTGGTGGTTGATAATTTTGTTGTGGTTGAGATGTAGGCGGTGCATTTGAAGCAGGAACTGGAACTGTAGGGCCTTGTGATGGATATGGTGAAGCTGCTGATGTTGTCGAGATTGGTGCATTTGGAACTTGAGGATTCTGTGGGTTTGGAGACGTTGCTTGTGGACTTGCTTGATTTGTATTGAATGTAGCTGGTGGATTGTTTGCTTGAGTACTTGCTGGAGATGGAACTGGTCCACTTGACGTTACAGGTGGTGTTTGTTGCTGTGCTGGAACTTGGGGTGGCTGTTGTGCATTTATCGGTGGATTTGGATAAGGATAAGGTTGTTGATAGGGTGGCTGATTAGGTGGAGCATACGGTTGATTTGGTGGCATTTGTGCTTGATATCCAGGCGCTGGACCAGGATAAGGTGAATATCCCATAGGAGGAGGTGGTCCGTTTGCTGGTGGTGGATATTGTCCTTGTTGAGGTGGATATTGCGGATATTGGCCATAAGGTGGTTGACCTGAACAAAAAATCAATCAGTTTTGAACATATCTCATAACTCTTTAAATTTACCTTGATGATAAGCTGTTGGTGATTGATAAGGTTGATTTGGTGGACCGCCGTGGTATGGCATGTATCCTCCTTGATACGGAGGCTGACCTTGAGGTGGATATCCTATTAATGTATGTAAAAGACCTCGTAAAATGTAACAATTATTCAAACTACTTTTAATTTATTTATACCTGGATAATGTGGATAAGGAGCTCTTTGTTGATAAGGTTGTTGCTGCTGAGGAGGTGTATTTTGCGGAACTGGTGGCTGAACATTTTGTTGAGGAGCAACGGGAGGAACAGCTGGATTATTCTGTTGAGCTGTTGGTACGCCACGATTTTGAGCAGGCTGTGGAGAGTTGGTTTGTGCTGGTTGTGCCTGTGTAGACGGTGGCTGTTGAGATCCAGGGGTTTGAACTCTATATGGCTGATTTGTGGGTGGTTGCGTAACTGATGGATTATTTTGTGGAACTGGACCAGAAGGAATTTGAGGATTATTGTTGGGAAGTTGAGGAATTCCTCGGTTTTGAGGATTTTGAGGTGAATTATTCTGTAAGGATGATTGGGATGATGGAATTTGAGGATTCGGACCAGATTGTGGCATTTGCTGTTGTGGAATCATTGGTTGCATAGGCGGTCCATTATAATTAGGCTGTGATTCATTCATTGGTGGCATCGGACCTCCTTGTTGTAATATATGAGGTGGCTAAAAGGAGATGCAGGAAGTAATTAGTCAATGAAGCATACTTTATCTTTAATCTAATATCATACAGGCAAGAGTTGAGACATGTTTTGCGTAGAATCGGCTAATGATGCTAAATACACGAGATTACGATGAAGAGCTTGCTGATGAGACATACATTCTTGCGCTTTTCCCATATTCTGATAATCCTGGATTGTCTGTATCAATGAGCAATTTTCATCAAGAATTTTCTGTATTTGCGCTGAATTTGGTGGTGGTCCAGGTCTAAAGAAATTAATATTATTAATCTAATTGAAGTCGAAAGACTTGTTAATTTAGTATTTTAATACCTTTGTTGTTGTTGCTGTTGCTGTTGTTGCGGATCTCGTTGTTGAGGTCCACGATTTTGCGGCTGATTTTGACTTGGTGAATAAGCTACTGACATTTTTATCACGTTTAATGCACTCGAAACAGTCTAAGTAACTGGTCTATAAGGATTATAAGACGTTCTATATTCAATTAATGAGTAAATTAATTTATTTTCGACAACAACTTTTCACAGAGAAGCTAGAAAATTGACTTTTGGGTAGCACTGTGCGGCTTATGAAGCTAAAAATTGACAAATTTATGTGATTCGGGACATGCCTTAAAACCAAAACATCCAGAAACTTTTATTTTGACACAAAATATGATCGAAAAGATCAAATAACGCGGTATAAAGTTAATTAAACCTTCTAAAAATCATAGTGTACGTTAATTAAATGTAAATAAAGCAGACAATAAAGGAATTAAGCATCGATTGTCCCAAAATACATAACTTTACGACCAAATTTATCCATCACATTTTTTGTTATTTTTTATGAAAAAGAAATTTTGAGTTTTTTTTCGCGTCACAAAAAATCATGAGCGAAGGTAAAGATAATTAATAAAAACTGACTGTACAACACTAATTGAATGTTTTTCAGAGTATGATGTGATCATAGAACGTCAACGCAAGGAGAAAAAGGACTTGAGAGAGAAAATTATTGCATTAAAACGAAGCGAAAAGGGAAGTAAAAAGGATAAGAAAAAGTTACAGGATGAGATTGGTAAGTGAGCCATTTAATAAGCATATCCTCAAATATTTTATATTCATGAATCATTCCCTCTATGTCCATGTTTTAAGCAGCTCAAATGGAGAAAGAATTAATCGATAAACATGCAGAAGAACTATCAAAGCTAAAAATTGAAGAAGATAATCCAGTTGAGGAAACTGATGAAGCATCCAAGTCAGATGATGGCAATGCGAGAAAGTCAAAGGCACAGAGAAGACGTGAGCGTAAAGAACAGGATAATAAACGCCGTGAAAGTGACATACAGCAAGGAGAAGAAGCCAATAAGACATCCGCGAGACAGCTCGAGTCCAAAGCTATCAATAGAATATTGAAATCACGAAATCTCGTTTTGTATCATATCAAATCCGACGGAGATTGCCTATACAATGCAATAAGGCATCAGCTGGAATTTTACGGTATTTATCATAGTGTTGAATCATTGAGGAAAATATCTGCCGACTATATTCGTGCAAACAAAGATGAATTGATCTTCTATATGCCAAGCTCTCGCGGTGACGATATTATGTCACAAGAGGAATTTGACGAGTATTGTGATCAAGTCGAAAATACAAAAGCGTGGGGCTCACAAATCGAAATACAGGCTCTGTCAAACAGTCTAAAGCTCAAGATCGAAATCTTGCAGTCCGAAGGTAAGCATTCCATTTTGTTTATGACATCTAGTGACTTCATTTTGTGTGACAATTGTCAGTTTTCTTTTTGCTCTGGATCTTTAATTTTGATTGATGAGTAATCATTTTGAAAGTCACATAGGCGGTTGACATTTTTGTGGCTATTAAACTTATCTGACCGCAAAAAGAGATTGTTCAGAGTACAGACTACAGTTTTCATGCAATACTGATAGTTCCAAACCACGTTTTTAAGCATTTATAACTCAAGTGCTAATTATATCAACAAATTTCAAAAGCCTTTTAATTACACAGCTGTTTTCAAGGAACACAGACAAGAAATACTTGAGTTTTATGTCTTTCAAGTTATGCTGTGGAAAAAGTTGTTTGCTTTTATAATTTTGTTCTATGGATTCATTGAAAAGGATCTAGACTAATCACTGCATTCATTTTACAGGAAGACCGACAATATCAGGCGAGAATTCTAAAATCCATCTCATCGTTACTTATCACCGTCATTTCTATGGCTTGGGTGAGCATTACAATTCAACTAGTTCAAAAGCAACCAATAATGATCACAATCACCAAAATGATCACCACAATTAAAGCATGAGAATGAAACAGATACAAAAACAAATAATAAAATACATAATACAAAAATTTCCAATAATAAAAATGTTAAAAAATTTTCATTTTAATTCTTTATGACAGACTTTTTATTGAAACGTTTCAGCACCGTCAATGCGAGAGCATAAACTTTTTGCCATAAAAATGGATTTTTAATATTTGAATTTTTTGTTATCCGCACCTTAATGCGGCTTATAAGTGAATTGAAATTGTTGTTTTGAAATTATTTAATTTATTCGATTGGAGATGTTTGCAGCATATAGAAAGGACGCTGATGATGCAAAGGATGCAGAAACGTCTGAATTCATCCCACATACTTCATTTCAAGACAATTCAAAAGCATTAGTTAAAGTAATTTCATCAGATAGCAGTGAAAGTGCAAATGACAGCGATGATAATCAGCCAAAAGCCATTCAGTACTACAAAACTAAGCCACAAAGCACAAAAGTTGAACTATATTACCTTGATAAGGATCAAAGAATTGAATATTTAAAATTGGAATCTTTACCAAAACGAGTACTTCCGTTGTACAGGATCATGCGGCGATTTGCATACTATGGGAAGCAAAGGAAGTTCAGGAGATATTTTAAAAGAAAGGAGAAGACTTCTAAGAAGTCACTGGATGAGCCAGAGAATGATGAAGGGCAGCAGATGAAGATTTACTTGAATCAAAACCAAAATGATATCGAGAAGTGGATAGAATATATTAATTACAAGGTAAGAACTTTCTTTTGTATTCTAATCCTTCACATGATCAGGGGCCGTTCACTTATTACGTTACCCAAAAAACCGAATTTTTTCACCCCCCCCTCCTCCCCTTGTTATAACATGTTACAACTCGCAACACCCCCCCCCCCCCCCCTGAACGTTTATAATTCAAATTTCTTTCGTGAACTTTTTTTTAAAAGACAGACGACAGTTAGAACGTTACGTACTTCTTGACACCCCCCCCCCCCCTATGTTACACTTTGTTACAATTTTTCAAACACCCCCCCCCCCCTCCCCAGCTGATACTTAATCTTAGGATTTATTTAAATCCGATGTTTAATCCATAGCATGTCAATTAACAAATCTTTTGTATTCTGTACTTCCAGCACATAATCTCAACAACTCAGAATGACAAGTCTGAAAAGTCCAAACTAGAAACCATTGAGAAAGCTTTACATTTTAATACATGCAGTCAGAAATTAACAGAACTTTATCTCCGGACGATTCCAAACGTGCATACTAGTGATGTAGTCATTGACTTAATCCAGGATCTAATTGCAAAGGAACCATATAATGTCATTTACTGGAAGCACTTACTTAACACTTTTACAAGCTCAATGGGATGTGATGTTGAAAATGGATTGAAGGAATATGGAAAGGCACTTAGAATTATTCAAAAAAGTCACGATTCTGATTTGTTAATGCTTCAAATCTTCAAAATGTGCTGCTTATTCTTAAGACAAGCTGGATTGAATGAACAATTTTTCGCAGTAATTCATCTAATGACGAGTATGAACATTAATGAGTCAAGTGACTTTGATAGAGTTTTCTACACAAATGAGATTCAAAATCCACACCTTTTAGAATATGAGGATCTAGTATTGTCATCTGAATTGCCAATGAATGAGTTATGGTACCGAATTGAAACAATCCGAGCTATTTGTAACTTTTTACCTGTTAAAGTAACATCTAATATTAATCAGGAACAAATGCAAGATCCACAAAGATATGTTTTCAATGAAGACATCTGCAATTTGGTAGTTCCACTGAAAAATTCTAAAGCTTACAACTTCGATCTGTTCATTATTGTCCTGAAAATGTTTAAATTCCCATTACCTTACTATGAAATTAAGAATGAGCTGTTCAGGACTGACGAAAATGAAATGGAAGATGGAATGAACTTCCTGTCAGTTCTATTAAGACACACATTTTCATCTGAGAACTTTAATAGAATATTCTTTAGCATTATTAAGGATCTCAATATATCTCCAAATTATCTAAGCTTTAATGTCGAGTATGAACCATTCTTAAACTGCATCCTTAAAATCCTTGAAAACTGTTCAAGTTCTTTCAATGACAAACAGAACAAGTTAGTATTAATCCTATGGCTTAGACTACAACGATTAATAGTCATTATAGATCAATTAAAGTTGAAAGTTGAGAGAAAGGAACAAGATCCAGTAGAGTACACAAAATACAAGAAACAGATTAAGTCAAAAGTTAAGAACATCCTGAAGACATCAATATATCAAAATGACCTAAATATCTATACAGAATATGCCCTTATTGAAGCTACTTTAGGTGATAACGACTCATGTGATAAAATTCTCAAAATGGCAATGAGTGCAGCTATTGACAGTCATCAGCACGATCGTCAAAGTGAATTAAGTTTCTATCAAATTTCACTGCATTATTGCGAAAGGAAGCTGCTTCAAAATAACAAGGATGAATGCTTAGCACAGTTAAAAGTACTAACCGGACATTGTGACAATCCAATAAGCTATTTCGAGTCCAAAATCCAGGAAATTCGCGATGATGACAACTCTAATGAGATTGAGGACTACTTTCTACCAATAACCAATAAATTCAACTTAATCAAGGCTAAGGCTTATTACCAGCTATTGACACAGAGCAAAAAATCCACATTAATTGCTGTTCTCGGTCACATTGATGCTGTAAAGGAGAAAAGCTTACTAAAAGAGAAGCTGTATGAACTTTATGTCGAGATTTTCCATATAAAGGTCAATGAGGAACTGCCAAATATGAGAAGCTATATGGAAGTATTGTCAAGAGCACTATTGGACTATCCAAAAAATATTTTCATCATGCATACAATTGCTAGTCAATATTCACTTCGATGGTTCGACATCCGAAAGCTATTGCTTAAAAGTCCAACAAATGAGTCAATTTTCTATCTGCTGATTGCTTCCAAATATCGAGAAGAACAGTTTGTTGGGGACGATGCCAAAATTTATCAGCATAGGATTTACAATGCAATTGATGGATTAATGAGTAGAAAGGTACAAGGAATCTCATCAGTGCTGACATGGAGGCTGTATCTTCGAGCAGCATTTAACTATGACTTTACAAAATGCAAGACAATTCTTTATCAGTTACTCGACAGTTATCCAATGAATAAGCAGCTGTATTTGGATGGTGCTCGATATCTACCAGAAGAACATTCTCAACTACATGACTTGATTATTGAAAAGGGATTAAGAACTCATGCTATAGCTGAAGAACTTGAGATATTAAGAACTAGTTCTCATCATGCTGGTTAATTTAATTTATTTGATGCTCTCCTGAGCCGTGAATGGAACTTTAAAGGAAATAAAATATCACTTAAATCTAAACATAATAAAAATGACTAGCAATCAAGCTCCACAGGACATTATTTTTAATTTTCAGATGAAGCCAACGACATTCTCCTAATCTCAATTTTGGAGAGGATCTTTAAATGCTTCTCAACTGGCAGTTCTATGTCTCCATCAATCTCATCGTACTTATGCAAAGCATGTAATCTCATCACAGCGCTTACAAACGGCTGATTATCCAAGATTAAATGACGATCTCCACAACAAAGAACTGCTAGAATGACTGGTTTATCATTTTTCATTACCGTCTGAAATTCACAATCCTTAATCCAGAAATGTCCATTATAAATGAAGGTTTTATCGTTGACAACAATTGTGTAAATTATGCATAGCTCAAATATGAAGAGATTTGTACAGTAATGGCATTTGGATGATTCTGAATACAACATTTCACTCCAAACACGCACAAACTTTCCTAATTTGAGAACATCAATCTGTCAAATAAGCTTAATTAGTGATTTTGTGAACAAGAAATTATGGTTTGACTTACAGGATTTCTATATCCATAATTACAGTCATGTCGTGGAACTAAAATGAGCATTGGATGGCAAATGATCTTTTTTCTTGTTAATATTCGATACAATTTGTCAATAGCTTCAATATTGTTCTTTGAAATTTCTTTTATGCATGCAACCTTCTTGCCATCATCAATCGCATCCATTAATTGGTCTAATTTAGTCTCAATATCCATACACAAAGCCATATCATCGGCATTTCTTAATGGATCTTTTGACAATTCATCACAAACATCATCTATCCAGTCTTTATATAGTCCAATAATGTCATGAATTTCTAGTTTGTTATAGTATGTTCCGTTATTGCTGTACAAGGAATCTAAAACTATTTTGTAATTGTCCAGCCATTGAAGTGTTGAATTGTACAAAATTGAGTGTGACACATACAAATACAGCTCATTATTCTCAATCAATTGCAGCATGTAACGCAAAACACCCGAAAATGACTTGTTCGCTTTAAATTTTGGCAAAATTTTTAATTTATGTAAATCAATTATGTCTTCTAAGAATCCTGACAAGCCTATATGATGATCTCTAACCATTTTTGATATATATCCAGACGTTTGTTGAATAATCATTGTAAATATGCTGGATGTTTTCTGAAGTTTCTCTAAGTACTGTATCTCACATGCAATTAAATCATTCAAAAACATTTGTTCCTTAATATGATCATGTTTCTTCGTCGGTTCAGTAGTTTTTGATTGCTTTTTGCTATTCACCATCCAGTGATCAGCATAAGCATTTAATCCTTTTACATGCAGTCCATTTTCGTAGATTTCTTTTGTCTTCTTAACCTTTTCATTTTTTTTCAACAATTCAATAGTTGGTGATGTCGCTGGCTTGAACTGCAACTGGATATTATTATGAAAATTCAGCTGCTCAATGCGATCTTCAACTTTTACTTTAGGTTTCCATGAGAAATTCATAATTTTTAATTAAAATTTTATTAGCACAGGAACAATCAGGAACAATTTAAAACACACTATCACTTGTAAATGACGCACTTTCATCTAATACGATCTGCAATGTCTGAGAATTACGAATTTTCACATGCTCATTCTCTCCACGTGTGTTTTCGTTAATTTCTCATCAAGTATCGTTTGTTTACATGCTATCGCGCAGGATCTAACCGAACGAAATAGTTCAATCGGTAACTGTTGTCTTATATAAACACATGCTGGTGTATCACGAGCTTTCAGTCATCTGTTTCATATTGCACTCAACGGGTTAAAAAATCCAAAAAGCAGTAAAAAGTTGTTTTTGTCATAAAATGCGGTGTTATAAATTAATTCAGCATAGAAATATTATTCATAGGAAATAATAGTGCTTTCATACTAACGACCCACATTGTCGTTTTAAATAATACAAAAGTGTTGAAATTGGTTTTTAAAAAAAGATTAATTTAAAAATAAAAAACCAAACTTTACACATGTGACATGTGGAGTGAATGTTAATTAATTACCTAAAATTTCCTATAACCATCCCAAAAAGTTTATTTTTGTTTTGAATGAGAGAAATTTTGTGATTGTGACTTGCAAACATGACGTATAAGAAAACTTTAATCATTGGATTTGCATTCTCTGGGCTAATTTTATTAATTGCACTTGCCACTTACTATATCTCGCTCGGTAAGTCTCTTGTGGCTTTAACGGGTTGTTTTTGGATGTTGCGGAGCGCAAAAATGTTGTGTTAATAAAGGAGACCCTTCCTTGTAACGTATTAGCCATCATTTAGCAGATTAGGGTCTAAAACTTTTGGACAAGAGATGTTGAAAGAATATCAAGACTCACATCTGACTGTCTTCTTTTTAAGCTCATGCTGAGCACTCTGTAACACCCAAAAAACCCCAAGGAAAGAGTCAAATTAAATACTAATACTTAAAATAAATATCCAAACCAAAAACCATCATCCATTAATCAACTCCTTTTCCATGCTTGATGGATCAAGTGAACTTGAAAAGCTTTTAATTGAAAAAAAAAATTTCTTTGACCTTTCCACACCGCACTTGAAAAATAACACATAGGTGAATGCACAAGTGGATATCTCGCATGCGACAACGGCAAATGTATTCCTCAGAAGCTTATATGCAATTTCAATCGGGACTGTCTCGTATGTATCCTTCATTCAATTGCTCATCATTTTTCATCAAAGGGATGGAACTTTTTGAGGTATTAGGAGTCACTTTAATGGATTTTAGGCAACTAGGGAGCTTAATTATTAACGTTGGGGTCTATTTTGAGATCAGTGGGCATTAAAGTTAACTATTCTGAGTTTGTAGACATTAAACTAAGTGATAAGTGACCCGTAATATTTCCATATACTTACCCAGAAAAAACAATTTCCTATCCATGAATAAAATTTTAACAGATCTAACCCTCGACATTGAATATGATTATGCATAAATAGAAAAAGCCAAGGAATCTTACAGTAATTTCCTGCAAACTGCTGCTTGATTTTGATTACTTTAAAAGCAAACTTGCATCAAATTTAATGGAAATCCAGCATAGATTTCCGAACTGAATCATTTTTTTTTCCATATCCATTTGAAATGACTCTAATGGTTAATCGAAGATGCATTTATCAAAAAGTTCCATCACATGCAATTTACCATAAAATCTTTAAGTTGAAAATTGAACTCAATTTTCAATTTAGGATGGACAAGATGAAAATCCAACAATGTGCGGAAACTTTTATGGATCAAATATAGTGGAAACAACCAATAAAAGACTAGGAAGGAAGCTTTTACTTGAACGGTTTATGCTATACAACTTGACAACTATAAAGGAATATGATAATAAATGCGGTAAGTTTTCTTAGGTGTAAACTGCCTATTAGGGTTAGCTCATTCTTTGTTATTTCCAACTCCTAATCTTTAACGTCATTTGTGAACGACCCCCAACCGAAAACATAAGAGTAATATAATTAAAAATCATCAAATACTTTTAGTTCTTGAACAAGATGAAATTCCACAAGGATGTGAATGTGTCGCTATCTTCCAAATTAATTGTAAGGATGGCAATAGAACAAGCATTCCACAAACATTTCCCACGAATGTGAGTTTAAGTTTATCTCTCCTTTAGTTCAACGACCATCCATTATTTGCATTCAAATATTCCGTATAGGTCGTGAGGATTCTCTTGAATAACAATCGAATTAACCTTGATTCAAACGACACATTTGGGGCATATGGAAATCTCACATACTTGTAAGCATGACGTCACATAATTTATATTGTCCCTTAAAATGTATACTTACATAATAATCTAACTGCTTTAAGGGATTTGAGTAACAACACTATAACGCACATTCCATCACGAATCATCCACAATAATATGGAATTACGAAAACTGTGAGTTGATAGAGCTTTAATGTTGATCCGAATGTTGTTGATGCTTTTATTATTTTTATAGATATCTGCGAAACAACAGGATTGAAAAGCTTCCGGATGATTTATTCAAGTCTTCAACTTTATTGCGCTGGCTACTTTTGGATTATAACAAGATTCAAGATTTTGATTTGAAAATACTTTCAAACTTAAAGAATCTCCATTTGTTAAGATTAGACTACAATAACTTGAAATTACGTAAAATGATATTTCCTGAACTACCGGCTCTTAATGAACTGTAAGTGCTTTAAATAAAGTTTTTAATTGAAGGATATCTAACGATTTGACTTTTATAAAGGTTTCTTGACGGCAACTACATAATGGATATCACAAAGGATCACATTGTCAATTTGTACAATCTAACCTTAATGTAAGTTATGAATTATACAATTTTAAACCTAATGCTTACGTCGTGGCACATCAATTAAATCATTATGCATCCTTGTGTGACGCGATGCAAAGTATTAGAATCAAAGATTTTCTCAGAACGAAATTAGTTCAAATGTGTCAAATATTAATTACCAGTTGCTGTATATTATTGTCATTCACATGATTCTTGCTCTTAATTTTACTGCTTAATAGATCACTTCGATATAATCTCATACAGTCAATCGATGCATCCACATTTACTCATCTCAGTGAATTGCTAGACTTGTAAGTATATAATTGTTTAATACATGACTTACTTTACAGTTAACTGCGTCCTATTTTACAGACGTTTATCTGGAAATCCCATTACAAATCTCGACAGCGGAGCTTTTGTGAATCTCAAAAAATTGAATGCATTGTGAGTAACAATTCTTATTGACATTATGCTTAATTGTGCTGAAAATTCTATTCCATCTAGGTACTTGGATGATATATTTGCCGACATAGATTACGACATACTCTCAACTTTAAATGTTTCATTGCTGTAAGTAAATTTTATTTGCCATTCCTTCATACATTTGATTTTTAAGAATAAATGAGATTCTATTCCGTATGTAAGATATAAATTTGTTTATGCAGTTACGCTCAAATCCCAAAAGCTTTTGTTTTGAGAACCTCAATATTAATTAAAGAGGCCATTCACTTATTACGTAACGCTTTTAGGGGGAGGGGGGGGTCTAAGATTTTGTTACGTTTCAAACAAGGAAATTTTTTTTCATACAAATTTTGTTACGAGGGGGGGGGGGGGGTCCAAGAAGTCATTTTTTCGCGTTACGTAATAAGTGAACAGCCCCAAAAGAGATAACAACAAATTAGAATTTTGTGAATCATTTTGTACAAGTTGCAACTTGTTATTTGCTTAATGACTTGAAAATTGTCTAATGGACTTGAAAGATGAGGAAAGATGTAAACTCATCTGACTGAATCTAAAGATTGACTTTTTGTCTAGAGTTCAAAAATTCTCTAAGACCGACTGCAACTTTGAATTGCTCTGAATAACCAAAATGTTTAAAGGTAACTCAGTAATATCTTGTCTTAAAGACATCCTTAACATGCCTCTTAATATCTTGTAATCAGCTATTATCCTAAAGTTGAAGAAAATAAAATTAACTTTTGTCATTTACAACTTTGTGTATTAGTCACAGAGGCATCATCCGTAATAATCCTTTTGCGCTCAACAATTATTCCAATTGTTGGTGACTTCTTTAATCTTACCCAAAAAAGTCTTTAAGTTCACTAACATTTTCATTTTCATAACAGCAAAGTACATGAAGTCAAATTAAATCCTTTCACTCGGATGCCACATTTAATTTCTATGACCCAGAAACGGATGATTACAGTTTGCAGGAAAATTTTCAATGTATGATTAATGGGATCTAATTTTTCACGCATCGCACTTTTTTGATTAAGATAAGCTAATAGAATGAAGGTTGAAAAGCAGCTTCTGAGAATATGTGTATGCATAATTTTGCATTTGTGCCATCAAAAAGTAAAGGAATTATTGAAAAATCCACAAAAGCTAGGTCATAAAAGGTTTAAAAAATCAAATAATATTTTTATGGACATAGCTGTAAGGATTGTATAAATACATATAGTGAAATTCATCACAATCATCCCAAGTGCTTCTAAAAGTAATCAAACATTCAAGTGCATGGACTTGTAAACTTAAAGCATACTATATAAATCACAAAAGCATCATATATGTCATAAAATTGCTCCTAATATCCAATAAACTTCTCACTTGCTTCTTTCTTTATTAAACTGTGACCTAAAAGGGATTTCAATCAATGAAAATCTAAAGATTTCAGCAAAACGATTAATTCCGGCAAGATTAGAGCTTTATTAATCGCTCACTGACTTAGTAATGAATTTTTGATAGCTGCACATCATGTCTTCCTTTCTTCTTCTTCCTCTGAATCTTTTATTTTCATGACTTTGAACGAGTAAGAAAATAAAAACTTTTTTGGATGATAATTCGTCATAATTATTCATTGTCTAGTCGCAATAGCAAAAACGTAGAAAATTAGAATCATAAAGGAACTGTCATGAATGAACTTGATTTTTGGAGAGGTATGCGGTGTTTAGTTTCATAAGTTTGAGTTCTACTAGGTCGGGAGACATTCGATAATATTCTGTTTCATGTTGATTGCTGTTTATCACTTTCTGAATTAAATAGACTATTGGGATCAGTTGCTTATGATGTCTCCTTAGTGACAAAAGAGAAGAGAGCAAGGAAATGGAGCGAGTTACTATCCTTTGGATGTCATTAATAAACAAAATCTCTGTAGATATTTAGAAAATATGATGAAATTTGATCGATTGAATAGTAATCTCTAGAATTAACAACCCTCACTCTTTTGTCCATTACCAATGATCCCTACAAACACTAATGCCACAAAAATCCACATTGATTTCCACACCCATTAAAGCATTCAAGTTCCTGACAGTTCCGCATTAAATTATTGATTCTTCGTATACGAAAAGACTTATAAACATCAAAAGAACTAAATTATTGTCGTGAAATTTGATGACTGTTGACATAAATCACATCTTTTCAGTTTCCATTAATCAAAAATTTAAAACTGCATCACTGCCTTTAATGAATGTATTCTTTTCCTTCCAATTTCTTTCTTTTCTCGTTTCAGGAGCTTACGAGGAATTCCTTATGATAGAATTAATTTTAATGCCATTGAGAAAATACAAAAGTTGGAGCATATTGTATATAAGAAATTTGTGTACTGCTCGAATACAGCTTTTGTAAAGAAATGCTATCCCAAAACAGACGGTAAGTTTCCGAGACGCAAAAGTCATGTTATATTTTTGTAGTCTGAGATGTAAAATCTTTTGGGTAGCAAATATTCAAATGAGATGTTGTTCCACTGCTGCATTTTATAGAGATTTCATGTTGTGGCAGTGAAATTATCTCAGGAAATTTATTGCTTTAAATTTACCAACAGAACTATTTTAAAATGTACCACAGATTGAGGACAGACCTAAGCAGCCTAACTTAATTTGTGGACTGCTCGGACATTAAATAATTTAAAATTCAGAAGAAGCAGTTTGAAATGTCTCAGAATACTTGCTACACATTGTTCCTTAAAAAATACTCACGAACTTAATGTTCGTACTAAATTAACATGTCTTATGCTCCTTTATCTTCTCCTTCATTTCACTTCCATCAACTTAGGAATTTCGTCAACATCCGATTTGTTGGAGAAACGAAGTTTACGTTATTCTGTGTGGATTATGGCAATCTTGACCTGCGTTGGAAATGCATCTGTATTATGGGGTAGATTGCATGATGAGAATCGCTCAGTGAGTCTCGTAATACGAAATTTGGCAATTTCTGACATGATAATGGGAATTTATCTCATCATTATTGGATATATGGATAGTCGTTATCGAAATGTGTATCATGAAAATTCAGGCAATTGGGTCAAATCATGGGAATGTGCATTGTCTGGAATGCTTGCGATGACCAGCTGTGAAGTTTCCATCCTAATTTTAACATTCATGTCAATTGAGCGATTCCTTCTCATATCAGATCCATTTGGACACCACAAACTTGATACGAAAAATGTTATTTTCTGTCTATACTTAATATGGCTAGTTGGTATATCCATTGCCATTTTACCGGTTATACTATTTCATTCATCGACAAAATTTTACGGTGTTTACAACAGCGGAACATGCTTTCCCTTTTTCATCGAAGAGGTTTATTCGACTGGATGGATTTATTCAGCATGTATTTTCTTAGGGATTAATTTCATCCTGCTCGTTTTAATTGCTGTACTTTACACATCCCTTCTCTTCTCAATTTTCCGTACACGACGTGCCACAAGCTTAAATTTCTTCGATTGTGAATTCGCTATAAGGTAAATATTGATACAGTTATCCCTTCCGTCATGAGCTGTACTGTCTATAATTATTATCATCATCATCAGGTTCTTTTTTATCGTCCTAACGGATGTAAGCTGTTGGGCACCGATTATAGTTTTGAAACTTTTGGCTTTATACAATGTCGAAATATCAGGAGATGTCTATTCATGGCTGGTCGTCTTCGTCTTACCATTAAACTCAACTATCAATCCACTTCTATTTACATATACAACGCCAAAGTACCGTGATCAAATATTTTCAGCATTTATGAAACCAAAAGACTTGAAGAAGCAGGAAAGTAGCTCAAATCAAATAACTGCCGATGAATCTCAGACAAAAGTGAGCTTACTCTACAACTCAAATGGTTCAATCTCAAAATGGAAATTTTTTACAAAATGAGAATTAAATAGCAGTAAAATTTACAAATTGTAGCTTTCTTTGAAAGGGATTTATACTGAAAAACGAATTTACATTTTTTGTGTATTCATGTCATATTCATATTTATATATCAGGCAAGTAAGGAAGTCAATATACGTAAATTATTGCTGTTGATGCATTTTTCGATGTGATAATCTAGTGAGATATAAGATGTAGGAGTCTGATGAGGTTTTGATCTAACCTAAAATTATGATTGACACTTGATTGAGATTTTAAGGATGAAATCCGGGCAAGCATTATGTTATCCATTAAAAATTGGACTAGAGAACATCAAAATTTTAATAATTGAAGTAATTTTCATGTGATTCTTTCAATTTGAACATCCTAGAACAAACTTAATGAAAACAGTCGGTCACATACGCACAAAATGATCCAGAGGTGTAGTCAAGATTCAAAAAAGGTCCAGCCTTTATCGTTATATAACTGTATCATGGGAATACCTCACACAAACAGCCAAAAGAAACTTTTTCTGTTGACCATGAATGTTCACCTTACTCATTCTTATTATCATCATCCGGAAAATGCATCAGAATATTCAAAAAGCTCATTGCCATGCCATACATATACGTGTATATTAAAATGTAGTATGTAAATTATGATAATAAAAATGTCCAAAATGTTAATAATTTTCATTTTAATTCTTTATCGTTTTTTTTATTGAAACTTTTTCAGCATCGTCAATGCAAGAGCATAAATTTTTGGCCATGAAAATTAAAATTGAATATTTGACAATGTTATGAAATTGTCATTGCCGCAAAATTTTATGTGACAATTTATTGCTCTCGAATTGACTTCTTTTGAGTGTGTCTGGGTTTCTAAATATATTCAGTCAGTTCCAGTGCATTCTAGACAAGAAATGATAAAGGTACAATGATTTTAATGTTACTAAAATGGCTCATTACATTTGGGTCATCGCATAAAAGATGTGATGGAAATGTAATTCATTTGCTTTTATCTTCTCAACTTACCACTGGATTCTATTCAATTCCTCAAATCGCAATAGACTTTACCATGTTTTAAGTGCAGCAAACAGATTAAATTTCATCAAAACTAGTGTATCGGGTAGAAACCCAATGCGGATTATATTCACACCGTACTATCATAAGTCTTATGGATAGACCAAGATTTGCCCATCATAAGTATGAAGGTATGAAGCTTGATAAGTCAACTAAGCTTCGCTCAGCATAAGTTTGAAGTTATAAAGCTATTGCGTAAGCTGAGTTATGCTCAGCATAAGTTTGAAGATATAAAGCTAGAGTGTCAGCTGAGCTACGCTCAGCAAAAGTTTGAAGATATGAAGCTAGAGAGGCAGCTGAGCTTCGCTCAACATAAGTTTGAAGTTATAAAGCTATCGCGTAAACTGAGCTATGCTCAGCATAAGTTTGAAGATATAAAGCTAGAGTGTCAGCTGAGCTACGCTCAGCATAAGTTTGAAGGTATTGCTTGACGAATATGCCAAATATTCTTTAAAAGTTTTTTAAAAAAAATTTCATCCAAAGTTGAATTTTATAAAAATCACAGTCAACTTTTGTTTTAAAAAATTCGTAAGAAAGGAAAGTTTTTTACCATTTGTGAAGCAACGGCTGTTCCTACCTTGCCCAAAAACAATACAGCTCTTCTATAGAGCAGCACGGATCAAATTTAAAAAACTAGAAGTCTCTACGATGTCTCGTTATTGAGATTTCATGCTGATTAATTTGCTTGTTTGCTTGTTTGCTTGTTTACAGAAAGCGTATTTTGCGATTTTCTCAGCAATGCCACAACCAATTTGAAATCTGTTTTTTGCAAAAGATGTGAAATTCAAGGCACAAACTTTTCATTTCTGAACATTTTAAGCAATCTTGCTCCATATCCTCACAAAATTCTAAAAACTGATTTTTCAATCTGAACAAAATCAATAGATTCACTCGTGAAAACGGTGTGAATATAAAAATATTTTTTGTGTCCATAGAAAGTTGACTTATTATTGATAAAGACGACCTATAGCAACAGAATTTCCTTTATGATGTCTTTAGGAATGAATTTCAAAATCCTCGTCTGCGTCAGTCTTAACAAAATTCTGCATAAAAAGCTAGCCTTGCCAATGAACTTTCATGACAGTTTTAATCAGAGTTGCGACGACAGGTACCTGTCACAGGTAAAGGTGACAGTTTCTGTCAAAAGATCACCTGTCACAGGTCGTTACCTGTTCACAGGTCAAATTTTTTCGCCTATCACAGGTCTGACCTGTCAAAGGTTCTACCTGTCACAGGTCGTTACCTGTTCACAGGTCAATTTTTTTCGCCTGTCACAGGTCTGACCTGTCAAAGGTTCTACCTGTCACAGGCCGTTACCTGTTCACAGGTCAATTTTTTTCGCCTGTCACAGGTCTGACCTGTCAAAGGTTCTGCCTGTCACAGGACGTTACCTGTTCACAGGTCAATTTTTTCCACCTGTCACAGCTCTGACCTGTCGCAGGCCTCACCTGTGACAGGTCGTCACCTGTTGACAGGTAGAAAAAATCTACCTGTCACAGCTCTGACCTGTCATCTGTCACCTGTCACCTTTGACTATCGAAATTTTTTTCTTCTAGTGAAGTATAAAGATTTCATACAAAATTCATCAATTTTTTTGCTTCCTCAAGTCACGAGTTCAAATCTCACCGCAAGCAACTTTCTTTTTTTGCATTTTTATGATTTGTTTTTAAACTTTTTTGATAAAATATTAATTTTTATGACAAAGTTTTCCATTTTCATATTTTATTTCTTCACTTTCTATATTTTAACATGTATTTTAAATTTTTTCCATATATTTTCATACAAATTTAAATTTTTTTGTCATATTTTATCAATATTTTATACATATTTTATTTTAACAAGCTGAAATCTGATACAAAGGCTCTTTCCCTAGATCTGGATGTTCTAAAATCGTAATCTTGGATCATAAAATGGCATAAAATATTAAAACTAGTATAGACTTTGTCATTCGAGACAGCAAAAAGTCGAAATATATAATAAATTATAATCCAAAATTACAATTTAAGAACATCCAGATCTAGGAAAAGTGCCTTTGTGTCAGATTTCAGCTTGGTAAACTAAAATATGACAAAAAAATTTAAATTTGTATGAAAATATATGGAAAAAATTTAAAATACATGTTAAAATATAGAAAGTGAAGAAATAAAAAATGAAAATGGAAAACTTTGTCATAAAAATTAATATTTTATCAAAAAAGTTTAAAAACAAATCATAAAAATGCAAAAAAAGAAAGTTGCTTGCGGTGAGATTTGAACTCGTGACTTGAGGAAGCAAAAAAATTGATGAATTTTGTATGAAATCTTTATACTTCACTAGAAGAAAAAAATTTCGATAGTCAAAGGTGACAGGTGACAGATGACAGGTCAGAGCTGTGACAGGTAGATTTTTTCTACCTGTCAACAGGTGACGACCTGTCACAGGTGAGGCCTGCGACAGGTCAGAGCTGTGACAGGTGGAAAAAATTGACCTGTGAACAGGTAACGTCCTGTGACAGGCAGAACCTTTGACAGGTCAGACCTGTGACAGGCGAAAAAATTTGACCTGTGAACAGGTAACGGCCTGTGACAGGTAGAACCTTTGACAGGTCAGACCTGTGATAGGCAAAAAAATTTGACCTGTGAACAGGTAACGGCCTGTGACAGGTAGAACCTTTGACAGGTCAGACCTGTGATAGGCGAAAAAATTTGACCTGTGAACAGGTAACGGCCTGTGACAGGTGGGCTGTTTTTGTTGACCTGTGACAGATCGCAACTCTGGTTTTAATACCTATGCATAGATACTGTTTGGTCATTCATGACTTTGTTTATCACACATAAATGTCCGTAATGATATAAGTTGTTAAAAAAATTCTATTGATGCATAAAAATTCAAATTTTCATTTTCTTTATGGACCTATGAACTTGACAACATATTTTTGTCTTTTTATGCGAAATTTAATCTCTTTAAATAGCATTTAGAAAATGCTCTGGATATTAGGGGCTGTTCACTTATTACGTAACGCGAAAAAATGACTTCTTAGACCCCCCCCCCCTCGTAACAAAATTTGTATAAAAAAAAAATTTCCTTGTTTGAATCGTAACAAAATCTTAGATCTTAGTGAATGGCCCCTTACCAAATAGAGACTGTTTATCTAGGACGAAAATTCGACAGTAAAAGCACCGAGTTGATCTCGTTTTAAGCTCAGAGATGAAGGGACGGTAGCATAGAATACGAGAGTCATGCCAGCTAATGGTGCTTAAGCTTTGATTCAGACTCTCAGTTTCTCTGCATTGCCGTTTCAATCCATTTATATGTTCTATTCCTTTACATCCCGAATATTATACATGAGAGCTGTATCTGCTGTATCCAATACAGAATATTGTCTTTATTCACTCTTTTCAAGACTTCAGAACCTACAGGATCACTTCAATTGAATAGAAACTAACATTTAACAGCTCGTCATATCTATTGAGAAGTACAGGAACTGTAGCAATCCTTAATTAATTAAATTGGCGCTGAAATTTATACGATTTTTTTTAACAGTTAAAATATTTTCAAATTTAGACGAAAAACTCGGTTGAAATATTTTTAAAAACAAAAGAACTCAATAACTTCAATAAATTAGAGCATAACTCGATAAGTACATAGTTTTTAAGCAGCCAGTATTAAGTAAATGATTAATTAAGTTGTGGTTTATCGCGTGATAATCGAGAATAGTGAGAAATATCTGCCGGTATCGAAATTTTTAAGCTTTAGTATTAGACGGTTTACGTTAATCCTCTTTAATCTCTTGGTGTTCAAAATTTCAATAAATTCTCAAAATGAACGAATCAGCATCAAGAAAGAGGAATCGCAGTGATAATTTTGATGTGGATGATGTTGAGTTGTTATTAGGTTTGGTCAATGAACATACAGATATGCTAGATTCGCCAAAAATTGAAACCAAGAAAGAAGGTAAACGACTTATCTAGCAATTAATTTGATTACAGGTTCTTTATCAGTTATTTTATATCTTTTATAGGATGGGATATCATACATACCAAGTTTAATGCAAATTGTACGGGAATCAAACGTGACTTGAATGCATTAAAATCAAAAATTAAGAATCTAAAGGCACAAAGCAAGAAAGTAAATCTGAAGTTAGAAACAAGCCAACAAGATCCTTTGGCATCAAATGATGTAATGAATGGAGATAATGGCAATGACACCAATGATGAATATGAAATGGATGTAAGTCAAACTGATGAAGACACAAAGCCAATAATCAGCCATTGTAGTAGTAATGGAAGCAATAAAACAAGAAAAAGATGTAAGAAATTCACAAAAGAAGAATGTGACCTGCTCCTTTCATTACATGAAAAGTATTGTGCTAATTTGGATACGTCGTCAACAGCTAATTCCGTTAAAAAAAGACAGGAAGCTTGGGATAATCTCACATATGAGTTTAATGACTTACAGTCGAGTGGAGTTACGCGAGAGTGTAATGAACTGAAAATTAAATACAAGAATATTAAAGCATTAAAAGTTAAAACAGAACCGATGGAGTCACAAACAATAGTCAACAATATGAGAGTCTTCAACGAGTCAGACTCGTCAAGCAAAGCAGTAGTTGAAGACAGAAAAATTATCAGTACACGACCTATTCGTTCCTTACAAAATCCAGCTGTAACAAAGACTTTTGCACATCTTGCAAACTCAACAGCCACAAATGACATGTTCTATGATGACGATGATTATGAGGAAGACGTAATTAGACTGAAGCTTTATATTGCTCTATCTCATATCAATTCTTTATTCTAGTTTAACCATGGAAATCACAAGCAGCCAACACACGAAGACAAGGAAGTAGAAAAGGTTCGAAGAGAAAACATTCTCCTTAAAAATGCAGTACTACGCAAGAAGGAACGCTTGTTAGAGCTGCAAATTGCTCTGGCTGAACGGAATCTTCGACGACAGCTATAATATAATTTACAAGACATTAAAAAATTCTCATTAAACTAGTTATAAACTTAACGATGTCATACACATAATTTAAGGAACAGATAGATACAGTACAGGAACAGAAAATAGATGCATAGCAATGAAAGGGATTTGATAGTAGATTTTTAATAAGACTAAATATATTTTATTATTGTGTAAATAATATTCATGCGATAGTTTGCAATATTATGAGTTGATAATGACAGACAGAAGATATTTAAGGAATTACATGTAAAACAATCAAAATTAACACAAAAGTAAAGTAAATGATTACTAATCTTCCTCAATCTTAACTCGACGTGTATTATTCTGCAAGAACTTTTCAGTATCAAACAGCACAAGCTCAACCAGCATCAATCCTTTCATTTCACTAATGTTTGCATGCGGTTCCAGAGTATATTCGTATTCACGTCCACTTATCGATAGATTTTTTATTGAAATATCTTCAATATAGCTCTCCACGCTGAACTCTATATCTACTGTATCATCTGTGAAGAAACATCTCTTACGGACCATATCGTACTTGCTAGAATGGTATTAGATTTAGCTATTAAATCTTAGGATTAATTTGTCTACTTACTATACATGATGAACTTTGAAAACTGCCTTATATTTATTCACAATTTTGAAGAAGTTATCGACTATTTCATTCGCTTTCATCACTTCCGTATGATAATAATTCACAAATTCAAATAATTGATTTGATGATTTGCAGATTGCTGTAAAATTATCAACCCCGTGAATTTCTCGATGAAATTCTCTTCTTGATAAGCTGTTCTTCATAGTCGTCGACCATGATTTTCGGAAATCAGGATCTAAATAAAGAAACACATTCTTAAACATGATCGGCATTGTGCTTTCATCAGCTTCTGTCAAAAATTGCTGGCATCTAAAGTTTACAGTAAACATTCTCATTTTTTTGTGCGTTAACTTGAAAACGCCTTTGTACAAGAAAAGTGAATCCAAGTTCCAGTTTTTCGATAATTGCTCGTCCCTAAATTACAAAATAATTAAAATTTAAACTTATTGGATAAATAATGCCATCGACTTACGTTCTGAACTTATTGTTTAGCAGTGTCTCAAAGCCAATCGCTTCTGGAAACACGGGAGCAATTACAGGTCGTCTTAGTTCTATTTCCTTTAACATTTCGGTTTCCATGCTGTAAAATATGAGTAAAGGATAAGAAGCGAGCTAATGGGATTCGCTAAAAACTTACCATTCAATGTAATTTTTCATCAGAAATTTTGCCGTTGGAATTTCTGGCATTAGCTGAGATGCTTTTAGTTCATCTTTCTTTCGTCGATTTTCTTCTGCTATATTTTTGTGTTTTTGACGTAATTCCATGATTTTATCATGCAAGTAGCCTTCCTGATTTTGTGGAATATTTGGTATCTTTATAGGCTCGACTTTCAGCATCTCTAGAAACTCATCAATTTCTAAACGTGGCATCGGACGATCCTTTTTCCTAAGACCATCAATTAAATTATCAAACATGCTGTTGTAGTCAGGAACTGGCGATGAAGCTCGCGATTCTCTTCTTTGTCTTATTTTCATCTCTAATGGAACTGTTTGATTCAATGGAGAAGCCTTGACAGTCAAATTCATAAAGTCTTCTATAGCTTCATCATATCTTGACATGTTACTTGCTTCATTGCTGACAGGAATCGATGCTGAAATGTCCTGAACACATGGATTTGACTCATCATCGATCATGTTCAATAACTCTGTGTCTGTTATGTTGTGCCACTTTAATGACTCTCTTTTCTTCATAACTGTAAATGTCTTCCGGCGATCATTAAGTTCCACTTCTGTTTCTACAGTCAGTGATTGCTCACAAAATCCAGAAGATCCAGGAGTTCCTGAAACGTCCATATTGTTAACATGATAAGTTGTTATACGTTTGTTATCAATCATTAGAGCTGACATATCCATAGCATTTCTATTGTACGTTGTTGCACGCTTTTTATGCAACGGAGATTCTCTTACTTCCATTGACATATTTTGGTCATTATGAATTTGAATTTTTGGAACCAAATTGTCACCTTCTGCTTGATTAATAAGTTCAGATCCAGAAATATCCATTTGACCAACATTATATGTTGTGGCTCTCGATTTTATTGCATCACGATCTGCCTTTTTAGCTTTTGCCATTTCCTTTGGCGATACATGAACATTAAACTGCATTTGTACTCTTAAATTTGATGTATTTGGTTGTTCTATCATGTTTGATGCTGTTTCAGCCCTCGACAAGTTCATCTGATTAACATCGTATGTTGTTGCTCTATTTTTAATTGATTTTGGCTCTTCGAGAGTCATGTCCACCTTATTGTCAGATAACTTTGCTTCATTAACCAAAAATTTTTTCAAAAATTCATCTGTTGCTTCAATTCCTGAAATATCCATGTTGTAGCTTGTTGTTCGCTTCTTATCAATTGCCGCTACTGAAACATTCATGTCATTTGGATTGTAAGTTGTTGCTCGATTTGTGTTGACAATTTTTGCATGTTCATTGTCATCCTTTAATTCCATTGAAAGATTCTCATCATTGTAAATTTCAATTTGTGGCTTAACAATTTGTACGATTGATTCTCTCGTCTTTTGTGCCTTTAAATCTGTAGCTTCATATCCAGTAACATCCATATCATCAGTTTTATAAGTTGTAGCTCGTTTATTTGATTCTTCTGCACTTTTTTGAAGGCTTCGATTAATCATTGCCATTTCCTTTGGTGACACGTGAATCTGGTAAGGCACCGAAATCCTTAAATTGGAAGTAATTGTGTCTTCAATGTTCTTGTGAGCTTGTAACGTTGCACCAACTGTTGTAATGTCCATCTGATCAGTATTGTAAGTTGTTGCTCTACTTTTTACTGGTTTTGGATCTTGTTTCATAGCTGACTGCATTTTAGGGATATTTGTATGAGTTTCAGTCATATCTTTTACCATGTGAGACGTTTGTTCTGTTCTAGAGATGTCCATTTGATTGACATTATAGGTTGTTGTGCGACTGTTGCTTGGCTTTTTGATTGGAATATGTGATGTGGTTTCAACAGTTGTTAATTCCATTTGATCGACATTATAAGTAGTTGTACGATTATTAGCTTGCTTTTGAAGTTGGGATGAGGTTCCAATACTTGTAACATCCATTTGGTCGATATTGTAGGTTGTTGCTCGATTTTTGTAATTTTGATCATCAAATGTCTTGTGAGTTTCATTAATTGAAGCAAAATTGAGTTTGTTCGACTCCAATATCATCGATTTATAGATTCTTGCATCACGTGGCACACAATCTGTTAGATCATCAGGAACTGGTGAATTTAAATTTCCCATAGAAACTCTATTTTCAAATTCAGCTGTTTCTTCAACTCCTGAAGAATCCATATCATTCAAATTGTAGTTCGTTGCACGTTTCTTGTCTGTTGTTGCAACTGAAACATTCATGTCATTGTTGTTGTATGTTGTTGCACGCTTATTTTGAGTTTCTTCATGCATTGATACATTCTCATCAGTATAAATTTGAATCTTTGATGTCGATTTTACACTTTTAATTACAGAATCTCTAAGAATTGGCGCCTGTTGACCAATAGCAGTAAATTCACATTCAGAAAAATCCATGTTATCAACATTATAGCTTGTAACTCGCTTTTTAGGCTCTTCAATCCTTGCTGGTGCTGTATATTGCTTTCCACTGAGTTTAGCAAGCTCCTTTGGTGATACATGAATCTGATAGGATTTCGAAGCCTTCAAACTTGCTGTACTTGTGTGTTCTGGAATTTCCAATCTTGAAATATCCATTTGATCGACATTATAAGTTGTTGGGCGACTTTTAACAGACTGATTTACAGGATCTAAATGGCTTTTTGACATACTCTTCTTGGACATCTCCATGATTGACTTTCTTAGCATTGGCAATTCGTTAGGATCCTCTATTGTGGGCTCAATTCCAGAAATTTCCATTTTATTCTCATCGAAAGTCGTCATTCGATTCTTAAAAGATGTTGAGCTCTTCTGCAAGTTCTCAAATGTCATATTTGGTTCTAAATTTAATGACTTGTGGACCTTCGATGGTTCCTTAAACATTATATCAGAAATATCCTCTGGGAATGGTGAATTAATAGTACTTGATGAACCTAAAGTTGCATGTGGATTCTTCAGTAATTTTGTAGCCTTTCTCTGAATTTCAGCAGTTGTTTCTAAGGAACCGCCTGTATCATCAATATTTGTAAGTTCCATAATAAAATTTGTCGCATTACATGTATCGTTGCTTAATGTTGATCGTTTTAAAGATTTCTCTACAGAATCAAAATCAACAGGTTTAAGTTTCATCAAATGGAGGTTTTTAGCAACAGAACAGCTAGCATCATCGTCATCCAGTTCAAAAAAGGACTTTTGTGCTGCTGACTTGTTGTTTGTGCATGTTTCTTCCATTTCATTAGCAATAATTTCAGTTTTTGGTGCAACTAAATTGACTTTTATTTCAGGTTCAAAAGAAATATCCAAATCGCCTTCATTTTGCGTCTTATTCTTTAACGTTTCTATCGTTTCATCCATTTTGACTTTATCGAAAGTCGTTTTACGATTATCACCTTTGTATGTAGTTTCTAATTTTATGGAATCATTATGAAAAACTGTTCTCCTGATAGCCTTTACCTTGTCATCTTTTGAGTCGTCTAGCAATCCAACTTCCTTGAATATATCTGTAGATTTTCTTAACGTTGTTGGTCGAGAAGTCGAAAATAAAACTTTTTGTGTTGATCTTAACGGTGTATGTGCCTTGCCTAAGCAACAAAGCTTTGAAGGGGTATCCGAGACCATCATTTCAAATAATTCATCAATTTCCTCCTTTTGGTTCTCTAAAACTGCTGGCTTAATCGGTGGTGAATCGTAACATTGTGGTTGAAAATTGAATGTTTTTGGAAGCTCTGGAAATTTGAATGTTGTAGGTACGATCTTTGATGTTTGTGGATTTTCGAGAACTGGTGTTTTATAAATTGATGTTACAATTTTAGGTATTGGTGCCTGCTGTTTTAATATTGTTGGCTTTTCCTCAATAGCAATTTTCTTGACTTCTGAAGTTTTGTGTTCAACAGATATATTCATATCTATTGGCTTAGCAATTGTTTTACGTTGTACACCAGTTGTTTTGGCATAGTCTGGCCTCTCATCATCTTCCATGCTTACACTAACATTGTCATCCATTTCTGAAGGACTCATCAGAACTTTATCCTTGATTATTACAGACAGATTTGGATTTTTATGTAGGAAGACCATTTTTCTAGGCGAAAGAACTTTTTGATTGTTTTTGCCAGGAACATTTAAGAGCTTGTTGTGGATTAATGAACTATCGAATGGCATATTTGTTATATTCAGATTATCTGTTCCATATTTATTGACTCTTTTACGTTCACTTGCATTCATATCAACTGTTGTTAACTCAATTGAACATCCAGAGTTAGATGCAGAACTCAAATTATTTAAACTAGATCTTGGCTCAATACTAACTCTTGGAAGTGACTTTTCTGCCATTACATTCTCCTTTTCTGATTCATTCATCGATGATGCTTCATGTGTTGTTACATTAATCGTAGTATGACTAAAATCGACGCTGATTTTACGTGATGTTGATGATCCATCACTTGATCCTTCAGATTTTGCAACGGATGTTTCATATGTGTTGCCCCAAATTGTAAAATTCTCTTCGCATTGCGTAAATTCCCTATAAATGAATGGTCTTAGCAACATTTAAGGGACGATTGATGTGAATTTACTTACTTAACTTGCTTCTTTTGGGAAAACTGAGCCTTTTTTGGGAATTTACTGACTGTTATTTCAGTGTGATCATCTTCTGTTGATGCACGCTTTTTAAGGATCTGTAAGGAGTTCAATTTAATTAATTCGTGTGCTTGATTGTCTTAACTACCATTTTTACTCACCGAAGTCCTTCTTTTCTTCTTTAATTCATCCATTTTAGACAAATTCCTATAATTAACAGATTTGTTTACGTTTTTGACAGTTATTTTTTAAATGTCGAGGGAAAGATTCCTATGTAGTATTAAAATTCAAGTTTAAATTTATTTTGACAGTTTTTTTATGTAACAGTTTTAAGAAGAACTGAGTACAACGCATTAATTAATAGGATGCAACATTAAAAACAAATAAATAAACGAATATTTAAAAGTTTACAAAGAACCAATTAAAGAAAAGTGAAATTGAAAGATTTTCAAAAGTTGAACACAAAAAATATTCAAGCATAGTTGCGAGCCCTTCGTGCGTCATATTTACAGTGGTCTCTAAACAAGTCGAATAAAAGAGTCTTTTTGAAAAAATTAATAAAAGTATAATAATGTCTCGGGGAGGAAATGAGAATAGAATTTATGTTGGTAATTTGCCACCAGATATAAGAACTAAGGATGTTGAGGACTTATTCTTCCGCTTTGGAAAGGTTTCATTTGTCGATTTAAAGAATAGAAGAGGTAATTAGACAACAACAAAAAAAAAACCAAGCCATAAACGTTTTAAGCATTTTTCTAATGTTTTTACTCATCTAATTAGGACCACCATTCGCTTTTGTTGAATTTGAAGACCACAGGGATGCATCAGATGCTGTAAAGGCAAGAAATAACTATGATTATGATGGGTAAGACGCCACAGAAAAGTTTCACTGTATCTCCATATTGTTTACACTTTTTACTTCAATTTTATTTTAAAGATATAAATTAAGGGTTGAATTCCCAAGAGGTGGTGGTCCAGGATCATCATACCGGGGTCGTTCCAATAATGATCGTGGCGGATCAGGAAGAGGTGGTGGAAATAATAGACCAGCAGCAAGAAGATCACAGTATAGAGTATTGGTATCTGGATTACCTTCATCTGGATCATGGCAGGACTTGAAGGATCACATGAGGGAAGCAGGTGATGTTTGCTTTGCTGACGTTTATAAAGATGGAACAGGGGTGGTTGAGTTTTTGCGTTATGAGGATATGAAATATGCGATTAAAAAGTTGGATGATTCGCGATTTAGAAGTCATGAAGGGGAAGTTGCTTATATTCGTATTAAAGAGGATGGAGCACCTTCATACGGCGAAGATCGACGAGAATACAAAGACAAAGAAAAAGATAAGGACGGGTGAGTAACTTACTATAGCATTATAGAAACTGCTTACTAACTGGATGTTATTTATTATCTTTCTACAGGAGCTACGGGCGTTCTCGTTCTCGCTCGCCTTATTCCTCACCTCGAAGACGCCGTGGATCACCTGTTTACAATGATTTTCGTCCACGCGTTTCTCGTAGTCGCTCCAGATCTTACAACTATTAAATCATCTGCATGCAAACCATTTCTAGATTCATGCAGGATCTGATGATCATACAATCACATTAAAACTATCTTTTTTTTCTTAGAAGAATTTCAACTTCAACAATATACCCATAGATGAAAGACTTGCTCTTTTCCATTCTGAAAATAATTAACTTAACATTCCTCGTGTCCCCTTTTTTGGAAATGAATTTTTATTATTGTGTGTTAATTGTGCCATAGATAACTGGACAAGTCTTTTTAAAATCAAGGTTTTTTTTATGTCGATTTATAATGAAGTGCACTGCACTGCTTACACAGATACACACACATCCGACTCGAGCCGTCAAAGAATGAAAAAAATTGTAAAACTTAAATTGATAAATTTCTTTCTTAAATTTTCACAATCATATATGATAACGATTAATCAAACTAATTCCCTAGTAATAATAATTCAAATCTGAATGATAAGTTCTTTTTTAAGAAAAATAATACATATTCATAACAATCAAACTTGATATAGTACACTAGCAGCTATGTACAGATACGTTAAGCATTTGGTAGCAACATTTAGTATTGAAGATCGGTTCTTGCTGGTAATCAAACGTCATTTATATTAATCTATAAGCCATGAGCTACAATTGACTTAACAGAACTCAGAATTTGCATCCAATTTATGCTTTCGTGCTGTACATAGTTGCTAGGATAACGAACTTTTACAACTGATTTATTAATTCATCCTTTTTTCTTTTTCTTTTCTCTACGGATATGAAAAAATTACAACTGATTGAGTTCGGGTTTTTAAAAAAGTATATGGATTTATGGATATTGGATTATTTGCACATTTATGGATTTATTTCGCAAATATGGATAAGAAAATTCATGCAAAAAACTTAACAAGGATTTGGATTATAGGATATTCATGCCGGATTATCTCAGGATTAAAAAAATATCTTTTTTTCCAATCGAAATTGGCTTTAGTGAGGATAAAAATAAAATTTCCATACGATATCTCCCAAATTTTTTACGTTTCAAGAAAGGATCTCAAGTTTGAGGACAGTTCCATTTCAATTAACTTTGTTTAAGGACGTTCTCTTTAGTCTCAAATCTAAGGATTTCTTTTAAAAATGAGGATTTAACTCAGGACAATCTATCTTAACCAGGATAATCTATTCAGGAAACTTTGAGGATATACCCATTTAATAACTTTAGGATTTATTCTCAGTTACCACGGGATTCCCTTCCGAAATCCAAGGAAAGCTTCTTCTTATCTCAGGATTTACTATCAAATCTCAGGATTTATCTTAAATCTTAGGATTAATTTGTGTCGGATCTACTCAAAGTCTCAGGATTAATCAGGAAATTTAAGGATTTGTAGTCTCCGTGGGATACATTTTCTTATCAATTTAAGTTCTTTATCACTTGCGAAACATGAGGAGAGATTCAGGATAAAAAATTTTCAAAAGGATGTCTTTAGGGATATGGAAGTGAAATGTGTGTTTAGATTATGTTCAATATGGATGGATTTGAGGATAAAGGATTTTTCTGGTATGGAAAAAAATCAGATTCATATTAAAAATAGCTTTAACTTAATTATTTTTGATTAACCTTTTATCCTTTTCTGTGAATTTGTGTGAAAATAGGGGTGCATCCTCATCCCAATTTTCACACAAAAATATAATTCTCAGTAGTGTTGTGTCTCTAACTCTTTAAAAACAGTCTACAACACAATTCATTTATTTTTATATATCATATCATCTAGATATAGAAGCACACAGGTTTTGAGCATGAATTTTTATCATAATACAATAATGATTAAATTAATTTCTTTATTCTTTTCTCTATGGTCTGTCTGATATGATAATTGTATATTTTAATTTTACTATCTTATCCCATTATTACATGTGTTTGCAGTGTTTGATTTTGTCTCAAGCAATAAGCAATTTTTAAATAAGAGTTATGATTGAATTCAAGCTGTAACGAACAAATAAAAGGCGATTAACGTGAATAAAACAAGGATATTTGAAGAATAAAGTTTATGTTTTTATTGTCTTTACGTTTTCAGGTGTGAAAAAACTATCAGGAGGTAAGAAGCTTCAGTAACATAAAAAATCAACTTTTAAAATCTGAAAATTAAAGGATTTTAGTCACAAAAATAAAGCTTTCTGAAATAAAATGTTCCTGAAACATGAATGAATGAGAATAAAATGCTGAGTCTGGTTCCATTTTTATAAAGAATACATTTTTCTTTTTGTTCATTGCATCATAAAGTAAAGTAGATTTACAATTATTGTATTATCTTCATCATTACATTGATGCTTTTGTAAATTTCATCATTTCAATTTTTTAAAAATCTTGTGTTACATTTTACAGTTGTTAATTTTTATTTTGCTTCTTCCTTCCTCTGACTTTCTCGATAATAAATATATAATTTTTTTTATACTTTCCAAAAACAATTCAAATTTTTTATTTCTCAAAAAAATTAATATTTCTTGAGTGAATGAAGAATTTATGCTCAATAAATGGCATCATTTGTTAGTTCTTATAAATTTTTAATGGCTCAAATCACACAAACTTCTCTAGTCTCTAGTTGTCTAGTTCTTTAGAGAATATTGTATCATTTGAGGTTACTTTCCTTAAGAAAGGATTTTTATAAACTTTCCAAATCCTTTCATACTTCCAAATCTTGGATTTTGATCTTCCCGATATACTTGCAAAAAAAAGTAGTTAACTCTTAACTCCGTTAGACATAATATATATTTGATTTGATTTTTGTGCAAGATATTAATTAATATAATATATATTTTATATGAAATTATATTTGAATGCATCCCTTCATTCATCACCGCCATTTTCTACCCCGTTTATCCTCTAACTTCTTCATCATTTCCATATTATTAATGTTTCATATATAGTTTATCAGTCTTTGGTACGTGGTAACCAGTGAAGAATCTAAAATTAAATTAAGAAATTTTTGTATTTCATATTTTTTGTTTTACATTTTTTTTTGTTTTGGAAAAAGAGAAAAAATTGCCCAAATTAATCCTACAATTCTTTTGCATGTGTGTTCTTCACTGGTGGTAACAAAAAGCATGCGAAAAAAATACAAAATATTTTGACATGAAATTTTGCATGCTTATTGAGTGTAAAAAATATATAAATTGGATGGATTGGAGTCACATTGGAGAAGGTTTCATACTTTATGTTCTCAAATTATATTCTTTTGTGATATCTCAACAACACCAAACATTTTAAGATTTTACACATCGAAAAATAATTAAAATCATAATGCAAGAAACCCACCCCAAGCTCCTACAAACCCCCCCAAAACTAGATGTCAATGAAAATTTTTTATTTCCTACATTTTTCTCTCCTTCTGATTATATAGATAATTTCATTAAATTTGACTGTAGTAGCATGCATGCTAAATGAATGCGGTATTATGCGAATAGTAATCTACTTTGGATTATGGAGAAGGATATATAAAAAATATTCGCAGAGATTAATTTTTTTTTAATTGTACACTTGTTAATAATTTTTAAATTGATTTTAAGGTCAATCTTTTATTAGTTTTTAATTCTTCTTCCAATTTTCATGATGCTAGTTTTTTCTCAGAAATTGTTTAAAAAATGTAAAGGGGTGAAACCTTTTTATAAAGTGGAGTCATTCAAAAATGATGCCCATCAAAAATCTTTTATTTTGAGATTCTTTAAAGGTTAAACATCATTTTTGAACGAATCCAACATCAAAGTAGACATCCTTAACATAAACTCTAGGATTTTTAAATGTAGATCCCAATATTGAGATTTAAGCATGATTCATTTCAGTAGAACCTGAAAAATAAATCGAACCATGCCCAGATATTCAATTGTTGACGATAATGAATTGTAAAATTAAGGATGTCTATTTTGGCTTAGAGGTTATTCATAAATGACTTCATTTATGTACAACCCCTAAGCAAGCTTTCATTATTTGATAGATTTTTAAGCTTCCCCCTTTTTCATGTGCATCAAATGTATTTAATTTTTCTTCGTGGATCTTTATGTCAAGCCAATAATAATAAAATAGTAAATTTTTTCAGTATTAATAATAGTAAATTTTAGTTTCATACAATTAGTAATGACTACACATTTTTTTGTTTTCTTTTCCTTTAAAAATAACTTTTTTGTTTGTAGGTACAAATTTAATAATCCATTCTTGTTAATTGCTTTTTTTTGTAATATCATTCTTTTTTATGCCTTTAAAGTCAATCAACATAAAAAGTAATTTCTAATTTGTATAAATTTTCTAGCAAAAGTTTTTTTCAAGTCCTTACGAATTAGTTTTTTTGTATGATTTTTTATGCATGTGTATGTATGTTTGTGTGTGTGCGTGTGTTGATTTGGATGTTGATATAGTAAAAACTTATAAAATTTGCAGAAAAAACGATTCGAATTGCTAATGTCTAAATATAGATTTCATATTTTCTAAGTCTGAGCTTTTAAAGAAAAGAAAAAAAGCTTTTGGTAAGTTTAATTAAAAGTAAGAATACATAATGATTGCGGTTTTTTCTGAATTTCTATTAGAATTAAGTGATTGTTATTTTATGAAAAATGACATTGTTATTGCTCGATGTGCCTTCTTCATCTTTGTGTGTTTTTTTTAATTTTTTTTCTTTGATTTTTTTAATAATAAAGTTTTTAAGAGTCAAATTTCTTGAAAATAAGAAATTTTAAATAATTTTTTGTTGTATGTACACAGTTTCTTGTTTCAATCATAAATTTCTAAACCCTCTAAAAGCTCTTTCTTAAAAAGCTTAATTAATTAAATAATTTTCAATTCCTTCTCGATATTTTTCGATAACAAAAAAAGTATATTATGTGAACAATTAATCAATTAATTCAGTCAGCTTTGATGCGTACCCGAGCAACACAGTATTGTAAATGCAATTACCTGTAACAGAGTATGTGGTCAAGTGATTGTTTTGTTGTGGACTTGTTGCTGTCGTGTCATTCTAATGTTGTATGGACGAAATTGAAAAGTTTGTGTGACATGCAACATTTATGTTGTGTTGTACAACTGTCGCGTCAATTTTTATTTTAATTCTCTTAAGGTTGCTTTTTGTTGTGTGACATGACACCAAGCAACATGTCACACTAATTTTTTTTATAAACATTTTTTTTGGTATTTTTTCTAGCTACTAAGCAATTATCTTCACAATCGTATGTCACTCGGTATGACCATATATCTAAAAAAATAGAAGACTTATCACGTTCTCAATAGCGACAAGTAAATGTGCCTATAAAATATAAAAAAGTTGTACCCCAAAAAAACTTATTCAGCCCACATTTTTTTGATGCATGCAAGTCGCGTTTGTAATGTATACATATAGGAAGTATATCGAAAAGGAATACAGAAGATTTATTGTCGCTAAGAAGATCGCAATAGATTTGCGTGGTAGAATAGCATCAAGCCAACAAATTAAACATGATATAACTTTTTTTTTTCAATCAACACGCCCTGTTTCTGTTCATAATATTCTTAATATTTTTTTTTTATCCACCGGTTATAAAAAAAGAAACCTTTAAAGATTTTTTTCGTCATCATCATCATCAAAAGCAAAGAAAACATATGCGAAATACACATATACATATGCATATTCATCATTATAGATTATAAACTCAAAAAATATATATAATCGCTCTGCGTACTTAATGACACTTAATTGATAATAATTCATAATTTATTAATTATTTTGTATGTATGCTTTTTTGTTTCTCTTAACATTTTAAACAATTTTTTTTCGCGTGTATATGTGGGGGTGTGTTTTTTTTTTCATCCTCAAAAAAAGAACTTTAATAATTTCTGGAAATTTTTTTTTTCATTACACTTTTCGGTTTCCTACTTTGATGAATGAATATTTCAACTTTTGGATGCATTCTGCTGCTGTTGTTGCTGTTGCTGCTTCTGTTTTCTTCGATGTCCTGCTTGATGACGTCTGGCTCGACATTGACAACAGTCATCGTCCACTGGCTGCTTCTTACCATTTTTATTTTGATTTTGGCAAGCTGTACGTGGGCATCGCTTCTTCTCACAGTTAATATTACCATCCTGAAATGTTAACAAACAAAGAGGAAGAGAGAAGAAAAAAAAAATTAATTTAGCTGAATACAATTTATTGATCGCATTAGTGCCATAGTTAGTTGTATGACAAATTATTATCCATCGTCGGACATGGACAATAATTCTCTCTCTTTCTAGCCATTTATTGATACCTTCTTCTTTGCCACATTAAAACAACACGCCACATATAGTATATTTACAATAATACAATGGAAGCTACCACATGTTTACGATAGTAATAATACTGTTCTTCTTACACACTCCATTCACCTTCACAATTCGCGCGAAAAATAAAATAAACTGTTATTCTTATTATTTTTTGTGTATCATATCAAGTAATACTTCTTATCTAATCTGGAGAGGAAAATAAAAACCTACACTGTACACTTGAATCTAAGGAAAGTGTACATATGATGGCAACTGATTTACTTTATTTGAGTTTATTTTATTTGCAAAGAGTTTATTATTTTTTTCTGCTTTTCCTCTCTTTATTATTATCCAATAGTATTATCATTGCTGTTATCAGTGAATAATGATAAATTGAAGGAAATTTTATAAGCAGGTCGTCGTTCGGTAGACGCCACCACTCATTACCGTAGGTTTTATTGAGTAAACATATTTGTACAATTTGAATGGTCTTGCTGAATAAGATGTTTGTTTTTTTATTTTTTGAAAATGATGGAATTTTAATGGCTTGAAATTTACGCAGAAGCTTGTTGCCATCGTGTTACTTTGTTATCAGGAAAAAGTGATGTTTTAAATAATAGTCTAGACTTGATTATTTGACGGGAAGTTGTTGAAGTGAAGGAAATTTGTTTTTCAAAAAATTACCTTTTTATGTAGATTAATTGTTTCTGAAGTTACACTTAGCCATTTTGTGCCACATTTTTGCATATCTTGCTTAATAAATATCAGTTAAGATTTGTAAGCTTTCAAAGTTATTTTAAATTTACTTTTTGAAGTGGACACAAATTTTTAAAAAAAATGGCGAATTCGAAAATCAAAATCAAACAGCTTAGAAGTGATTTATATTCCATAAAAAAATATACCGATAAAGGAATTAAGCATCTTGATAAAATTGTACATTACTTATCAGTCATAGGCTTTCTTACAAACTTTTTTTTAAGCGTCTGTGACGAAACGTGAGCATTTTGCAAATTCGTGATGATAAATTTTAGAAAATGACTTTTCTTTATCTTTATATTTTCTTCTAGAGATTATTGACAAGATACACAAATTCTTCACGTCACTGTTCATTCAAGTTTCTAAAAATTATTATTATAGTAACGAAAAATAAAATACAGCGTATATGTATTAAATTTGTCACATAACGCAACAAAAAAGAAATGAAAAAAATGAACTCGTTTTCCTTGAAATTAAACTGCAAATAATCCGCACGTCGTTGAGTTTAGCGGGATTTTTATAAGTTGTGAGTAAATAATTAAAGTATGTGAAGTAGCTTTGTGATCGATGTATGTAAAAAAAGAGTTATTTTATCAATATGTGGTTTTGTCATGTCAATTGACTGGCAAATAAGGTCTGGCGCATGATGTTACACAATGAATTTAATATCATCGACTTAATTCGATATGAGTGAGCACTTACCTTGCATTTACATTTGATGCATTTCTGTTCACCATGTGAAGCGATAATTGGATGCCATTCTTGTCCATTTTTATGGTATCCCATATGTGATTTGCAGCCACCACTAGCCATTATTACTGTTGGTGAATTTAACGTGCCTGTCCTGCTTCCTTCATCCTTCATTACTTCGGTGTTTTGTTTTGATTCCTTTTGTGGTTTGACCTGTGAATTGGATTTGAATTTAACCATGGAATGTTCAAATACAATTGACATTTTTAAAAAACTTACGTCTGGACATCTCTTGCAGCAAGCCTTTTTATCAGGACGATATGCAAGTTTCTCATTGCAGTTAAGTGGAGGACATTGTACTCTTGGACATGATACTTCTAAACTATTTGAATCACATGTACAGACAGCACATGTGTCGAAGCCGTTTGGTGGTAAATATGGATGCCATGATGATCCTGTAAGTATGACGAAGAGTGATTAAAATTTATATCATTTAAAGACAAGACAAAGAACTTACCAGCTTTGTAGAATTGGTCACCGAGTTTGCATCCACGTGGTGGGGCATTATTGTTGGTCTCTTCCACATATTTTCCTATAAAATAGACATAATCAAATGAGAATCAAGGTACAGAAAATGAAAAGAGTAAAGAACTTACCAACACATGTAGGACAACATTCACCCTTTCTATGCAATTGGTCTTCCTTCTTACACTTAAGTGGTGGACATTTGATTGGTTCACATTTAACACGTCGATTGTTACATGCACAAACGGTGCAAGATTCAATAATGCTATGCCACTGTTCACCATCGTCATAGAATCGATTCGAGTGATAACATTTCGTGTCGGATGATTGATGATTTGAGTTATCTTCTGCAGCACCTCCATTTCCAACTTCATTCTCAACGGTTAATGGATAGCAATGATTTGGTACTTTGACTGACTTGACTTTCGACTTTAGTATATTTTGATCCTTTGATACAATTTCAATAAAATTAACACTTGATTCCAATTTTGCAAGATCTGTTGCTGAGATGCTAAGAACAAAACCTTCCAAGTGATTCGATGCAAATTCTTCGAGTAAGCGACGATGAACTGGTGCACCAAAGACTTCCATTGGCATATCAACAAGATACAATTGCAATGGATGATATTGATTCGGAACTCCAGCTAAGCTTACATCGTAATGTAGATTACAATCGTTGTCGACAGCAATCCATGCCATACCGACTGAGTGTAAAGGTGCATGATCGCCAACACGCTTCAATAAAATTGGTTCTTCGGAATCGCGTGCATCCGTGACAGGTCGAACGGAGAATTTACCACGAATGAGACTCGTTTCAGATTTTGTTGCAACATTAAGGCCAAGATCTCCCGCATAAAGTGGCTCTAAAACACGCGGACCCAATTTATCAACAACTCCATAAGCACGATCCATCTCAAGTGATGATGTCAAGTCTTCTAGTTCCGTATTCTTCTTTCCACCGTTATCATTTGTAAGAGTTATTAATGGCTTATCAACCATATTTAAATTATGTGTCTGAATGTTGTAGACTAATGATCCATCTTTGTTTAAATAAAGCCATGCCATACCAGCTGATTTTGTTTTTGATTCAGGATTATGAGATGAGAGAAGTGTCTGGAAGAGTTCACATGCAACACGTGTAATAACATTTCCTTGAATTCTCAATGATTCAGGCTTTTTCTTTGATTCAACGACAATTTGAAGCTTTCCACGAGTCAACAGGCGCAACTCATTGACGGAAACGGGTGATGAGAATTCAATAACATTAATGTCATGATTTGGTTTTTTGACACGTTGGATTTCCTCTATAATAACAGATCTCTTTTCAACACTTTCCAATCGAATATTCAATGGAATATCGGCTGTTTCATCAGCTTCAAAAAGACCATTAACTACCAATGTAAGATGAATTGATGGAGCAACTCCACTGTTTGTCGATACAATTGCAGTTCCACCAGCTCCAGCCATGACATCAGCATTTGTACCTGGTGCTGGTTCCAACAATGAACTAAACAATTCTGTTGATAATGCTGGATATTTACTGATTGGACCGGCAAGGGCTAAATCTGATCCGAATTTTCCATTCCAAATTAAGACAGCATTCATTTGATCTTCACGCAATAAGCGTCTGTAATCTCTTGGTACACGTCTCCAAACTCCACAAATTTTGCCGGTTGCATTTTGATAGTTACTGCTTGGACCATTATTTGGTATGACTAGACTATGTTCCTCTAAAATATTACCGCTATTATCTATAAATTGTATGGCACTTGGACGGGATGCTTTTTCTGATACATAAAATGAGTAATACAAATTTTTCTTATGGAACGAGAAGCGACCAGTTGCTATTAAATTTTGTGGATTCTTTGTGGAATAATTGTTGAGCATTTCATCGCGCTTCAACATTGTTGACGTTCTGCCAGTAAGAAGGGCACCGAAATCTGTCAGGAATAATAAAATTTAACATTATTTTGTGCCAAACTTTAATGCCTGTAGCTTTATATTCAAAGCATTCTCAGTACTTACGTTTCATATCTTCCGGTTCATTTATTGTAGCTACCGGTGTGTCTTGAAGAATGTCAGGACCTGTTGAGAATAAGAAAAATTCATAGAATTAAACAATAATGGATACAAATCGATTTAATGCCTTTCTTTCGGCGTCATAATGACATTCATTTCCTTTTTCAACATAAAGTTATAATACAAAAAAGTTCTTTCAAGGTTATTCTTATATATGGATAGGTGCACATAAAGCGGTTCCGTTTTCCTTTCTCAGCTTCTTTGAATGGAGAATAAAATTACAATGAAACATTTTTTTTTTTTGCTAATGAATGAATAGAATGAGGATTGTTGCTATGCACAATATGAATGAATGCTGTTCGTATGAATGGAAGGAATATATTCTTTTTTTGAGTTCGTTCCAGGTAAGTTTTGACACACAAAAAAAAGTCTAGAAGAATAGCGAAGAATATTGAGGTCGATGGAGGATTTTTAAGGTAGAAAATTGAAGAAGGTTTTGGACTTTTGAAGATTGCTGCTGTGATCGATGGATGTTCATAGAAACACTCTTTGGGATGTGCCCTACACTTCAATACAGATTTTTAAACCTTGAATGAAGGATAGAGAACAGACCAAAACATGAAATAGGCAGATGATCAGCAAAGAGCCGATTAAATTCACCCGAAAATCAAAACAATTTATATTAAAAGCTAACTTCATGTGTGAATCACATGATTTGTTAGAAAATTATAAAATTAACAATCACATATATTAAGGTTTATGTCAATTTTGTGAGAATTTAAGGGTCACAAATGATCATTTTCAATGGCAAATGTGAAAGTGTTTTTTATTCTCTCTCCGTCTGAAATTGTCTTTCTCGATTTTATGTGCTATTAATGTTCTATTTTATGATTCTATTTTTTTTTTCATATTTATACACAATTTGAAATTTTTTACGATATGTTTGAGTTAAAAAATATTTTTATCTGTAATTACACGTTCATCCATCCAAATGTGTGAAATAAAAAATCATAAAATCCATCTTTCAGTGATCTCAAATATTTATTATTTTATTTTATAGTGGCACTAGTCGAGCGACATACCCTAAAAACATGACGCTGAAGAGAACAAAATATTTTCTTTCAGTTTTAATTAATTATTTCCTCATTATTGTCACACCAATTGCCAAAAAAAAAAATATTTCAAATGTGACATGAAATTCAACGACATTTTTTTTCTTTCTTTTCTTTACTTTCATTCAGATGTTTATAGGAGAGACAAGCTCTTTGCGTGTATACACATAATTTTCATATCCACCTGTAGTTTTCCTTCCAACTTAATGAAATGTGTCAGATGAGGCACAACATCATTATTATTTTCGCGTGAAAATTATGCTTTTAAAACAACTCGCAAGTCTCTTGTGAGAAAAAAATGTTAAAACGAGATGTGAAATTCATTGGAAATTGTCTTCTTTTAAAAATAGCTAGATCTAGTGAAATTCAATGGCAATGAGTAATCAGACATTAGAAAATTCGATGGATTTAACAGAAATGCTTGTCTAGACAAGTATATTGAATGATATTTCAAAGTTCCAAGCTTATTCACCATTTGAGGGATGCAAAGGTATCCTTGCAATGCTGTGTCATTAAAAATCAGAAGTTTTAAGCCACAAGCAGTCAACAGAATCTGTAAAAATGCGCTAAAGCCTTCAAATCAACCCAATAATCAAAAATTTTGACTCTTTTTATGTCCATTTTGAAATTGAAAATTGTATTTCTGTTGTAGCCACAAATTTATTTCCACAGCAAGAAGGCATCTACAGAAGTAGTTACTGCTCATTTGAAATGATTAATATTTATTATTATTATTATTATCATTTTTTCCCTCATCTCGATCTTTGCAAAAAAAAAGAAAAAGACTTAGTTATGAGCATTGGGAATTCGCTATTCACATCTTCCTTTTATTATGACTTTGCATCGCAAAATTCTCTTAGAGGGAAATTTATGAATGTTGTTCTTTTTCGACGCCGCGTCTTGAGGGACTTTATATTCGAGATTTATTCGCTTTTATAATATTTTTTTTTGTTGTTCACTGTGCGTGGCGCATAGTACAAAAAATAAGATGTAAGATCAGCTTGTTTTAGGAGGATTTAAAACCAAAATCACTCTTCAAGGGCACATTTTCTAATACATGAGTATCCGATAAGTATCACCAACAACTAATCACATACAAAAAAAAAGAATAACAAAAGATCAAGTGAGGAATTTCAAAGGAAATGTGAAGTGAAAGAAGAGGATTTGCCAAAAATCAATCAAATTGATCATGACTGTCTGGGACATTTACTGCCGTATTTTTTTTTAAAAAAAAATTTTTGTTACTACGGAGGCGCATGTAAAACATGAAAAATCTGATTTTTTTTCCTTTCGTTTCTTCTTCGTTCACTTTTTTTTCTCACCAGTGAGTGACTAACTGAACTGACAACGACGACGATTGAACTAAATAAATGTCATCAACAGACGATCGTCGAAGGTTATTTTGCACTATAATAATTTATAATAAAGTTTTGCTGATGTTTCGTGTTTGTTGTGACACTTTTATCAGCTGAAAAATTGCGACGCTTTGGCGATGTCACCAAAAACATGCAAAACATTCTCTTACAAACTGTTTAGAAGCTTCGTAATGTACTCAGAATATACAAACATTTATCATGAATATGAAAAAAGGACAGAAGAGATCATTTGGCAGTCATAAAGTGTCGCCAATCGCCATCATCATCATACTTTGTGACCACACGTTTGTCAGATTAGAAATTTGTTTTTTAAAAAAAATTTTTGTGATTAATCCATGGCAGGCCACAATGTTATTAAAATGTAATGCATGTTACAAAATTAATGATCGGAGTTCAGCACAAACGTCAGATCTGTAAAATTATAATTTTTCATGGTTTCAATTTTATTTTTATTTAGATATCGAAGGCTGAAATGGTTCAGAGGTGTAGCTAGGGAGTTGCATAAACTAAGAATCATTCATGTCTATCATGCTAATTCACTGCAGATAAGGTTTAATTTATTTATTGGCAAACGAACCAACTCTGCATCACGAAAAATATTAAAGCATAAAGATTTGCATCAAGACAAGACGAAAAATTCTTTTCTTATTTCTCTCGCGCCTTCCCTTTAAGCATACAATTTCGTACTGCTGATAAATTGAAGAATGAAAAATGCATTTTTGAAAGGCATACGTATTATTTTTTTTTTGATTGTTAAACGCGATAATTTGAGTGTTGAAGAGCTTCGTTTTTTTGAGTTGAAAAATTTCTTAATGATGCTTAAGGTTCTTGGCATTGTTTGGCTATTGTGCTGTGTTTAAAAAGAATTTTGTTAAAGAATAAGAAGTTAAATTCTTGAGAAGAATTTTCGGTTGAAAAATAACTGAAAAATGTTCAATTTGCATGTCAAGTCACAATATATTCTGTTGAATGTGATTATTGTTTGGAAATTGGGAGGCATTGTAGGTAGACTTTGTGATATATTGAAGTGTCCAGACTAAAATCTTGTAGCTGATTATGTTCTTTTCATAAATATTTTAGATCTTAAAGAAATTTGTTCGAATAAATGTGAAATATTTGGACCATTAAATCACTCATTTATCATAATTTGTTGGGTACATCCAACAGAGCCGCATCCAAAATTGTTTTACAACAATCCACAAACTAAACATGTCCAAAAAAATCACAATCTGTTTTATGGATTCCTTCTTGTTCAACACGATCGTGGATTAATGTTTAAACATAATACAATACAAGACTTATTCATGCGATTCTCGCAAGCATTCATTTGGTGTCCGAAAAAAAGAAGCAAGAAAAGGAAAAATAAGCAACGCCGTACGTGAAAATTTGCAGTACAACAAAGAAATTGTGTGCAATTATTTACAAATAAATGCAGGTATTGGAATGGAGGTGTGAAGGAAAAGCATGTAATAAAGAAACATCAGCCGAAAAAGGAAATAATTGGAAGAGAAAAGTGCACGAATTTGCATGTTTAAAATGAAATTATGGTGAATGGAAATTAGACCGAAGTGAAGCAACAAAAGTAGAAGAAATAAATTCAAAAGGAGAAATTAGAGGGGAATTTAAGGAGGACATGAGTTGAAGTTTAAAACCTTACATTCAGTTTTGATCTTTTTCATGGCGAAATTGAGGCTTAATACCAATTTGAATCTCAAGTTAAGGAGAAATAAACTTTAAAAATCAGCAATGAAGCCAAAATTATGAATAAACAGGAAACAACCTTATTAACAGCACAAATCATAAGCAAAAGTATAATCAAAAATTGACCCAAGGATGTTTACCCATCAATTTGTCAATAACATCAAAATAACACTCGAAAACAATTCAATTCGTCGCAAATAACTAGCAATAAGTATCACATAAAAGAAACATCAAAGCCAGAATATAAAAATTTGAATTGACGTAAAGGCAATCATCCATACTTGAAGTCGAGCATAAATTTCTCATTCAAATTCACAAAGTCAGGCCAGCTATACAATAAAAGAAAGAGTCACACATTCCTTCAAATTTTTACAGTTTAAAATGAGAATTTTCATGCATAAATGTCAAAATCAATTCTCAAATGGAAATCACGATGAGAATCATTTACGCAAATCAAAGTCAAAGAAAAAATAAATATAAAGCTGATGCTTTCGTGGGCAAATCAAATCAGAAATCGTCGATGGCAGCGAGAATAATACAAGCGATTGCCAACAAAATAAAGCACGTCATTCGATCTATACGCCGCCGAACAGAAAGAGACAATCGTAATGTTAATAATTATAGGCATTAATATTCTTTTGTGTCCTATGAGATTTCAACAAATCAAAATTTTGTTGATGATCATTTTAATAAATGTTGACTCTTTTTTTTCGGCTACGAAAGCAGCTACAAAGTAATGAAAATTTATTTTGACGACCGTGCATGTATTTCTGTTTTAATTCGAGTAAAATTAAATGTGACTGCACGAGTAGTATCATAATTTTAAAGGATTTATCATACATGCTAATTCCTTCACTTCTCTCAAATAAAAAATTAA